GGGGGGAGGGTTTGTTGCTTTGTTGTGTTTTGGTTTGTTGGTGGTGTTTTTTTTTTTTTGTTCTGTTTTGTTTTTTAAGGAAACAGTTTTTTAAAGTAAACATGTAGTTACCCAGAGCAACTCCTTATTTCCTATTTAAAAGGAGGAGAAGAAAAAAAGCAACCATACAAATAATGTAGTAGTTCTTGGAGTTCTGAGTTTCCAGTCTTCGATCAGATCATCCCACCAGATCAATATTGCTCAATTATTTGCTTACCGGCATTTCAGTTGTGTTAAAATTCAGCAAGTTGCACTTATTATCTAAAAAACTTCAGCAGACCTGCTCCACATAAGTACTTGGTACTTTTATTTTCATTAGGAATATCAAACTTAAGCTTTATTATGGAACTTTATCTACAATAGTGTTTAAACTAACGAGTTCCCTAATCATATTTATACTAGTTATACACAACTATTTTATCATCCAGCTGGCAGGAGGCAAAGCCTCATCCAGAGGCCGCCTTTGAGCAGTCTAAGCAGAGAAGGGAGAAAGCTGGATGCAGCAGACCACGGTCTCTGCCTCTCACATTCAAAGCGTGGAGTTTTGAAGAAATCACACACTGCTATTTCTGAATGTTACAACAACACGATAGGTTGGAAAGGAAGAAAACCTTGTGATTTAATATGTTGTTATTTAAACCACATTATGGAGCTTCTGTAATACACCTTACTTTAAGTGATTGACAAAAAATATGTCAAATATTGTGGCAATCATTTTTTCCCTGCTTGGTTAAAACTAAGGCCGTTAACAAAACCTTCTCTTTCGTCTTTTATTCTGCCATCATCCCAGCTGACCCCCAACCTGAAAACTTTGAGAATCACCTGCTTAAAAATTAAGAATAATACAGAAAAAAAATAACACCGTGCACACACTTCTTGGAGTTCCCTACTCCATTCCTACTCCCTCTCCAAACAGAAGTGGAACTAGTGTGCTCAAAAACCTCAGACAGTTTCCTCGGGCACGGCAACCGTGACTTGTTCTAGCAGATCAAGTTTCACCAAATACACGTCTGTCTCACTTTTCCCAAAGCTGGTTTTAGACTGGGGGAAGTAGGGGGTGAGAGGGAGGGAGGGAAGAGCAGGTCATGGTTATTACCTTGCAGCCCTGTCAACATGCAGCATGTGACTGCAGAATGCAAACATTCAAGGGGGTTTGGTGGGGCATTTTGGTTTTGGTTTGTTTTTTGCCTCTTCAGTAAAAAAACAAAAACAACAACAACAACAAAAAAAAACACATTAAAAAGGTTTAACATTAAGATTAGATTAGTAACTTTTAGTAGTCACATCATAAGCATCTTTAAATAGTGACCATCTAAAACCAATTAATTCTTACTTCCTTGGTTGTTTGTTCACGTATCACGGTGGCATCACCTCATGAGCATTATGGATTGTCCTCTTAAAAATTAAAAAAAAAATCGATGGAAAAATGAAGAAGTGAAGGTTGTGGTGTGTTTATATTTAAAAAAAATATTATGAAGGGAGAAAAACAAGAGAGCAACAGACAGGAAGCCACGGCTGCCTGAGGACCTGTCATCCCAGCCAAACACCCATTAGAAATCACACCCTCATGTCTCACGGGCCTCCTGCTCCGCCACCCCACGTGTGAGGTGAGCACACCGCACAGCACAACAACAAACAGCCCTTTAGTTCCCTGCCACACCACCACACGCAAAAGAAAAACCCAACGCTGCCTTTTGTAGCTGGGACACCAGGAAGCCTCACGCAGGCTGAAGCCACGTGCTTTCAAACTGAACTCGGAAAAATTCAGATGGGAACGACTGCAAATGAAAGAAATAGCTCCATTTGCACATCCTTCAGAGAGAAAGGAAGTGAAAAAGTGGGACTGAGGCTCTGCACAGCAGTCACCCACAGCTCCAAAAAGCACATTAACGAGTTCCCTTCGTAGTCAGGAGCACTGACTACAGAGTCTCTAATCCAAGTCTTTAAGATTGCCGGCAAGAGCAACCAGCCTTATCTAAATCTGTAGTTATAACAGACAGAAAGCCAATCTGCAGAGTAACTAGCCAACTCCCAAAGTACAGGGTAGTATAAACTATGATCTGAAGTAGACTGGTAGCAGATTTCATACCCAGCATAATAAGCATCTCTAAATTACATAGGCATGTGAGTTCTGTACTCTGGGTTTCTGAATGTTAATGCAAAGAACAGCCCAAAGAAAACAAAGCAATCCTAACTACAGGATGAGGAGCCACTCGAGGTAACTGTAACAAGGGCTGAAAGGAAGCAAGGCACCATTCATTCCCTTCCACTACAGGGAAAATCCTTCCTACTTTTGGGCATCGGCACTTTCTTCCTATACTTCCACCACTATTTAATATTTCCTAAGATGGAAAGGAGGAATAAAGATACGCCAACATCACATGGTAATTTTTTCTTCCGTAAGAATGATATACGTTTAATCTGCACAGGCAATATAGGGAAATAATTACAACCTTCCTGAACAGAAGTCTTTAATTCCCCGTGACAGATCCAATACCTGCCACATTCATCTGTGGCTGCCTCCACACAAGAGGAGCACTACTTTCCTGGGGAGGAAATATTTATATGTAAAATAAAAATATAACAGAGGAAAAAAACAAAGTCTTCTGAAAAAGACTATTCTTCCCACATCAAGAAGCAAGTACAACATGCTTATGAAATCAGCATTATGAATCACTACTCTTATTACTAGAAAGATAGAAAAATAGAAAAAGTGCCAAAAAAGACAAAAACGTAGCTTCAAAAGTGTTCTGATTCTTAAAATAAGTGTATCCATAATCACGGATAAAAGCATGGCTTTGTGGAGGTGTTGATAGTGTGTTTTTTTTTTTTTTTAATTAACTCACCACACCTACAGAAGAGATGGACTTAAGATCCATTTAATCATCAAGACCAATACTAAGAAAGGAAAAAAAAAAAAAAAAAAAAACACAAAAATTGGTCTAAAACTAACCAAACCTAAACAGCTCTGACACTCCTACAGAGCCTTAATGCCAGCTGTCTACTAAAAAACATATTAGCACCCTAGGTGCAACATTAAGGGCATTTTCCAGGCTGGCTGCAAGCCCTTTTATGTTGAGCCTTGTGCTCTGCTGCAGTGTCATGCTTAACACTCAGTGAGAAACGTCCCTTTTGACTACAAGAGCCTCTGAATTCATGCAAGAGACCAAAATCCACCCAAATCATTCCACCTGACACTTCTTCCTCAGCCCCAGAAGCTTCCCAGCTGCAGGGCTGGTATCACACAGCAGTTGTTTCACTCCCTTGGGCTCCACTCTGCACAAAGTTGCAGGGAGCAACAGGGGCCTGAATGGATCCCTCCAAACAGCCTGAATTTACAGAGAGTATAGATCAAACTTCTAGGAATATACATAAGAGGCAAGCAAAACAAGCCAGGAATATGCACATCTGTTAACTGCTTCCCTCCCTTTATTTCATACAAATCACTACTCAAGATATCAGCTGGTACCTGGTAGGAAACAGCTTTCTCTACAAGGAAGTTGTTTAACACAGATCTGTCTTATCTTTCTACCTACTTCCCCACTAGTTCTGGACCACTTATGATGGAATTGTGTTGAAGGTAAGCACACAATTCCTTCAGTTATTCCCATCAATCACCCTGACCTTCTGAGCTTTTTTTTTTTTAAAAAAAAAAAGAAAGAAAATAATGAATTATAGAGTTTCCGAATTAAACAAATACTGCTATTTTATTTTAAAAGATTTCATCAGCTTTTCCAGCTGTTGCTGCGAGCTTTATAGAATTACTGTAAGAGATGCCATGACATAACTAATGCTGGTTTCAAATGGCAATTTGGAAAACCAGTTCCTCAAATGAGGAAAGCCCAGAGCGTGCCAAGATGCTATCAGTCTAAATAGTTAAAAGTAAACTCTTTACTATTGATTTACAGCACCAACAAACAGAAGAAATGGATGGGCAAGGACACCCCAGAGAGGAGACATTTGCCCCGACTAGGATGGAGAAAGAGATGCCTAGAACTAAAGGACAAGTTTATGTATAAATTAAAAGCAGCAGTTCACAACTAACAGAAACACACACAAACATGTGCTTCTGCTTCTTTTGCTCCAAAACAGCTCTAGCCCTCTTTCAAGTTAAATTTATTACAGAAGATGCCAACAAAGGCCAACTCCACACCCAAAAAGCAAAGCCACTGATCTCAAAATTTCCTGCATGCAAGATTTAACACATACACACAGACACACACAAAAAAAACACATTCTCTAAGCTTTAAATTACTTTGGATTTTAAAAGCTGATTTGGGAACAGAGATTAAACTTGTTCCAGCTAACCTAGTTTTTATTCATTTCATTATTTATTGCTAGGCAACATAGACCGTGTCAAACCATGTTAGAACCATGCGAAGAAGTTCTTCCAATCTAGATCGGAAATTTGCTTCTCGCCCTCCTCCCCCTCAGTGTGGGAGCCACATGCATTCCTCTAGCACCAGTGTTCCCAGATGCAACCTGCTTTCTGACCAGGAGCTGACAAACTCTCTTCTCAAAGACTACTGTATGATGCAATTTATCTAAACCACATATGGAGCCTGCAAATAGCTCTCTAGACCCCGATTTCTCAAAGAATAAGTAGTATTTACAATCCGAATTAGTCCCCATCAATATACAGGGAATTTCAGAGCAAGACTCTCCTCAGTTACCCTTTTTTTCATTTCTAGAAAACTTTAGCTTATTTTCTGACATCTCTCTTATCCATGGTCTGTGTAAGAGTATGAGTAGAGGAGAGATGGACTATTAAGTGCACTATTACTTCCCTTTGTCATAAGGAAGTTTTGAAGAACTCCGAAAAGGCAGAAAAACAAGAAAGATCAGGGATCCAGGATCTCAAATAAGCCATAAATTGAGTGCTCTTAATTAAAGATTCCTTCTAGCACGAAGCTTAAATAAACCCTACAGCTTCTTTAATAAAGCAAAATAGAACATCCTACCTTTTGTTTATAGGTTTTTCATCTTTCTCATAGGGCTTCACAAACCATTTCCCAATGCGCACAAAATTCCGATTCATTAAGCACCTCTCCAACAGGTTGTGAACGGCTTTGAAAAGTAGAGTGCGACATTCATAAGAAAGTCCATTCTCCCAAACACCATCTTCCTCTTCTACAACAGAAAGGAGAAAAAAAAAGGAGTTAACATTGAATTACATCCTATTATTTCGTGTACTAGACATATCATAAAATTCTTTCCTCACCCAAGAGCTCTTAAGATATTCACAGCATAACAAAAACAAAAAGCCTGTAAATTTCAGATAATTTACTCATGTTATAGATCTCCCCCCCCACAAAAAAAAAAAAAAAAAAAAAAAAGATTCAAGGCTGCTGGTAAACAAAAGGAACAAGTAGCACCAGTAAGTTACATGTTGCAGTCTGCAAAAACACTGTATCTGCTGATCTATTTGCAAGGTGGCTCATGTTTTGAGTGGTCTGAGCTACATACATGTACCCTGAAAAGTTAGCTGATAGTTACGCTTTTAAAAAAAAATTGCCCAAAGCCAGATTTTTAATATATCCTTATGCCTTTAGGTACCATTGACTGAAGAGCCAGGCACATATATCAATGATTAACTGACCCTTAATGGTCATCCATTTGCTAATGAGGAAGGGGGGGCAGTGGTGAGGGAACACCACCCGGCTTCAGACAACACTAGTAGGAACAACCTAAACCTTTTCCCCAGAAGATACGCACAACTGTATTTATTATTTTAGTTATTTTTTAAGACCCAGAACAAACAAAATAAGACACTCATGCATGTAAATAGAACAGCGAGCAGTAAGACAAGGCCCAGTTCATAGTGGTACAATTCTGAAGTGAAACGCTGAGATCTTACATGCCCCACAAACCAAACACAGACCTGAAATCCAACTTACACAAGCCAAGTTGATTTGCCAAATCGGAAAGCGAGATTCATTACAAGATGCTGTAATCTCTTTAACCACTCTGGCTTGCGATCAGAATTCAAACACGGTCTGCAGGCCCTAGAAGTCCTTGCACCGGCCCAAAGAATTACAAAGGCAGCCACAATATGTGAGTAAAGTGAGGGACACTTGAAGGATCCTGTAAGCTCTCTCAGTGCACACATGGTGTCATTCATTCCCATCAACATGGGAATTGGGAAGATAATATAAGGAAACTCAAGATCTTGTCCTTACATCACTGGCAATCAGGCCTTACCTTTATGCCTATGTTCCTCGTGCATCACGTTTGACGTATCCCTAAGGATCTGCTACTGTCACCTTGGACTAACCTAGCACAGTTCTTCTTACACCACCATCGCTTTTACACTCCGAGTAACTGCAGAGGCTACCAGCCTGCCTGACATAGATAAGGAGATGGATTTTTACTTCAGTCTCTGGGTAGCCACAGAATGATTTAGGCTGAAAGGGACCCGTGGAGGTCACTTGCTCCCACCCTCACTCGGAGTTCCAAGTTAGAACAGGTTGCTCATATCCCTTATTCACTGCCCCCTGAGCCTTCTCGCCTCCGAGGCGTGAGGCCTGGGTTCAGATTTAGTTCCACATACGACGTCTTACAACAGCAACCTGCCTGTTCACCTCCTTCAGAGAGCATTTTGGTTCTAACAGCTTTCCATTGGTTTCCTTCACGGTCAGAAAACCCCAGTAATGCAGCCAAGTCCTTGCATTTTAAATCCCCCTTTGAAATAAGCCCCTTCACCTTTATCTGGAAGCCACTTAGAAGCTTAAAAGGTTGCAATAGTATTAAGTAAAGTCTCAATATCCTTAAATTAGAGAGCACGGAGAAAACCAAACACCTAAGAGTTTTATTTAGAAAGAAACTCTACAGATCATTACAATAAACAGTGTTTAGGACAAGGATGTCAGGGAAAGGAATTTCAGGATGCTACTGCAACTAGAACGTGGGGACCATACCTGCATAGTGCCAGATTCCAGACAAATAAATGTACATTTCCACACCAGATTTCTATTGCGAGTTATAGAAAATTACTCATTGTCCCAGAATCCTTCTCTGAGGGATAGAAGCAGCATAAACAGACCTGCCCCATAATTTCTAAATGAAGAGGTGCACATCACTGCAGATGAATCATTACATTAAATAATTCTGGTGAAGACACGGAAAAGCAAGGAACTGCATTTCCTAGGAGACCTCACCCTGAGTTTCCCCTTCCACCCTACTCCACTGCAGAAGTTCAGCCAAAGCTTGTTTTTCTAACTGCAAAGCTACACTATAACATAGTAACTCACTACAGAAACAGCAGAGAAGAAGCTTGCAACAAAAAGCAACAAAGGTCCAAAGTCAAAGGGTATAAAACCCTGGTGCCAAGAGGACACCTTTTCTCCAGCTCAGAGATTTGTAGACACACACAAATGAGCAACCCTGTCCTACAGGCAGCTTTGCTGCTCAGCACATACTGCTCAACTGGTGGCAAACAAGCAGCTCAATAGAGCAAACATTAACTACAAAGCTTAATGATATTGGACTTTAACTGCACAATAAACTCCACACCATTTCAAAGGTTAAATAGTTGGTTTCTGTATGGCTTTTGCAATTTAAAAAATGATTTTAAGAACATCCCCTGCATCAATTGCCTATAATGGGAGGAAACAAAGAGCTATTTCCAGACTTTCTGCCTAATTTTGTTTTGACATATTAGTATATCAATGAGAGGAAAGCTGCTGAAGTCGCACGTACACTGAAGCGTAACTCACAGCTTGCATTTTGATGGTCATACAGTGGACACAAAGGAGAAGTTTCAATTTTCAGAGGATACTACAAAGCACTAAGCGTTGCATTTAACATTAATAGTTGTGCTGACAACCACGTTACTAACAAAAGTTTACGTGCAAGAACTTGCCACAACATTGTTTCAGCAGTAAACTAAGCTAGGAGAGCCCTTAGGAATTGCAAAAGATGAGCACGTTATGTGGGGTAAGTGTAAGGCATTAGATGGAAATTACAATTAAAACTCTAGAATTTAAAAAGACAGCATGCTACAAACACGCCTGCTGATCGGGAAGAGCATCTGGGGTCCAAAATACCAAGCTGAAGTGCATCTTGCTAAAGAAAGGGAAGGTTGAATAAGATCACAGTTAAAGATACCCTCATTTCAGAACATTATTCAAATTAATGCGGAAAAATAACAGTAAGATTTCTACGTCTTTTTGAAGCCTGTTTAGTGACCAGCCCCAGCCCAGCCCCCTTTTTGGTAGGGTGGTGGATGGAAGGGGAGAAATACATCAGCTCAGACCTCCCAAATATTTGGCTTCTTCATTTAAATTATTGTTTCCCAACAACTGAAAGAATCCTCCTACTTAATACAAATTGTGCAAAGTAAACCATTAAAAATCCTTTTATGGGAGGGAGAGGAAGAGACACTTTTGTCTTCTAATCTTTTTTAAACAGAATAACGGTAAATGTTCAACCTGGTAGTCATAATAAACCAAAACGAGTTGCTGATTCATTTTAAGAAGGTGATAAGCCACAATTTCACTTCAGACGAGTGATATCCACAAAAGTGCTCTGGCAACCTGGAAGTTACAAATATTTTAATTTTGATTACAAACATTTTATTTTTGATTAGCCTTCTTAGCTGTCCAAACTGGCCAACTGCTCTGTGGCAGAAATTTGTGTAATGCATTAAACAAATATATACACGCATTATCCTCCTATAAGGAGATTTCTTCCCTCCCTCTTTACACCATATATGAAGTGGAGTTTTCCTTACAAGAACCTACAAAATTAGGAGAAAAACTAATGGAAACAATGGTCAGGAAAAGGCAATTTTCATAACACAGTCAAACAGCAAACGCATCCTGGATACCATCACCATCCCAAATTAATGGAACAGTTTCAGAAGGCTGTTTGCTTTCGCTACCTTCATGTTCTACTTCACATTCTTCCCACATCCACCTGCTCGATACCTCCCTGTTCCATTCAAGGCAGATATTCTAAAGGATATTTGCTACCTACAGATCTTTAATCAAACTTAAGAACCAAGGATTACCACTAAGCAGAATTTGGTTGCTTAATATGTTGTTGGTGTTGGTTTTGTTTTGTTAGAACAGCAATTTTTTTTATATATATATTTCCCAATGGAGAAATATACACTAGTAAAAATTCCATTTTCAAGAACACTTTGAAAGAATGTCTATTTTCCTCCTTCCTTTTAACATCTAGCTGCCCATACCAGCAAGATACCAGTAAGCACCACCTACTGAAAAGGCTGAATATGTTTTCCATGCCATTAAAAATGTCTTCCTAATGCACAACGAACCTCTAAAAATAACCTATGCAAAGGAACAAGTCACAGACAAGCCAGCACTTTGGATTACTCCCCCCCCCCCATTACTTCAATTACACAGAGGAAAAATCCATTCCTTGTATTATGACTTAGAAGCATCTTTAAAAAGTGTTACTTACTTTCATGGGCTTTCTTTCTGTCATCACTTGACAGCAAGCCAGTTATAGGAATAGACTGATGCAAAACTGATTTATACAATCAAATCACACTTCCTATGGAAGCGTCAGATTACGAGGGAAGTATAATAAGCAAAGTAGTGTGAAATTGGTGCTGTATACAACACTATAAAAATACAATAGTAGAATAGTAAATAAAGGTCTCCTTTAAGGGAAAAGGAAAGATTTTAAAATCCAGATGCTTTATATTAAATAAAGTTGCTCAAACTGAGAATTATTCAGTCAACCTAATGAAAGAGTTTTACAGTTTTAAGGGCTCATATCCCTTATAGAAGTGAGAAGCAGCATTTTGTGTCTATAAAGTGCTGATTACAGTTCCAAAATACCAACTTAAGAATCCAAGACAGTCAACTTCCACTGTAGGGCTGTATCTCATCCACATTCACTGAAGAGACTTTAGCTACCCCAACTAGTCGCAAAATGTCATCAACTGAAAGACAAGCCAAAACAGGAGCTACCATCCAAAACACCATCCTCCAAATATTCAAACACCATCCTCCAAATATTCAACACCACTGTAAGTTAGCTTTTGCAGTGCCAGCCCTTTACCAGCATTGCATGCCATGTTTTTATGCTTTCCTCTACCTAGCAGACTTCTTTTTCCATGTACTAAAAACCTACAAGTATTACAATATAATAAGTTTGTAACTGTGCTGGCTTATGGGAATAACAAGGTAACGAGTTTCCTTCAGGACTTGCAAGCTCTGAGTTTCACTGGTGTGGAGCTCTTTTACTTGGCCATAAGGAAAGAAAAGCTGAACAACTTTTTCACTGCGTGTTTCCCTAATAGCCTCCTGCACGCTGCCTTTGAGTAATACCATAAGCAGATACCTTGTTCCAGCTTATCCTCAGCAATCATGGGCTCATGGCTCATAATGAGCAGGTACATTACGCATGTGACATCGTACCTCACACCAGCATATGACATGAAATCCATTCCTATGACAAAGTATTTTTCACCTTACTCCACGTATGTTTCACATGCATGCTTGGCAGTAGAAATGGGAAAACAGGGAAAAAAAGTTCAGCACCTCCTTCGAGCTGGTCCTCATACCAAGTCACAGAAGTTTTACAAAGTCCGAGTCAATAATATTTGCATAATGCTCATCAGCAGTTTTGCTGAAGAGGACACATCTCTCTCTGACACGGAGGACAGAAGAATGCCAAACACCAGTGCCCCACACAGCAAGGAACACCCTTAATGCTTTCTTATTACACATGCAGGAGCATTGGCATCCACTACAGATGAGCCAAGCTCCCTGTACTGAGCAAGGCCAGCTGCAAAATTACATTTATCCCTCCCAGAAGTGTGAGGAAGACCATTCAGCAAACAAAAATCTGGTTAACTTGATATATGACAGATACAAAGAAAACTCTTTAAAGTAAGTTTACAGGATTTAAGAGACACCAGAAGGAAAAAGGCACCTTATAGCCCACCGTTTAAGAGATGCAACTTGAAGGTCAAAGACACGCTGAAGCATTCCCCTATCCGGGCATTCATCAAAACGTAACCAGTTCCTTGGGACTGTCTTGTACATAATTCATACCCAACTGCTCTCAAATCTGAATCTACTAGCAATATAAAAATGTATAGGGAGTTAAAACAAACCAAAAAAAAAAAAAGGGGGACCCATCTAATAAAACTGTTGATCAGACCAGAGAGAGACCATTGCCTTCTGAAATTTGATGAGATGTCCTACTTTAAGGTCTGAGCTGCAGAAATTACTATAATTGAGCCTCACTGTCACAACAAAAACATAACCTTTAAGATTGTTGGAGGATAAAATAACATTTCACTAACTTCTGCCTGCCTCTAGCTATGTTGAGGGAGAAATAGACTTATTGTATGTAACTCCAAAGAAAACCGTAAGTCTCTTCCTAGGGAAGGGAAAGAAAAAAATGATTGAGTGAAGTCAATATTACTGATCAATTACCATCTCTGAACAAGTCTCCTTTTGACATGCCCCCAGGCAACAACAATCCCTGACCATCAACAAGGCTGTTATCCAAGGCTGGATACGAGAATTCAGATATAGCCACTAGCACTCATTCAAACACATCTCTGGGGCAAAGACAGAACTTCTAGAATGCACAAGCTGAAGAGAGAGAGAGAGGTGATAAGCATAGATGCACACCTGCAAAACCCTACATTTTCCCTTTTAAAAGTGATTTTGGGAAGACACTTCTGCACTTGATACAGAGATTCTTGAAGGGTGCCTTATTTCAGATCTCTGAGGATTGATGACTAGGATACGTTCCAGACACTGAACGTCCATTATTCATTGAAACTACAAATCACAAAAAAAAATTAACAAAAACTGTCCAAATACTGACCTCTCCCTAATAAGAATAGTTTCACACCAAAGGAAGCCAGAATCAAAGTTGTTAACCCCAGCACATTTCTAACTACAGCTCTTCCAAGCCCCACTTCCCTACGAGAAGCCTGCCAGGGGCTATGAAGGCCATGCCAGCAGCAGGCTGCTCTTACCCCTCTGCCTCCCTCACTCAGGTCTTCAGGGCAATTCCTCACCTACTGAGGTAGCAAAGTTCTAAATGAGGCAGCACCTCAACCATCAGCAGCAAACAATTTCCAATCAATTTTGCAAGTAACAAGCCTCTGCCAGGAAGTAATTTATCTTTCCAGTTGAAAATGAAACAAGCAATCACGGGGAGAACAGGGCAATGTGAATTGCTAGCAGAAATTGTCCACCAATGAAAAAAATCCATTAGGTCTATGACAAAGGTCAGATAACATTGTTTGGGTTCAGCCATAATTCTTTCTTATATGAGGTTCACATTAAGATTTTGTGTAACAGGAAAGAGAAAAAATGCAGGTGCAGGCACTCCTCAGCCATCTCCTCCACAACACAGACGATTAATATTTTTATCAAATTCTGGTCATATAAGAATGAAGCAGACTAACATGCTGTAAGAGATTATAATGTCTCCTTTTAATTAAGAGGGGAAAAAGCCTGCCTGCTAAAACCATGAGGTCAGGTACATCTACACACAGACGCAGGCAACAATCTCATGAGCAGTAAGTGTTTCGGTGGAAAAATACTTAGTAGCAAGACACGTAGAGCAGCCTCTCTCTGGAAGTGCAGACATCCACAGGTGACCTAACAAAGAAAATACCCCAAACAATTGCAAAGACATGCTTGGGAGACTCTAATCCCCTACTAGCTCTCCCTTAGACACAAGGAGAGGTTAAGAGTTGACACCCACCTAGTATGATGCTTGTTTAGCTACCTGTGCGGAAGTGTAAACCTCTAAAATACAAACACACACTGATCTGAAAGTTCAGCTACAAAACGCTGCTATTCTCAAGAGGCACCTTCGTACTAAATCGCTACTAGATAGATTCAAGAAAGAACGCAAAGAAAGTTGTTCAAACAAGACTTTGATGGCCAGCTAGAGCAGAAAGGCAGTCTCCAAATGGCTTAACTTGTATTTGATCTTAAACACACACACATAAATATGGAACATACTCGTCTCATTTTAATCCCACCGGCCAACAGCACACAAAATTTACACAGATGCCTTCACACAAGCGTTGGTCTTTGCTTAGGCTAAATGCTATTTTGGGCCTGGGCCTGCCCTAAGTCACATCTCAGCCATATAAAGGATGTGCCCTGCAGGTCAAGACTGAGGTTATTCATAGGGCAAAAATAAGGAAACCATAAATGCAATAAAATATCAAGCAACCTACAATGCAAGTAACATTTAAGATGCAAAGTTTTATTTCCAGGACAGACAGGAATACCAGAAGCATCCCAGTTTTGAAGTCAACTATTCAAACAAAATAAACATTATTTTACTATGTCAATTCTTTTCCAGATCATACTGTTTTGTACAAAAATCCCACACGCTATTAAATTGTTTCAAGTCAGCTTCCTCAGTGGCACTTCAAATTTGTATTTGTTCTTCAGCTTATCCACAAACACAGACAGAGTTAACAATTTCTGGTTACCAGGTCACCAAACCTGGGTCTCATTTTACACTTCAGTAACCTGAATACTGTACATTATTTGAAAGGAAATTAGAGTAATGTGACTTTTTTTTTCCCCTCTAGAATCAGCGTAGTCTCACCAACAGACTCACACAGATCGTTCAAAAGCTTAATTTCGTAACACTGCAAGTAAACATTTTCAAAATAAAGTGCCAAGTTTGAAACACAACAATACTGAGAAATACAAATATTGCCAGTCTTTCAGAAGTGGCAAGTTTAAGTTTTAAAGCAAGAACAGGTTCAGAGCACTGGAAAAGGGAGAGAGAAATCATAAAAGTACAAGGGTGAAAGACTCTTGCACAAAACCAATAAGCCAGTTTCAGATGCCTCCTTTTGAGGACTTCTCACCAACAACTTGACTTCCAATCTAAACAACTCCACATGGTTCAGGAGCTGCCCAGTTCCCTACAATTTTTATTACACAGTAAAAGGGGGTTTAGTATTTGAAAGGTCCAATTGCCCAATGAAGGAGATCTGATCAAAATACGTCTAAGGCATCCTTTTTGAATCATAGGCACGGCTTTGGGTGCAAGAAGACTGAATTTGATCAGCTCCTTCTTTAAAGGCTTACTTGCTTGGTTGTGTTTATTTATTTATTCCCAAAATAAAAAAAGCAGAGAGCAAAAACTTGTTTCTTGATAATCTAGCAGCCCAAGACCACCTAAGCACAGACAGCAGTTGTTTGATCAGCGTACTACTGCAATAATTTGGCTCTTCTGAGAGTTCTTTCCACTATCACCATAAAAAATCAAAGTTGTAGATTGTAGGAATACATTTATCTTATCTCTAGACAACGGTTTATCTCGCACAGATTTTTGTAACGGCTGGCAGAAGAACGTCCCGAGTAACTGCATCCTTTCACTGACTAAAAGGAGTTGTTATTTCTTCCTACCTGAGAGATCATGATGAATTAGGTCAGCAAAGTTGGGGTCATCACCCCACCAAAATATCCATAGCTCCCTGCGTCCCGGTCTCTGGTCTCGCCGCCAAACACTGAGTACATCCGCCTTCAGACAGCGACTGAAGCTGCTCAGAATAGGGTCCTCTTCCGTGACCGGGAAGAGAATTGGGGCAGACGTTGGACCCTGCCATACGTATCGCTTCCATTTAATCCCAGTTAGATCAGCCTGTGGGAAAGAAGAGAACAACTGTCAGACACTGGGGTACGTTCCCTACAGAAACACACAGCTATAACTAGAAGATGGCACAGGAAGAGGCAAATGGAAGGAAGGAGTAAAGGATCAGTCCAACAAAACTTAACAGTAATTGTACTTGTAAGTTTTCTCTACCTTAGAAGATAAACTGGAAATAATTGGGCACCTTGCTTTAAGATCTCTTTTAATAACTGCAGTAAAGCAAGAGCTGTTCATTTTCCCTTCATCTTTAATATTACAGAGAGAAAAGTCAGATTTGATTTAAAACAAAAATGAAAAATGAGTGACAATATAATTATTTGCAGACTACAACTGCCCAATCTTTTAAGCACTTGCCTTAGCAAATAGCTTCTCATTTTATGCCTACTTATCCATACACAGCTTTTTACAATCCAAGATATCTAAGGATATATGGGGAATAGAGCAAATCTAACTCAGGCATACATCCTTCCAGTCACCTACTACTCCAGAAAATTTCACAAGTTTCTCCATTGTAAAATGCTCTCTCCTGCACAGGAAGCTTCTTAAGTGCACTTATTTCACTCTGAGCTACCACGCTTTTCATTTCTCACACCACATTTTAAGAATTTAAATCCTGTTTCTCTCACTAAAATACACATCATTGGCTATGATCCACTAAATCCCCTTCTGGGCAAAGATTCATTTGACTTTATAAAGTGAAAGAGCTACCACCATACCCAGTGGGAAAGAGATGATTCCTGGATTATCTACAAGCCAATACTGCACTGAGTTTTAATACGAAGTTTTTTCCACTTCAGTACAGGCACCTTAGGGTGCTTCGGGGAGGCATCATCCCTTGGTTCGGCCTGAGAAGGGAGACTGAGCCCAGCTGGCATTTGCTAAGAAGTCACTGATTTTTTCCTCCTAATAAGCACACCTCAGATCACTGCAACATTTAAACCTAACATGGCAGCCTTCCTACCTTCAGGAGAAATGTAGAGGAAAGGCAGGGAGCCTGCAACAGTTGATACTCTAGAAAGACTCGAAGGTTTAAAAACGCACCAGTAACATGGAGCTGCAGGCCTGATGCAGTCTGCAGACATGTTCAGGCTGTCCAGATTCCCCTCCCTCCAAAAATACCAGTACAACAGCTTGGCACAGCTTTTTACTTATGACGAGAATAACAAATACCAGGCAGTCACCTAATATTAGTTAATTTGCATTGAGGGAAAAAAAAAATAAATAAAATACTGATGAAGGAGGTCGGCACGGCCACCACAAATCGCATCGCGGTGCGGTTGAATCAAATTTAGTTTGGGAGCTACCAAAAAAAAAATAAATAAAAATTTTCAAAATCCTCCATCCGAAGGCTTTCGCACTTAAGGCTACAAAATGGTGCACAACAAAACCCAAGCCACCAGTGCCTCCCGGAGCGTACCACCGCCAGCACAGCTCCGGGCTGGGAGCAGGCAGCAAACGAGGGGGCCCTCGGAGGCGAGGGGATGGCAGCGGAGGGGATGGGGAGGAGGGGGGGGGGGGGGGGAAAGTTGGCCGAGAAAGCGAGGAGAGGAGAGAGCCGGCAGGCTGGGCGGCGGGGCTGGGAAGGTTAAAGAGAAAGCTGAAAAAAAAAAAAAAAAAAGAAAGAAAAAAAAAAAAGTTGCGGGCGAGGACGGGGAAGGCGAAGGCGAGCGGCGGGGAGCGCCGAGGCAGGAAGAAAGGGGAGGGAGGGGCGACGGGAGACAGACAGCGGCGGCGGGGGGGACCGGAGGGGCATGGGAGAGTTGGCTGCTTCCAGGCAGGGCCTACTCCGAGGACTCATCCAGCAGAAGCTCTGCTAAAAATGGCTGCTTGGCTTTGCACTGCCCCTGCCCCCCCTTCCCCCCGGCCGCCTCCCGCTCCCACTCGCGGCCGTGGCGCGGCGGCGGGCACTCACCAGGCAGAAGAGGTTGGAATGGCAATCCTCCAGGCTGGCCCCGTTCGGCACGAAGCAGGAACTCATCCTCACAGCCACAACCCACACGCCATTATCCCACAGCCTCCGACAAGAAAGAAAGAGACAGACAGAGAGAGAGAGAGGGAGAGAGAGAGACAGACACTGCGAGGGAACGGGGGGAGGGGGGCGAGGCACACGCACAAATAATAATGCAATTAAATAAGGGATTTACATACGTACACACACACACACGCACACGAAATAGGGGCTGGGTAAATAGCCCGGGAGGAGAGCGGTGTAAGAGAGAGGGTTTTTTTTTTTTTTTTTTAAATAACGATTTTTTTAAAAAGAGAGAGCGAGCGAGAGAAACTCGGAACGTTTTCTCTTCTTCTGGATATCAAATGGGGGGGGGGGCAAAGCCACCACGGAAGGGGAGACCAGAAAGAGGGAGGTGGTAAGTAATCCAACGACAGGAGATTAAGATCAAAATCCTCCCTGTTCCTCTTGTCTTCTCATTCGCATAAGGAGGGGAGGGAGAGGAGGTGAGGTGAAGGGGTAATTGATCCAACAAGAGAATAAAAACGGGGTAATTAATCCAGGGGGCTAGGGGTAAAAATCAGTTGACATCCCTCCTTCCTCTTATCTCAGATGCCGAGCAAGAGAAGTAGGAAAATAAATAATCCGATGGGGGCAATCAATCCATAAAAACCTCCCTCCTCTTCCTCCCGTTTCTTTAGTGATCAGATGAGAAAGGGGCAAACAGCAGAATGACTGGGAAGGGTTGGTTGTGGGAGAGAGAAAAATCCAGGCTCGTCTCTTCGGAGTCCGAGGGCAACAGGGTGGGGGGGAGCGGATTCTTCTCCCCCGCTCCAAAAAAATATTCCAATAAATTAAAATTTTAAATCATAAAAACAAACTTCGGGGGCCCGAAGCAAGGCAAGTCTGAAGAATTCGTAAAGGCCGGACAAGAAAAAAAATCCTGGGGTGTACCCCAAAAACCATCTGCGGGGGCAGGGGAGGGAAGGTGTTCCTTGAGAGAAAAAGGCCGCAAAAGTCTCCTCAGCAGCCCGGCGGGGGGGATTAAATTCCCCCCTCCCCGAAAAGGAAAAGGCTCTTCGTCGAGAGGGTAAAACCAAAATATCCTCCGGTGGGTAAAAATCCTTCCGTGGGGAAAGGAGGGAGGGGGGCGAGGGCTGGCAGGAGGAAATTGCGGGCGCCCCTCGGAGTCTCTTCGGGGACGGCTCGGAGGAGGCTCCCGGAGGCCGATCCCCAGGCGGCTCGGGGGAGGAGGAGGCAGGGGCAGATCGCGGGGTGTCTTCGGGGAGGCTGCGCCCCCCCCCAGCTGTCCTCCGGGGCCGGGGGGAGCCCCACAAAGTCCACGGGGCCGGGAGGGTCTCTTCAGGGGGGCCCGGCCCCCGCCAAGTTACCGCCGAAGCCCCTCAAGGACCCCCCCTCGGGCTGAGGGGAGAGGAAAGGGGAAAAGGGGGGGGGGGGTGCTCGGCGGGGAGGGCCGCCTTCAAAAGGGGCTGCCCCCTTAAAAAATAATAATAATAAAGGCGAAAAAAAGGAAGAAAAAAAAAAGAAATATAAAAACGAGAGTCTTCAAACGGAGCGGTGTCTTCTGCGGGGGGGGGGAAGCGAGCCCCGAGGGCCCCCCGGCGGGGCAGGGCAGGGCCGGGCCGGGCCCCCCGCTCTCCTCAGGCGCCGGAGGGGGGGCGGTGGGCGGCGGGGCCCCCTCCTCGGCAGGGCAGGGCGAGGGGAAAGGGGGGGGGGGGGGGGGAGGCGGCGGCCGGGCCCCGGGGTCTCGTCAGGCGGAAGGGCGGCGGGGGAAGGGGGGGCAGCCCCACAAAGCCCGGCCCCGCTGAGGCGGCTGCTGCTGCTGCTGGCGGAGTCGGTGCCGCGAAGCCCCCGCCGGCTGCGCTGCTCTCCTCGTCCTCCTCCCTCCTCCTCCTCCTCCTCGCTTCCCCCCTCAGCGGTGCCTCTGTCGGCGGCTGCCCGGCCGCGGCATGGTGCTGGGCCAGCTCCCCCCTCAGCGCGTCTCCCCCATGTCGCGGCGGGGCGGGGCGGGGGGCGCGGCGCGGCTCCTGCCGGTTAATTCCGAGCCCCTTTCGCTTTAATGGCGGCCGCGGGGACGAGAGTCGGCGCCCCCCCCTCTCCCCTCCCGCCGCCGCTCTCTCATTGGCCGCCGCGCCGTCACGTGGGGCCCGCCCGGCCATGGCCGCCGGGGGAAGGGAGGGGGCAGTGGCGCGGCGCGGCCGCCAGGAGCCTGCTCGGCGCTGCCGGGCCCGGCGCCTTCCCCGCTGGGAGGCCGCCATCTAGCGGCCGTGGCGCGGCGGGCTGGGCCGCGCGCTTGGGCGCTGAGGAGGCAGAGAGGGCCGCGGGTTCGAGGCCCGCCTCCTCCCACAGCCAGGCCTGAGGTGGCTGGGCCCGAGGCCCGGCTCTAGAGCTGAGGGGGCGCCCGGTGTCCCCGCTCCGCACCCCCGGTGTTGGTGGGAGTGCTGCGGGCATCCATCGTGTCTGAGCTAAAGGTCAAAGGCTGTGGGCTCTCAGCTCCCAGAAATCCTCGTCTTGGCTCCTCCGCCACAAATTTCTACCCCTTGGCAGAGTTTTCCTGAAGTCCGTGCTTAACACTATCCTTCCTCCTTGCACTGCAAAATGAATTCCGTACGAAAGATCTTAGAGCCATTCTAAAACACAGGCAAAAATTTAGGAAGCTCGCTGTAATATATAGCGTCAGCATTAATGCTTTCAATAGCCCCCCCAGACATCATACCTTGTGGAGCAGAACTGTACTCCAGAAGTCAGGTTTTTCACACAGCTACACGTTACGCAGTTTATGAGGACACAGTAGGTGGCTCCTCTGTTACTATATGCACAGATTTGAGATTATTCAGACTTAAGATGCTACAGTGTCAGTGAAAGCTATTTTTAAGAAACACTTGGAAAGTATATTGCACTTGCTAATCCTCTCGTATTACATATTAATTTTTCATGCAATGGTTTGCATGTAGAATGTAAAATTTTAAGTTACTATATGCAGATTTTTTTGACTGCAAACTTGGAGTGAAAGCACAAACCGGTGTAAAGAGCCTAAAGTAAAGACTTAAATGTCTAAGCTAACATGACATTCACATTAAAATGTGATATGTTCCTGCAACAGCAGCACATTGCATCACAACTATGCAACAAGATGATGTTTCAAAGGCCCTGCAAATTATTTCAGGACTCATGAACAAGATGAGTGGCAACCTTCTGCCTTGATAGAGTGGGAGGAAAGAAGGACACTCTATAAATAAATTTGTATGGTAAGTTAAAAAAAAAAAAAGTGAGGCTAGATATTTTCACAGAGAAAAACTTTGAAGATTTACTCACACTAGGACTATTTTTGTATGTCAGTGTAGGCAAGCAAGATTCTTCTTTTTATCTAAATAGAACCAGAGTATTTTTAACACAGGAGATTCATTCCCTCACTGCTCATCGAACCACAGCAGCTGGGGCCAGAGCCGGGATGCAGGGGGAGGGCGAGTGGAACCAAGCCCCTTTCCAAGTGGAACAGATGGTTTTCTCTGTGGTGAGGACCATGGTGTGAGAGGGATTTGCTCTGCGGTGGCACTCAGAACCCACTCCTCTGCACTACCGTGGGCACCGAGAGGCACACGAAGGCCCTCTGAAATTTTGGTGTGACGCTTTGGTCATTAGAGCGATTATCTCACTGTGCAGAGAGAGTTGCTGGCAATGTTAAGTCACACCTCCCTAAGGAGAAATCCAACACTTTGAAGAAAATAAAAGAAAGCAACATTAGGCACTAGTACACAAGAACCAGTATGGTTTTCTCTTTAAGAGGAAAAGGCATCTTTTGGTAAAACTGGGATTTGGCAGAGGGAACGGAAATCCAGTCAAATGACACAGTGTGGGCTAGATGCATAACAAATGTATTCTCGTGTCTTCCCCTTGATTTCAGGATGACACCAAATTTTCATTAGCTGAGAACCCACCTCTTTTGCCTGAAACAGTACACTTCAGTGTCTCAAGGAGAAGATTAATCTAGTGTGTAACACAGGTTTTGGCACCGATTCACTTCACAGTTTTGAGGAACCTAGCTTCTAGGTCTCATTTTACCTATTTGTAAAGTGCATCTTGAGATCCGGTTCATTAGTACTTACATATTAATCACAATAAATACCTATGCAGGACCTCAGCACAGTCAAGCACAGAACATAATTTCTCCAGTAAACATAAATACATCATGATGAATGAGGAAAACACTGATGAAAGAGGAAACAAAACTAACAAATCAACCAGAGATTTGTTTTAAGAGTCATTCCCTTCCTGGTCATATCTGAGTTACAGAACCTTCAAGTCACCAGCTTTCCTAACTACACGCGCGGCACTAAATAACATTAAGACACACCGGATAAAAGTCATATGCATTTATGGAAAATTTTGGACTTGAGACACAGCTTGCCCTTTGCCTACAGTACATGCTATTTGAGAAATAAAGCCTCCTTAAAAAAAGAGGGAGGAGGCAAAATTAAAAAAAAAAAAAAGAGGAAAAAATGTTATTGAAAATATGCTTTCTATTTTTCAGATAGGTTCTTACATAGTTCTCATCTCTGCAACTTCCAGAAGTGCATTAAGCTGCATAATTAGCATCTGTCACATGTAGCCTTTTCCTTCCCTCTTCTTCTCCCTAGAGGCGAACTGCATGAAGAAAATTTAATATAAATTTTAGTATATACATTGTGCGGTGCATTCATATTACGAATGATATAGTCAAGCGAGTTTGTGCTCATTCTTAGGTTAATCTTTCTGTAATATAAACTTTGCCATTAAAAAAAAAAAAAAAGCAACTGTTCCAATTTAAAAATTAACTAGTGTTTTGGAAAGAACGATAGTGGGGGCGGGGGTGAGATGATCAGCATTGCATCAGATTTAAACCAATGGAATTGTTGGGAACTGGGCAGTTAACGCTGTAGTCACTCAACCTGGTATTAAATCCTTACACTCATACAGTCACACTGAAATATATATCCCAAAGTAGCAAGGGATGGATAGTTTTTCCCTTTAGTCATATGTATTTATTTTGACAATAATGTTATTTGAAAAACAACAAAATAAAAAGCAGGATTTTATATATAGTTTGCATTTCTAATCTCTTCTTGTTTGTATTGCTTTTTCATTCACACTGAAAGCGACTCCCCTGTTGAATATGAAAAGTCAATGGTCTACAGCATCTCCTAGTGAATCTCTCTGTGGACAAACTTAAAAAGAAAATGCTACCTTTTAGAAGTAAAGACTAAAAAGAAAGAAATGCAGCTTAAGGACAATAGCAACATGAAAAACAATGACATTATTTAGCCTCTGATTTCCATTCAGACTCTCTCCTAGTTTTTCACAGTATTTATTTTCTACTTAATTAGTTCAAAGAAAATTGAGATTATAGGATTGAACATATTGCCAACAACCTGAGGTATGAAGTGCAGACTGAATGCTTAAACTTCAGCTACTGAGGTGGTAATTACTGTAATTGGTCCATGTGAAGCAAATACATCAAGTAGTATAGAGTTCAAACTCATGCCAGCCAGTCTCCAGTTGGCACAGGGAGTTCTATCAGGAGGATACAGCGGTCTCAGCAGGACTTATTATTGGCAACTGTTCAACAGTTCTCTTCTGCAAATGGTTTCAAGGGGACTTGGGTGGGAAGAAAGACAATTTTTAACAAATTAAACTACCTAAAAATGGCTGGATGCCCAGAGCCACCTAGTCTGCATTAGTCACTACTACTAAACAATTTTAAAAAGAAGATTAAAAATATCATTGCTGTAGAGAAACGTCTATCAGGCTTTAACAATATGATGAGATCCTTGCAAAGGTACCCAAACATGATGCTACAAGTGCATATATAACTGTGTCTAGAGAAAAAGGTACAGCAGAATCTTTACACAATGTGTGTTTCTCGGAAAACAACTAGCTCAAGTTACTGGAATCCAAGTATTCCTATAAGGACACGCCATATAGTTTCAAGAAATTAGAAGACCAGTTACTTTTTAATTAAAAGTGACAATGGCGAAACTCCCGCAGGAGATAAGATTAGGGGGACTGTTTATTTCTCATTAGTCACATACTCACAAATCTTACAACATTTGTAAGTTGTCCATAATTGTAGTGTAAAACATAATTTAGATTTGCACTGAGAGTTTTCACAGGAGACTCCGCTCTGTGCTATATTGATGTTGGGCTGCTTTGTTTAGATATTGCAAAAACGCTTTTTTTCAAATGATTAATATGTCATTTTTAGCAGAGGCCTCTAAGAGAAGATTTGAGTTTAACGCATGGCAATAAAAAAAGAGGAATATGAGAATTCTTACTCTCTTTAGTGTCAGCTTTGGTTAAGATGTATGAATGCACATGAATAGTCTTGTCAGAATCTCTGAGGCTACCGACATTCAAGATCTAACATATTATTACTTCTGACCAGAACATTAGCTACTATGCAGTAAGGAGAATGGAAAGAGAAAAAGATAGGCCCACTCCCTAATCAGACAGAAAATTTTATGTATTTCTCTGCTTGGAAATCTCTGAACAGAACTTCGCTGCTGTGAAAATACTACGCTTATTGTCTGCAATCTGAGATGAATGACTATACATACTCTTTAAATCTGCACAGGAAAAAATAAAACAAATCATCACTGCATGTCTGATCTTGCATCTTTTACTCACAGAAAGGATTCTAGTTAATTCATTTAAATCAAGTATTCTACAACCAAATATTACATCCTTGTAATGGATGTCTGCTTGTCAAAAGAAAGACCCTAGCACTTCCAGCTTCTACATCTATTATTTACCAAAAAACACTGAAAGTTTCTTTGACTTACCAGTTTCTGATAAAAATAACCTAACTATTGAATTTAGTTAAATTAAATCATTTTAATTCAAATGTTTGTATATATCAAGTCTGGATACCACTACAATGGACAGGTTCATTTGCCAGAAGCAAAAATCTTACAATATGCTTATGGCTGAGCTAAGAGAAAATGTATTTCAGACTTTTTTGTTGTTGTTATTGATAATTTGTTGCCAAAGAAATTGAAATAATTCAAAAGCACTGAAATTAGTTTAATCAGAATGTTTGTCTTTTGAATTTGGAGATGCAGAATGACTACCTTTCATTCACAATGCAACAGAAGAGAACATCCTGTACTTTGCAACTGAAACTACCTTTAGTCCATATTCACAAGTTATACCATGTCAGATAAAGAAACTGATTTGTTTGGTGCAAAAAATAAAAGCAGACCTTTACATATTTGAAATGCAACAGATGGTCTTCCAAGAAGAGCATAATGACTGGCAGACAGTACACTTCGTTAGAGTGGCTTGGAATGTCTTCAGCAATTACACAGAGAGTGCTTTGCGGGGGGAACCCCTGTCAGCTCTATGATTCTTCTCCTGTAAATAACGGTGATTTCCCCATTTAGATGTGAAAAAAAAATTGTATCTGATAAAACAAGACAAGCTAGCCAAAGACCTGGAAAAGGAAGCACCTTTGGTCCTCATAAAACTATTCAAAATGAGGCTCCAAAAATTCTGACACCTGAGAAAAAAGATTCAAATAGAAAAAAAATGCATTAAGAGGAAACAAATTGGGGCATGTAACTGCAGAATTATTCATCTATAGCCAAGTATTCTATGGAAATGTAATTTAGGAAAAAGAAGAAGATTTAAAATAGGCTCCTCCAGACTTTTAGAACTGGTAGGTCTACAGATAGAACATGCACAATTTCTAGGAGAAAAAAAAAAAAAAAAAAAAAAAAAAAAAGATTTACCAAATAATAATCTCCTTCTTTGGGAAATGAAATGACTCTACTGGTGATGTTCAGAGTCCTCCTCACCATGAAACACTGTGGTTACAGTTCTTCAGAGCAGGGGAAAGTGAGCTTTTCAGGGGCTGTGCGTATCTTTTCATTTTCATAGACAACCTACTTTACAAGCCACATAAGAATATAACAATATATAAGATAATAATAATAATTAGAGTTATAATAAAGAATAATATAATGCTGATTTTTAATATTACTTATGTGAGTCAGAAAATTTAACTTCTCTTCCTCTCCCTCCCCTTCAATCCTAGAATTAGTATTTTTTGTTACAAAATCTTCTCCACCAAATTCACTCTGAATAAAACTTTATGTGGCAACATAAACACAACCAAAATGTGTCCTTCAACAATGTAACTTAAATGTTGACAGAATCATAACTGCATTACTCCCTCTCCAATTAGCAGCAGCTTTCTTTATGTTTGCTTATGAAGCGTAAACTGTTCACTTGTCACTACAAAGACCTTCTGTAGAGGACTTAAAAAAACAGCCACAGCAATTAAAGTGACAACAACAGAGGTGGACTGGTCACATTATGACAGAAAATATCCAGCTGTTTCTTTCCAAAAAAAAAAAGATGCACCAACCATCTGAAATATTACAACAAAATTTTGTCACTCTATGTGATGCTGATGGATATTCTGGCAAAAACAGAGATTTCCAAGAAAGGAATATGCTAACACAGAATTAGATCAAACCTCACAGACCAATTCTTCTTCCACCTAATCAGAATTCTCACTCATCCTCCTTAACCATGCAAACTTCCCTTTTTGCTATAACTATAGATACACTACCCTGTCAGAAATTCTCTGAAATCTAAGCAGAATTGGCTTGGTTGTTGTCACCCAAAATAAGTAAGGCAAAAAGTAAGCTGATAGTGTGTGGACAAGTAAATTAGATTTTTAAATTATTTACTTTAGTTGTGTTGAAAAACATTGTATGAGTTAATTAGGACCACAAGTCTTATTACACCCAGGCTATGACTTATAAAACACTAGCCTCTGTTACAATCACATCTGTCTATGCTTCTATGCTGCTGGTTCTTGCCTGTTATTTAAATTATTAAAAAAAAAAAAAAAGAAAAGTAAATGTTTCAGGTTAGCTTCTCATAATTGAGGTTACAGGGAAGTGATCTGAACTGATCACATCTGAAGTGATAAATAGGTTTGATTTCTAACACAGGAAGAAAGACAGTGAGAAAATAACTGACATACAGAACCTGTCATTCAGGGTGGGGGGAAACATGTCTGTAGAATCCGCCTACAGTTCTTGGAGAAAAACTGATGAGAAAATTATCAGGAAGATTTTCACTGCTATTTCTTTTCTGGACGTTTTTGCTTCTCATAACAGCACAGATATGGCAAGTGATATGTATCAGAATTCATCCATGCATTATATTTTGCACATCAAATTAAATTGGTTACCCATGACTTTTTAAGCAAATACAAGAATGCAGAAAACATGACAGCTGTTTATATATAGAATATATGGGCATTTCACTCCTTCCCTCACATTTAGGAAGAGCAGCAGATAATGAGCTCAATCATTATACTGAGAATAAATTTTATTTGTGAGTTCAGAAGTATCTCTGGCTCCTTATCTGTTATGTGAACCAGAACTTACAGGTAGCTCATAACATTTCTCTTCTTAGTTGTGTTTGTCTCCAGAGTAATAGCTGTAAGTGGGCAAAAGCTTTAATGTCTTCTTTATATCTTCAGCCATAATATGTTTCATAAACTGAGAGCTTGCAGAGTTAAAACAATTCCTGCAAAATATAGAGGAGAAGAAGAACGAGAAAAAACGATCAAGAAAAACAAAAAACTGCCTTTTCCTTTCCCTTAATTCCCAGAATTCATCTTCAGACTTCCCACCTATAAATTAGCTAAAATAATTTTAGACTTTAATATTACTCTTCCGTATGTTTCATCTGATAGGACTGCTTGACAACAAGCATCTCTCTCTCTGGGAGTATTGTGTAATGAATTTACTCACATCAGGAAGTATGTTAGAAAAGCATCTAATTTTCAAGTTTTCAAATTTTCAAATTAGACACCAGTGGTATACACTTTGGTGTGATAGCATAAGCAAGACACAACCTTTAGCCATTCTGCACTTTTGCAGCCATGGGGACTACCTTTTCACATCAATAGCCACAAGAAACATAAGACTGCCAAAAGTTCTGAAATTATCAGGTTTTGACTAACCACTAATAAATCCCAAGAAATAATAATAGTAATAAGAAAGTATGTTCAAGAAATATCAAGCCTAAAGCTTTACAATAACAAGCCGGAAAAAGTAGTAACTGTAGTTATGTTATTTTCTTTGATGGCTAATTCACTCTTATTTGTCTCAGAAAGGGCAACTACCCATCACCAGGTCAGAAGGGAAAGTGCTGTAACAATTGCTTAATAAGATAGATGCCCATCGTTCCTCTGAAGCCCTAAGCTTTCATACACTCAGGAGCTAAAGCCTTGAGTCACTCTTGTTAGATACCCAAAACCAACTGGGTTTGGAAAGCATTAAGTACTAGAAGTACTATCTGCTTTCAAACACAATGGACCATTCTGTTTGCAGCAGTCTTGCAGGACTCTAAAATGAAATATAAAAGAGTCCAAATGTTGAAGCTGGTCCCAGAATGCCTGAAAAATTCAAGTGAAACGTCAAGTTGCAATTGCAAAGTAGACATAGGGTTGGAAGTTGAATCCTATCACCACTACTTAATGCCATATTAAAGATAAATTAGAACTCTATGATCCAACCAATACAAGAATACAAACCTGGGTTCTACTTCTTCATGCATCAAATGCTCTACCATGCTTAGTTTAAAAAAAAAATAAAAAAGTCTTTAAATGACTAACCTCCTGGAAGATTCATTGCTGTTTGTAAAGTACTAGGTACAGTCTGAATGTTATCATATTTCACCAGAGTAACTTTGCAATGCAATTCCAATAACTTTGCAGACCCTGTAGAACTCTGCGTAGCATAAAACTAGGGAGAAGGCAAAACACTTCTCATGCCATAAAGACTTAAAAGATTCAGTGAAGAAATTGATGGAAAGTGCCCTTCCCGTAAATGCAGATAACTGCAGAGTAGCAGTACCTGCAATGAAACAACCAGGAGGCTGTAAAAATTACAAGACAATACGGCGGCTGTAGAGCAGGACATTCCACTTTACATATGGATCCTGAAAAAACAAACTTCTGCATTACAGTATCTGGAAGGACAACAGAGAATGAAAACCTGCTTCTGTCAGGTAGAGCAAGAGCCTACGTCAACAAGAATGCTGTGTCACATGCTCATATTATTACTCAACAGATGTACTTGAACTAGAGAGATAAAAGGGGTACTTAAAGAACACATGGAAGGTATGTGCAAACTGTTTTGCCTCTTGTGCAATCATTTTCATTGTAGAAGTGCACATTAGCTGGGATTCAGAATACCTTATTCTGCAGTAAGTGAAGAAAACTTAGCAAGGATATGGTGTCAGTACACAATCATCAGTGTATTCCGAGAAGATGGAAAGACAACCTTGATAAAGCACAAGCACAGATAAAACCAAAACCACATATAAATTAGAATACAGTAAGTACACTTACCACTGAAAAAAAAATGTAAGTAAATCTCTCTCCTGAGAAAGGCTTTGAGACCATTTGCCTTTTTTCAAATCTACATAACAGTGAAGTTCAGTAAGTGAATATTCTCTTGCAAATAAAGTGGTCGTCTTCTTCACATTTTGGCAACTGCAGTTAAGAACTGCCTTAAAAAAATCTTGTAAGTAGGCTTTATTCCTGTGAGTAATATCCTCAAAGACTAAGGAGAAAACATGAGCTGAAATTACTTGCACAATCATGTTTCATAACTGTGCCTAGCCAGTGGCATTGGTCCTTCCCTTTCCCAAGTGCAAAAATGCACGAACTTTTCTCTCCGTTTAACTAAGAGGAAAAAAATCTGCTTATACTTGGATACTTACAGAGTTTGGAGGAGCTCAAAACAATGGAGCACTGTGTGCCCCACTCATCACATAGATTCTGAAAAAAAAGTAAGGAAAAGAATGTACAAAGCATGTAATTACTGTTTCACAACATAATTTCATTATTAATACGTCCCCTAAGACAGCTTGCACACTACTGCAGTTTAATTAGATGTTAACTGGAAGGGGTTTGAATTTATGAGGTAATAAATATATTTTGGACTAATAAACTCCAAGACTGAAGTGTTTATTTATCTAGAATATAAAGATTATAAAGTTGATAGGAGACAACCTCAGGTTGTGCTGAGATACCTATTGTTTATGCGTTTTGAAACCCTGAAAATTAATATTTTCCTCTTTTTGAGAGCTAGACCAGAAAGCCAAGATTGTTGTGGATGTTCCTAAACAGTACTAGAAACTGTCCAGCTACTATAGGCTCTCAAAGGCAGGGATCTTAAAAAAAAAATTAATACATTTCAGAAGACGTCACATTTTTAAACTTCACCTTTTAATCAATTTGTCATCTCCTGGACTATTACCTCCTGCATATACACCTTCTATGCTTCTGACAGCTATCAATGCCTTATTGTGATGGGAAGAAAGGACAGGTTCCCTTGTGAGATAACCAGAGCCTTTAGTAGTCTGATAGGTCCCCTGAATACTCCATCCTGTCTGTTTTCCTGCTTTTAGATTCACCTGCAAGAATACAGCATGTGGTGAGCATGCACATCAATTTTAATATCTCATTACATTTTTTCTTCCCTCAACATCGTTCTATGAACTTTTTGCCGAGTATAGCACATTAAAGATTTGGAAACTAACCATTCACCACTGCGAGGATTTATATCCCAAACAGCTGTGCCAAGAAGTCGGAGGAATCAAACAGCATAATCTATTAACTTGTCCTCGGGTAGTTACAACTAGAGCTTTATAAATTGCCTGAGTCTAGTCCATTTAAACTACATTTCTCTGTTATTTTAAAAGTGCCAGTGTGCCACACAGGCAAGACAGAAGCCCAGATTTAGTCCTGGCACAAATGTGCATGACCAAAGTCAAAGACCAGGTTGCTTATGCCAAAGCTAAATATAGGCCTGAGAGAACTATGGAGAAAGAAAAGGGAAGAAAAGCTGGAGGAAATGTTCATGGCACACTCTCCTTGCAAATGAAGCAATACTGACAACTGCAAAGGGAACCCTCAGAGTGAAGACTGCTGTGTCTGTAAGGGACACAACCATGGAAATCCTGGGTGTGCCAGAAGGACCGCAGCACGCTGGGGAGGACAAGAGCCAGACGCACCACATCTTAGGTCTGCGGGCAAGGAAAAATCCTGCTTTTCAGAGCCTGTCCACGTTGAGTGATAGCAGTGTGAAGGTTGTATTACTAACGGCTGTAAAGACTTAGAGTTGCATGAAAATATGTTTATTAATGAGCTTAGGTGAGCCAAACATAACTGGCTGTGGGTTCAGACAACTTCCAGTCTGGCTCCGTGGTTTCAGAGTAAAGGCTCCAGCACCAAACCTTGAGAAGACTTACACAGATCATTAATGGAAGACGATGATGACAGTTGTTTCCAGAGCCCCTGCTTTTTAATTCCCAGGCCTATATACTCTCTCCAAATGAACCAAGCAACAGAGCTAACTTTCCAATATTAAATCTCCAGGCAGTATGTTATTCATACAGCTTATGTAGATGTCTTTACCCTCTGGAAAAACAAAGTTTAAGAAAAATGGTTCTATCTTTGGGGAACAGTTTAAGTCTCAGGATAACTACATTAGGAAATCTAACTCTATTACTTTGTATCTTACATTTTATTACTAGATTGGTAATAGGAAATTACCAAATAAAATTGGTATTTTACTTGGTAATTTTTTTCCGTGGGCTTCGTCTAATATGAAAGATGGTGATCATCAAATTTATTCAAGTTTTCCTGTCAACAACATCATTAACCAAATCCCTCAATTTCAAAGTAAATAAAAGCATCTGGGTTTCTCGCACAGCAAGACTGACTTGCATATTTAAGCCTCATATATAGATGAATTTGCACTGGACCAAATTTGCATATTAATGAAGGACTAATTGCTCTTTGCAGTCAATTTTATGCAAATGAATTTACTCCTCTCAGTACAATTTTCATAATGTTCAGAAAAAAACAAAAATGTAAAACTTTTTAAAAGTACACAAATGTGAGACAATCAAGGAAGAAATATCATAATGACATCAAACAGCTTTACATTAAATTGTATATAATTCATCTTTTATATTGTTGCTTTATTTTAACAGCCTCCCACAAAGAAATGAACAATTCATAGAATAACTTCAGCCTATTTCCCCTCCTCAGTCTCAAATTTTAACAGCTTGTAACACCCGCTATATTCTTTTCTTTCCAGCTGAAGGATGGAGCCTGAATTTTTAGAGGAAGTTAAATTTGCTAAGCAGGACTTAATTTTCTCTCAGTCATCTCATGCCACAGATCAGTTATGAGATACCCTTTCCCCCTTGATTTTAAGGTAGTTTCCACCCAGTTCTGCATTACTAAGAAAAAGTTCAAGGCCTTCTTCTAGTCTCTCCCTCTGAGCTAAAATACAATACACTGAGAAAAGGGCAGGGAAGTATAGAGAAAGACAGATAACAACAGATGCTGAGAAAGAAACGGTGAAATTAGGAAAGGGAAAATATGAATACTGAAGTAACAGAAGAAAGGAAGTAGAAATGGAAGGGGAGAAATATGATTACTCCATGCGTATATTCAGGTCTAAGAAAAGGAAAATTGAAGGGCTTGGGAGAAAGTTCAAGGCAAAGTAAACAAATGGAAGAGAAAAAGGCAGCCATGAATGTACCCACAGAAAAGTAAAAGAACAAGAAATATAAGAATACAAGAAATAAACTGACAATCAAGGAAGAACAGAAGATAGATAGATAAATAAATAGATAAAAAAGAAGATATGAAACACGCAGTTTCTTACTTCTGGCAGAACATAAGGGCAGAGTTAGTGGAAATGCATTAGGAATCTGAATTTGCATGTACAGCCTTCCTCTCTCCAAAGACAAAGCCTTATTTTAACCGTGAAGACTGATAACCATCATATTTATATATATCATAAAATCACTTGCAGGAGACAATTTTAATCCGAAAATGAATAGCATAAAAGTTATAACTTTAAATGACTTCAAGGCCTTTTCTAGATGGAAACACATGTGAATATGGTTTGGTCTCTTTATCTGCCATCTTTGATTGCGCTTGTTGCTCTTCTCTACAGCTTTTGCTGTTTTAACGTATCCTTTTCAAGACACACAGTACTCAAGATGGAGATATATGGTGTATTTATCATGGTATCAAAATGTTGAGTGTGCTTTTTTCCCCTCTTTCTTTTCTGATTATTCCTAGCATCCTATTTGACCCCTAGGCATCACAGCATTTAGCTAACAGATCTCCTAGAATGCCAGAATTTTGTCCTTGAGAAGTAATAATTTATAAACACCAACGTGTTTCATGATCTCAACAAAAGTCTTCAGATGCAAGGTGGAAGGAGCACAGAAGTACTGCTAGAAGGTTGCTTTGCAGTCTCTCCTTTTGGTCTTCCCAACCTTGATGACAGAAGCTACAACATTCGGAGCATTTGTTAGGGATGTGCTCCTCCCATGAGTGATCAGGCAATCATTGTACCTAGGCAAGACCTATCCATAGCAAAAAAAGACAGACTTTAGGGCAGAAGGATTAGCAGAAAGGATCAAAACCAAGAAGGACAGGGAAAAAGAAGATTTCACTAGCATAAAAATAAATTTTAAAAAAGGCCACAAAAGAAAGACAAATAGAGTTATAAGATAATAACAGTAAGAACTGAAAAGAATGAAAAAAAAAAACCACTGTACCAGGAAAACATTGCAATGCTACTGCTAAAGAATTTTCACCAAGGAAACAAGACTTCAATTTAGCTGATCAGCCTGGAGGACTTGCTATTAAAAGTTATTTGAAAAGAAACTGCAGTTCTTTGTGTACTTTGAAAACACAGCTTTTATTCTGGATTATGAACTCAAAATGTCTTCCTATTTTCCTGATAGAGAAGAAGGGAGGAAAACGCATCCTCCTTTATAACTTATGCATATGTCATTTGAAAACCTGCTATGGGCACTCCCCCTTTTTTTTCTTTTTCCAAAAGATGTCTGGTTCAAGTGATTAATGCTGTGTGAATGTAAACAAAGATAATTATTCAAACAAGAACAAGATGTTCCACCCAAAATGATTAGCTTTTTCAGTGGATGAGATGCCTACTTATAATCATCAAGAAAGGTTAACCTGACCAGACTTAATTAGCTACTTAATACAATAATAAAGATGCATACATAATTGGTGAGGAAAAGACTGCAGAAGCAACACTGAATCCAAACAAAATATCTCCATCAAGCACAGAGCCTGAGAAATCATGAGCTGTTATTACATGATTACACTGTTCCAAGAATCCCCAAGTTTTTATAAATAATTTTGCAATTGTCTATGTGGAAATTTGCTTGATTAATAATAATAAACATCATATATAAAACAAATGAACACAAAAGCAAGAAACAGCATCCTTAAAATTCAATGACAAAATTAACCCAATGGTATTTTTTTCAACACTCTGCTTCAAATTCATAGATGAAGTCAGCCAGTTTGTACAGATTATTCGAGGAGTACAGCCTTTAAGTGAAATAAATTACTCGTTTCTTACAGTCAAAAGAACACATTAATCGTTTTCTTGAAATCACGGCTGCAAGGCTACCAAGCAAAGTTCTGTCTGAATTAAGAGACAGTTCTCCCTGGTTAAGTGTATTTTAATAGCTGCTTCTCTGCAGAACAGATGTTTTCAAGTTTGGTGGATATCATAAATATTAAGAACTGAGCAATACATTTTAGAAGGCAGCTCTCATTGATCTGCTAGTATTCAATTTTTGAATGAGACAGACAAGGTTTTAGAATATGTAAGGAGATATTTGGCAGACATTACGGACAGTTGATTTAGTGAAAAAAGTATTGTTGTTATTCTCAAATATTTCCCTAATAATGAAATAAAGCTTTCTATTACAATAATAAAACAACTTTTAAGTATTTAAATGCTATATATATTGGGACTACTTCAAAACATATTACATTTCAAATAACGTTAGGAAAATTTATTAGCCTAGTATCTCTGGATAATATGTGGAGCACTTCCAGCATATAGTTGAAGCAGGCTGAATCTCAAGGTGTTACCAAATAATGAGTTTTACAGTGGAACACTGGGCATCAGACCTCCCATTCTTGGAGATAACTTTGTTTTTTTCCCCTTTCGGTAAAGTTTAAACACCCCTTAAAATAAACAATTCAGTGCAAGCCAATGTATCCGATATTGATTTATTCTATTCATAAAAAGTAACAACATAATGGTAAATTCAATCCATTCAATGAGAAGTTTATGAGATTAAATATATCAAAAGGGCAATGAAAGCTAATATAGAGTGATTAAATAACAATCTGTGAGAAAAAGACACACAACTTTCAATTTCATTATATTGAAATCATATACTGACAAAAGCACGCTTCTGAATTGATTCAAAGGAAGCTGCAGCCACTCTCCTTTTATAACAGCCTGGAAGTTCATAAGGAAAGATTAATTCATCACTTAACTGAAGTATATCTCGAAGTTTTTGATTAGAATCTACACTTCTGAGCCTTCTGGCAGTGCCAATATTGCTGAAACAGGGCATCAGATGCAACACCAGCAATTCTGGAATGCAAGGCCATAAACTGTAAATCAGTTTTGCCTTACTTAAAAATTGGTTTAACAATAAAGGAAGAACTTTAATGATTAATATTTAAGTAGTATAATTATTCCTTTAGAACTAAGTCCAGGAGGACTCTTCATGGGTACACAATGCAAAACTACAATGAAGAAAATGCATTTTTGCTATACCAGGAGTCATTAATTTATAGGACCCAGCTGAAAGGTACAACACAATTTGTGTGCGTACTGTGGAAAGAGATCCCACAGAAACTCTTTAGAAGGGGAAATGCTCTCCCATGATGAGGATGACGCCAGTGGATCCCTGGACAAATTGAACAACAAAGCCTAGATACTGCTAAAGCAGAGAACTGTGAACAATATCCACTATGCTTGCTAAAAATCATCACCAGGCAGCTATGCTGGTGCCTTGGTTTTGAGAACCAGACAAGGGTTGTTTTCTTCATCATTACTTTTGAAGTGCAGATTTGGGCAAGCAAAGTCTCCCTTCCTCTCTTCCCCTCTCTCCTGCCTTTTGTCACTTCAGGATGGGTGAACACACAAATACTTAGATTTTGGGGAGGAATTATGTAATTATGAGCTAAATACTCTCCCTAACCATTTAGTGAATTAGTGATGTTCAGATGCAAAACTTATTCTGCCCTGGAGGATGGTTAGACAGAAGGTAAGTTCTGCACCTGCACTACAACTACGGAACAAAAGGGGACTATAATTGCAGCTGCCAATTTTTGCCAACCATACGGGACACCAGAAATGCAAAAACATTCCCCACTACTTAAATAGATCCAGGCACTACTGTAAATACAGACAATTCTCTGCCATAGCAGAGTAAACTTGTGTATATTCAAGGAAACAGAAGAGAATTATGTCATCCATTTTGACTCAGAATGCTGTTTGCCAGATAAAGCAATTTACAGAGTTACATCCACCAACAAAGGATGAGAAAGTGATAGAGGGATAAAGGCTGAACTATGACTTAGTGATGCAAGGAAAGATTCAAAGTAACAGGAGCTTCTCTGATGCAACAGACAGGCTTTACAACATCACTTCCAGTGGGGGGATCACATCAATTGCCTGTGCCTACCATACTCTTAACCCATACCATAACGCATGGCAATTCATCTACACAGTCAGAGCCTACGAAGGCTCCACTAAGCACATACACGCTGAACAAGGAACAGACAAACAGAAAGATAACTGGCAGCCGCTCTTACTAACACGGACTCTGTAGTCCCACCATCATCATTAAGAAATGCTGCTAAAATACAAAAATATATATATATACTGATAATTAGCATCATAATTAACATAAAAATTTATACTGATTAACATCTGAATACTGGAAAATAGTACTCACCATTAATAACAATTGCAACCTTGACTTATTACACTGTATTAAGTTTGAGAATAAGGAATATTTATACCTGAATGCAAATAAAGACATTTACTTCATCAATAGAGTTAGAAAGTAGCCAGGTAATGAAAAGAAGCTGGATTGTCATTCCGTATTTATTATTACATTCTTATCCCTTGATCAATTTCCAAGGGCCACGTAGTAGCTAACATGGTAAACTGAAACAAAACTAAATTATAAAACTAAATTGCAAGTAGCAATTGCTGTTTGCTCAGGCATCATTCATTATTTATACTGTTTCAAAATGAAAAATAACTGTGATTTTTTCCTGTATCTTGTACACATGTACAAACTCGGATATTTTACGTACACCCAATTATTCTTAGTGTTTAGTGACTTCAGGCCAGAAAGCACATGCATACATACAACTAGACAAAGACCTACAGATTACAGAGAACATTACAGAGAACATATGGATAAAATACAGAGAATGAGTGCACATATGCAGGCATTTGCATGCAGCAAAAGTAGAGCGATATTTACTACCTAACGCAGATGGAGAAGTTCACTTTGGAGATCTCTGCAGACTTGTGAAGTCTAGATGATGCGTTTGGAATTCATCCTCTCCTCTCCACTGCTGAGGTAACTCAGGGAAATGCATGTTGGCAGTTCCTTTAATGAGTCAAACTAAGACATTTTACCCAATATCCTTCAGTTGCATTAAACACAAACATATAAAACAGGTAGCACAAATACTAAAGTCTAGAATTTTTTTACTCACATATACAATACACAAAGTCTGAATCATTTTGCAATTAAATCTTAAATAAAATAATTTTTACACAAAGTTGGATTGTTCATGAGACAAATTAGTTCTTAGCAACTGAGTAACGGCAAGTAGATCAAGGCGTCTCTAGACCTTTGGTTTCCCATCAAATCAATTAAAATCCTGTCTCCTGGGGCATTGTGAGACCCTGCTCAGAGCAGCTCTGTCAAATGCAGAGTTTAAGTTTTCTGTCCAAAAGAACCACCTTATTCCATAACTTGGAACGAGCACCTGTCTCAACACTGAAGTGCAAGGTTTTCTGACTCCTCGTCCATTAATTTATTTATAAAGGTTTACATCACACCTCTTTGAAATACTAAAATAAAATAATCTCTTTCCATCTAAATTTTAATTCACCACACAGCTTACTTCAGCATTGCATTTATCACCACAAATTATTTGAAAGTAGAGGCAATAAAGAAACTCTATTGAACAAGTGAATGCAGGAAAATGAATACAAAAATATTTATGTTCAAACTTCTATTTATTTTTCTCCAAATTGTTTAAAAAAAATGTTTGGTTGGTAGAAGTGATGTGCAGATATTGTAAGAGAAATATTAGGTGACAGTAGAGAAAGGAGCAGATCCTTGTGAACCAACTCCATTTTACCAGGCACATAAGACTAAACTCACCTCAGCTCGATGCAACTGCTAGATCTCCTATATGAATGTTAGACGTGAAATAGCAAAAAAGGCTGGCTAGCCAAATTTACCTTATCTTCTTTTTATTATTACTCCCCTTCTACATATTCGATATATCCCTTAATGCTCTTTCCTTTCAGAAGGAAATCTACATCTCTCAAAATAATATTTACAATCTCTGCTGCAATCTCCTCCATGGTAATTCAGTCTGGATGTTTGTTACTTTTTGCAGGGAATAGTTCAGCCCGAGCTCTCCATTTAGAACAAAACAATTCTGTTTTCCTGATATTCTTCATATTCAAATTATTCCAAAATGTAGTACAGAAAATGAGTTAGATAAGGGCATAGGGAAATGTGTGATCCATACGTAGGTGCCACGATGGGCTTACCAGTAACGGATATAGCCTTGAACATTAAAACAACTTTAATGAGGTGATATTGACCTACATGGCAGTTATCTTCACTACAGAGAAAGAGAGTTGAGTTCCATTTCAGCAGCCTCCACTGACAAATGCTTTAATATCCATTTCTGATTTCCGCTTAAAATACCTTCAGATTGCTACTTAGATACAAGGGAATTTCAGAAGCAATCTCCATCTTACTTTCCTATTGTCTTATCATCTTTTACACATTCTCTTTCAATTAATTAAAAAGAAGTCCAACCCTCTTTCTCTTCCTCCCTATTCAAAGAGGGATATAACACACCCTATCTTTTGCTGCCTCCTCTCTAAATTAGTAACAATATTTTTGTGCAGCCTTTCATAAAGATCCCAGACAACAATAACAGCATCCAGTGCAGCGGGTCTGTTGGCTTGTTTCAGGTTATTGCTAACACAGAACCAGAAAGAATTCTTTCTGTTCTCCACCTCTATGTTAGAGGAAGAAGTGCAACCTGTGGGTACTCAAGGCCACGTCTGAACACCAGGAGCAAGGCAGCTGCGGCAGCACAGCCCACAGCCCCTGCCCTCACAGCTTCCAAGGCACTGCAGCCCATGGCAGGTGGCTTAACAGGAGGTCAGCCTCCCTGTGCACACTGTAAGCACATCACACTGCTGCAGCAATGCTGCATATAGGAAATGGTAACTTCCACGATCAAGATGAGCTATCAATAATCATCTATTTTTATGTGCAGCATGCCATAAATCCTCCTAATTAGTAAACTAGATGTCATCTTTTTAGCAACCAGTCCCCAGCCTACTTCCTTATTTATTTTCTTGAATTCAATTATATTTGCCACCTGCTGGCCCAATCACCTAAATGACAGATTCTGGATGTAAGGTAGGAGCTAGGCCATAAACAATAATTTCATTATAGTTCGATTTAAAATATTTGCCTGCACCTATTTTCTCTGCTTTATGAAGAATGTCTGTGCTACTTCCTCCTCTGGGGCTCTGATGGCTGTGGGACACTGCATTCCCTGCAGGAGACCCAACAGCAACACCAGCAAGGATGCTGCACAGCTCTGTAGCCTCCACCTCCGAGCCCACAAGGAATCCAACCGAGATTTATCTGGACATGGGGGACCACCAGAGGCTGAATGAAACGTGGTGAAGTGATTTCCAAACCTGGACAGAAAAACAAAAGCTGATGGGGTCAAAAAGTACAGTTGGTTGCTAAAAAGGACCTAGGTAAAATAAAGGTGAGGAAATATTTATTTAGAAGATAAAATAATAGAAATTCTTTTGACATGAAAAGAAATGGAGGAGGCTGTAATCCTCCTACTGTTATTTAGCTGTCATGGAGCTCTGAAAATTCATCTACTCCACAAACCCAATGATTTACATTTCTGAACACTTCCCAAACAAAATCCAGCCTGTAAGGTGCACAGCTTGCAGGCAAACAGTTTAACTTGAAGCCTGAATTCAAATGCTTTGTTCAGTGTAACGGACTGCTCTCAAATTTGGTAAAAGTAAATGAGCAGAAGCTATTCATTGCCTTTAAGGATTAAATGATGAAGAGACTAGATTGCTATCAAACTGTGAAAGCATACAGCCCTATCGTATATGAGCAGAAGGAAAGATCAAAGACTGAAATCTGTTTTTGTCTGTTTTGTTCTTGACCAGAAACTCAACATCCCAAACAGCAAGGCCCTATAGTTTAGGCCTTCAAAGACAGCCACGTTTCCCTCCATCACCTTTTGAAATATGATTTACAAATCTATCTCCAATAACTTGCTATATCCAGTCCATGCTGAAGCCCTTACACCTGCCTCAAAAAACTACCAAAAACGTGGGAAAGCTGCCCTTCTGAAACCGAGTTAACAAAACTCTACACTGTGATAGGGGACAATAAAAGCACTGACCCAGATAGGTGAGCATTTCCCTCACCTCCCACTACTACAGTACATACGTAAATCCATGCTGCTTCCTTTATACTTCCAGAAACTTTCTCAGTTATATTTTCTTATAGCTAGTTAAAAACATGTATAAGTACAATGTATAACCAGTTGTTCTCTAGCAACTCTTCTGTGGTTCTGCATCTTCCACTTGGCCAGTCCTTTCCCAGTTTTAAAAAATTAATGTTTTTCCCAGTTTGAAAAATTAATGTTAACCCAATATTGGATAAAATTACAATTTCACCATCATTATTTTGCAATAGATAGTAATTCGGGTGAGTGTGCAAAGCTGCATTGTACATAAATGAAAACATTAACCAAACTGGAGGCATACAGTCAGTTAATGCCCTAATAGAGCAGCCTTGGAGTGAGAAACTGCACAGCATTTTTATGTAGCATTTGGGAAAACTGTGCAGCATGGGAGTTTTGAACATTAATACTGCAGCTGTACTAAATCTACTGTGTCAGCCTCTGTCTGCAAGCAAACTAGATTTAAGGAAGTACATTTTCACTGCAGCATTGGAGGCTGAAAAATGGTAAACTTGGTTAAATTCAACAGAAACTTACTTAAAAAGAATAGACATGAATTATGCGTACCTGTTAAACAGTCACAGACAAACAGTTCTGTACATAGATGATTATGTGACTTGTATAAAGTTTCAAAATATGAATGAAAGAGTAAAGCATTTTACAATTATATTTTAACATCGTGGCAATTATAGAGTGATAGAGAACAATTACAGTGTCAGGATATAAACAATGAAATATATACACCATTTCCATTGACCACAGTTTCACTGGTTCATGTCCTTTATCTGCTATCACATCTTTCTCTGAATGTACCATAAAAAGTTAGATGGATATCCGAGTGACCCTGGGCAGGATCTGCAGGTATTATTTTGTTGCAGTGCTTCATATTTTCTTTTACATTAGGAAGAAAAAGGATGTTCTGTTGCACACCAAAATATACACAAGAAAAATGCTGCTATCACTGTGATGCATTTAAGAAATTTCAACAAATATGCCAACTCTTCTGCAAGCCTTGAACTAGTTTTTCCATCAGCACTGAACATAGTGTTAGCCTCACTGAAGACTGTGCAGAAGACATTCTGCAGGCTCTTTCTGACAAGAGGCACAGAGCAATACCCTCTGTACAGAGATGTGAAGTTGTGCAAGATGGGATGCCTGTCTGGAGAAGTCTGTATGTGCCCTAATCCACACACACTGGCAAAAGCTTTGGGCATCTATTATTTCACAGCTGGAGTTCTAACAGAGCTGTAGCATGCTGAATTTATAGGTTCATTTACCTATATCCATCCACCTTTCCTGATGCTGCTGTTCTCTGTAGCTTTCTTTCCCCTCTCACTGGGCTGAAAAGAATCTTTTGTTAGTCTGAATATACCCAACCATATGTTCCTTGTCCCTGCTCACACAGTTGACATCTCCATTTGGTCTTCTCTTCTACAAAGCTACTGTCAAAAATATAACCATGATAATTTAAAAACAAACAAATACAAACACCCAAGCAACATGGTGTGATGTACTCAGCATCAAAAGGAGAAACAGAGTAGTAGACCAAACTTTTCGAGTTTGAATGCCTGAAGTTACACATCCAGATCTTTATTTACACATATTAGGAAATCTTTTCTGCAGACAGGCACAGGTCTCCAAGTTACAAGGGCTTTCTGTATCATTCAAAAAGGAGCCTTTTTACATATTTACTTATCTCAGTATTTCTTACCTAACTTCAGGCAATCAAGTCCTACAATTTTCACTTACACCTTGGTGCTTCAGTTGCCGTATCAACAAAAATAAGTCTGTTAGGTTGCTAGAGCCCAAATGGCCTTCAGCATGTTGTTTGTACTTTTGATCTATGAGCACACAGCTGGCCGAAACTGATGGGCAAGACAGTCATTTTCTAGTGAAAACAGGGGAGACAACATCACACTTGGAGTCAAGCAAGCTTACGTGCTTAATCATTGTAACATCTTCTGAAATAAGTTATATAAGAGCCTAAGATGGGTAACAGTATTCCTGCACCAGTGTTTCACCTTGTAAGTAGTTCTTGGGTAAGCAGCAAGTTCTCTTGTAAGCAGTCTTGCATTAATTCTTTCTATTAAAGGTGAAAAGTATTGGGTAAGCTAGAACAGAAGGATATTTCCTTAAATTAAGACAATGCTTATCATAAATGGATTTTTATTTGACAGTTTTGAGTGGTATGGGAGTGCTATGATTTAGTTCAGACACTTAAATTCATCTGAAAACTCAGACCATAAGATTTAATGAGTTAAATAGTCTCACCCTAGTCTCAAACTGTATAAATCACAAAATCACCACTCCAAGGAACTGAGTTGGAGGTCTTTGCAAAAAGATGCTAGTGTTGTTTCTTGACATAAGTGCAAACATATTGCATTTTTTCTACCTACTCAAAACTGGTTTAAAGTATGCCACTGGAAGAAAAGCGTACATTATAGCAAGATAACAAATGTGACTTGCTTAACAAACAACAGTGTTATCTCCTTTGACCAGATACCAGGGAGATGGCAGTATCTCTTAACCATATGTTGCAGACAAAGCCCCTAGCAGGTTGAAAGTCAAAGATCGTGTGCTACCACATATTCAATTATACTATAACTAAACCACTACAAAATAACCATGTAGCCAACAATGATACAAATATGAAAGGCACAAGGGAAAAATTCTTCTGCGGAAATTAAGTGTCACATTTGGAAACTTGGAGTAGTCAGCTGTAAGGATCCAAAGGTCATCTACACATTTTCTCCTCCCCTGTGCATCTGATTTCTGTCCTTCCTTTGACTTTACTGAAAATTTGCTGTTTGTGCTTGCTTTCCAAAACAAAAATAATTTTCAAGTTAGAAGTACTCTGATGTTATTCCAGAAACCTTTGCCTTCTGAATTAACATCTGCCTCACATTTTTTTACAACCAAAACATTTGCACAGTTAAATGTAGGGAATTGTGATGAACAACTGCATAACCCATGCCAGTTTCATCTGCAGCATTCAGTTCAGAAACGTGCTGCCTCTTCACCAAGCTGTTGAAGTCTATACCCGATTTTGTAGTAACTAGGGGCACATGATAACTGTAAGTTCAGCAACAAGTAATCCTGTGTTTTGCATAATTCAGTTACTAATTTTTCACTTTCCATGAGCTGCAGCATTACCATAGCATACTATGCTACCGGCCACATGAACGCCTGGAAGCGTGCTCATTGCTGTTACAGTCAACAACTGATTTAAACAAGGGCAAGGATGAGAAAACTACAGGCAGGAGTTTCTATGTGATGCGTATCATAAGAAATTATGTAATGAACAACCATAATTGTGTGCATTATATAAACATCAATATCTCCTCTTGAGCTAAACTACTTTTATCAATGAAATCAGAACAGAGTGAGCTATGTGTGGGCATTAGCATAAGGATTTCCTAATGGCAAAGCAAGTATTTTTATTTTCATTTAAAGCTGAGGTAAAGAGGGCCTTCCTTGACCCAACACCCTCATGCAAATAACTTCATGGACAAGGAGTTCCTTGACTCTAATGTGACTACTCACTTATGTATACTAATCACATACTCTCAAAGGATTAAGTCCTAAAAATTACCAGAGATAGATCAGACTGCTGAAAGCACAGACAAGTTTCTCCAGAAGCTACTGCTACACATCTGAAAATGTTTTACTCGCTCTTTGCATATTCCATTTTACCTGTTATTCTGACAAAATCAAGGAAAATTGAGCAGAGCATCTGAATGTAGTCAGAGCGTTCTGGAGTAAAGAACAAAACAGTGCTCACCAGCTATCAGATGAGAACCTTCAGAAACACTTCTCAGGATAAATTAAAAATTTTAAGAGAAGCAAATATGAGAGCAATAGCATCATGCAAAATATCATGAATAACTTTGAAGTTTTTTCCCTACTTGTTTCTTTTTCTTCTTCTAACATATTTGAGCATGAAGTCCAAACTTACAACACTTAAAAAGGGAAGGGAAGAAAAAAGACAAAGAAAAAAAAAAAAAAAAAAAAAAAACCAACAAAAAAAAACACACTAGTGTCCTAGGGTTCTTTTGTGGAAAGCTACAATATGCAAGAAATTACGCACTGGATATTGATGACAAGGATTTGCTTAGGACATGTCAATGATTTACCAAAATTTAACTCCCAATGACTTTTCTATGAGCCAAAAATCTACCTACTGTTTCTGAGGTTCCCCTTCAGTCTAGTTATTCTATTTTATGCAAGAAACTTAAAAAAAAAAACAACAACAACAACAACAAAACTAAACCATGAGTTAATTAATAATGGCACTTTTTCCTTTATGAGAGAACTTGACTGGCACAAAACAAGTATAAAAGTAACTAATGTGCAATTTCATTTTACAGCTCTATACAATCATGTTTTAATTCAATAATAGTTAGCCATTTTACCTTTTTTTTTCCCCAAAAATATCCTTTTATGTTTGTAAAATGTCATACAAATAATCTAGTTAATCTTATTATTTGATGAACATGGCTTTATTTGTGGGTAACACTTCCTAATAAGCTAACACAACTGTTAATATAAATTCTTTTTTGTTCAAAAAGCAGTAAAAACACCTTTTGTATTGTTAGAAACAGAGATTTTGTATATTGTCACCAAACTAAAAACAGCAAGCAAATATTAACTTTGTGAAGTGCAAAACAAGCTTTATTGACCAGCGAGGTAAATATTGACTGAACTGAAGCAAATATTTAGGTGCTGACGTTAATGGGACAAATCCCATTCAACACGACAAATAAGATTTTGCCTACTATATTCTGTATTTGTATTTATTCCAAAAGTTCTGAAAAAGAAATATCTGGAAATCTTTCTACAATGACAACACTTCTTAAAAACATAACTGTTTTACCTTAGCAACAGATATGCATTCAGAGGGCCAGAATATTTTAGCATTGTACAAGATGGGGGTTTAATGAATTGTTTTCAAACAGACAGAATGTGTTAACTCACTCACTAAAGTCTGAGCGGGTAACAGCTTCCAAGACCTCTGTTTAACTGATCTCTAAAAAGGTAAACAGAAAGTTAGTCAATTTTCAGCCACTCTTAAACCAACATTTTTCTTACTTACATAGTGGTAACTAATACCATAATAGAATTTCTCATATCATTTCAGTTATACTTGGTTACATATAAAAATTTATGGCAGACAGTCTTAATAATTCAAAAGAAAAGCAGACTTTTTTCCCCTGTGAGTTAAGGACTGCCACCCTATGGGAACATACACAGAGCAGTTACATAAGGACCTACAGGAAGCAATACGTCATCCTGAGGTACGAACAGCCTCAAAAACACAGCGTTCGCTCCCGTCAACGTGTCACAGACCCCCTCCAAAGCCTTTCCCACCATAAACCAACACAGATTAACCTAGATTAATAATCCAATATAACTTTTAAATATTTCTATCATATGACACGTTAGAACATTCACTTGTCTTTTGAACCTTAAATATGCTAATTTCTACCAAGGAATATGAAGAATAATTAAGGATATAACTGTAAGCAGATATTATAGATCAAAAACAAATTAAACAAATCCCTTCCTAGTAAACCCACACAGAGCAGGGTTTTACTTACATGAGAAGTCATTATTCAATAGAACTATTCACACAAGGGTTCACACATTCAGATTACCACATTAGACAGATTGGAAAAAATAATAATTTTGAGAAACTTCAAAGATTCTATTGAAAACTCTGGCACCTTTAAACACACCCATTAGAAAATACCGATGCCTTACACACAGGATGATCATTATAGTTCGTCTTCTGACCTAAATACCTTTGTAAGCAGCTCTCAAAGCAGCAATTAACGTTCACCTTCTAAATTCCTTAACAGCTGAATATTTTTTGAGTAATTGTATTTAACAGACCCTTCAATGTCACCACAAGAAAAGACCAGTCCAGATGACAGCTTCTCCACTTCAGTCTAATGACCATGGGAATCGCTCTTTCTTGCGGATAAAGACAGAGGCTGAGCACCCTCCTGTGCAGTGAGCAAAAATTACAACTGCCCTTTGTGGTTCTACTGTCTAGGTTTCATTCAAGGCTCTATCTATACACAAAACCCAAGACTCTGGGATCTGATTCACCAGTCCTAAAGCAATTATATGACACCATTTCAGTGGAATTACTCTCAGTACAGAATGATTTAACAGAATTCAGCATGTTGCTGTACACAGAGGGCTAGTCAGATTTCTGGAAACCTCAGGGAACAAGATGATGTCACTGCTTTATAAAAATGTCTGGTTAAAATTCCTCACAAGTCTGTTGGAAAAAGCCTACATAATCAAACTTCAACAGCGAAATTCAGATTCCTCTGCAATCACTCAAGTGATGGGTTTTCAAAACTGGTCTCTATTCTGAAGTGCTTTACATACAGGAGCGCAGGAACTGTTTTCCCGTGCTCAAAATTCAAATTGTTGTATAATTGCAGCAGCTAGTTTTTACAGGGATTGAGCACCTGAAGCTCAGGAAGGATTCAAATTGTAAAGGTCATTTGAGCCTCCTGCTAAGATTTTCAAATCCTCCAAACAGTGTAAACTAAACCCCCTTAATTTTACGCATCTTCCATACTCATGTAACATTTTGTGAATAATGAAGTCAACCAATAAAAGCCTTTGAATATTCAGGACATTCTGCTATTTTACATACTCTAGCAAGGAAACAAATTTTTACCATATCATTAACTACAATTTCTTTCCATGCATCTGAGATCAGTTCCTACTAATTTCACCAAAAATGTATGCTGTACACTGAACTTTAAAGGACTGTAGTTCCTTCCTCACCTTTTTGAAAAAGTTATATTAAAATATATTAAGTAGAAAAAGAAATGAAGATTAAGATTGTAATCCCCTAATCTGTTCTAAGAGGGAAGCTTTGCAGAGCTCCATCAGGAATTAGGATGCAAAATACTTTCTTCTAAAATTTTTATGCATAAAACTAGGTAACTTTTAGTACAGAGCAACTGTTTAAAAGGTAAGTAGTATGCTGCCAGGGCAGCACCAGCAGAGTTCCACGAGGATCAGTGTTTGTTCCAATTGTTTCATGAATTTATTAACAGTGATGGGAAAAGTAGGTATAAACTGATGAAATCTGCTGATACCATCAACTAAGGAGGCACTACCTGTACCTAGGAGGATGGGAAAGTCTGGGGATACTTATATCTGTGTGCTTCCAGACTGTCTTCTTTCCCCACCTGAAAACATGCCTAGACAGCTATTTGTCTCCGTGTGTGAGATTTATGGGCATTCTAGGAGGCGAGTCAAAAATACGGATTGGTAGATTTATAATTAAGCATTACATAACCCAACACATGCAATACCCATGGGAAGAGGATTCAAAATTTATGTTAATAATCTATGAAGTCTATCTTGTTTTTAAGGAGTGACTAAATCCAGATGTCATTAATAGCATCATGAAAAGATACCTGTTAAATAACAACATCACTGAAGAGCTACATACCTTCTAATGAGTTGTGAACTGGAGATAAATCAGCAAGTGACCTGCATGAGCAAACACTACTGATTAATCATTTGCCATTAATTATTTTAATATTTCAAGTGTGTTTAAGAAAGTTTGAGAAAAATTTCAATTTAAAACTACATTCGCAATTTAATGCATTTTATAATTACAAAAAAGGAACAGCTGAACCAGGCTTTCTATATTTGTACACTTTCAAAGCATGTACAGAAGGCATGCATAATTTCCAGCTATTAAATACTACTTAAAAATAAGATTTATAATTGTTCTTCCTGATATGAGAATTAAGTTAAGATAGACCACATTGTCTTTCATAACCCAAACACTATGAGAATGACCTAGTGAGCGAAGAGAGTGAACATAAGCATAACACAGGTAGGGCATCATAAAAATATAACAGTACTGTTACAGGCTTATAGCATAAGATGGAGATACAGCCATGTAATTCTCAGAGTGTTTCCAGCTGAACATCTGAAATCTACATTGTTGCTGCTCCTGAGAAGTACTTAGATAATAATTCTGTACAAATTAAAAGGTCTCCTTAGTTCAGAGGGCCTACAGGAACAGGAGGCTTATTTAGCACTTCAGCATATTTGTCGTAACTAGCCCCAGTTTGGCTTTATTTTGATTCCAACACATCATCTGCAGCCCAAGTGAAATGCAAAAGCTAATCCCTTCCCTCACAGGAGGGCAGACATTTCCAGTCCACAAATTCTGAATACAGATTCATTGGAAGGTCAGCAATAACATCACAAAGGCAGGTAAAAGGCTGCAGATGCCTCCTTCAAACCTACCTCCAGCGGAAAGAGCCGTGTCCAGCGTTTTCAGCTGCTTCAGTCCTCAATTACAAAAGAGGTTTGCTGTGGGATGGCCGGAATTACTAGACAGCAGGCCACTTAGCTCCTCTAAATACTTAGTTTTCTGCTCGTGAGGTGTGATGGCTGAGTGCCTGTCCCTCCCTCTCCCAGGGTTACTGACCCCACAGCCCACAAGTTGCCCTGTTTTCGTTCTGATTTTCAAAACCGCTCAGGTACCAGGCACCAGCTTCAACGCGAGCTGCGAACTAAACGCTTGCAAAAGTATGAGCCAAGGGAAACAGATGCCATTTCTGGCCGCAAACTAATTTATTCAGGAGCACATTTTGAAAGAAAAAAAAAAAAAAAAAAAAGTATCTATTTAATTCCTACGAGCTACGGCGGCACTAACAAGGGCGGCATTTTCCTCAGGTCTCCTGGGAGGCGCAGCCCATTGCCCCCAGCAGGGTTCCCTGTGGTGAGCACCGGACCTCGGCGCCCACACGGCCGCCCCTTCATCTCCTTCCCTTTTATTGCCCCCCCGACCCATTTCAATAAAAAAAAAACACCGGGAACCGCAGCCCTGCCGCTGTGGGGGGCTTCCCCCCCGCCAGCCCCCTGATGGAACGAAGGCCTGGAGGAGCCGCGGCCGCCCGTTGCCACAGCAACTCCGAGCCTTCCTCCTCCTCCTCCTCCTCCTCCTCGTCCCCTCACGGCTCCTCCTCTTCCTCCCCCCGCCGCGCCCTCTCCCGCCCACTCGGCCTCGGCGATGGAGGCGGCGGGCGGCCGCGGCCTGGGCAGCAGAAGCAGCGGTGGCGGCGGCGGGCGGGAGGCGCCGGCCGCCCCCTGAGGCACCGCCCGCCCCATGAGGAGCCGCCGCCCCCTGAGGTACCGCCGCGGGGCCGCTGCCTGCGCAGGGGAAGGGCGGGGAGAGGGGGCCCCCGACAGCGGCTAGGAGCGGGGAGGCGCCTCCGGGCTCGTTCCCCTCCCGTGCCGGGGCTTCTGTGGAGGGCGGTGGGGAGCGGGGGAGCGGCGTGGGGCTGCCCCGGCCCCGTCCCATCCTCCCGGGACCGAGCCGCGGCCTCCAGCCGCGCCCCGAGCGAGCGGGGGCAGCGCCCGGCGTGAGGGGGCTGTAAAGGCGCTGTCAGAGCTACGGGAGGGGGGGGTGTGAGTGTGGAGACACCGAAACACAGCCCCACCGCTTCCCCTCCGAAATACAGCCCCGTAACTGAGTTCCTGCAAGTTTGTCAGGCAGCAGCCTGTGCGCCTCGGACAATGGGCTCCCTCGCTTTTTTATTTTAATCAGTGCTCTGTCAGGTTTTGCAGAAGCAGGCCCTGCTTTTACTAACCGAGGATCGCTAATTAACGTTGTTTTCCCTTTAAAAACAGCATTCGTGGCCCAAGCCCAGAGACGTGCTGTTTGTAAAGTTAATACTATTTCCAGTGTATTGGCTTTACTCCTGCATTAAATTACAGAACATGAATTCTGGCTGCGCTGAAGCATGATGTAATCTTTGGCCAACAAAAATATAGTAGCAGCAGCATTTCTAAATGGTAGTAAGAAGTTCTATTGTATAAATTTATGCAACTTACTCATCTCCTATAACCTCAATTTTAGAGGCTAAAGACTCTCAGGTTTGTGCAAATACATTAAGAATTTCTTGCTGTGCAAAATTACCTTTTCATCTTACAAAATAGCACAGCAATGTTGCTTTAACCATTTGATATCCCCAGTGAAACTAACTGTACGTGTATGCTACGCTGTGGAAAAATTAATTTCAAAGAAGAATCTGGAGGAGCTTGAATTAATGAAAAAGGACTATAACATAATCCTTAATATTTTGATGATGTTACTTAATAGTGATGACTACTGCAAAATCCAGCATCAGAGCATTCTCCAAAGTTATTACTATGATACTGCACTCCAGAGAAGTAGATGTATGCAAAGACAGACACAGAAGTGAAATACTGTCCAAGAAGACAGTAGAAGGATGCCAAAGGAAAAAAAAAATCCTCATTTGGGTGGTCTCACCCAGCTCGCTGGCTGCACTTTTTTTTTGACCTGAACCAGATGGTCCAGGCTCTTTCAAATGCTTCTTACAATATGGACTAAACCGGGTTCTGCTTGCTTACCCAGACAGGGTAATCTCTTGTTAATCTTATAATGGCCCTCAATTTTTAATATGCACTGTCTTTTGACTAGACTTGTCTGAACAAACACCATTTTGTGCATGCATGTAAATGTACTCTTTGCTTCCTTCCCATCACTGTTTGTTCCTTTTTTGTTGGCCTACTACTGTTACTGACTATTTTTGTGAAATTATGCAGCACTTCTGAGCTCTCTTCTGCACCAGCAGAATTGGTCTCCAATTCAACAGCTTTCGCTGGTCTCATTTGCACTGAAACAACCTCAGATTTTGCCAAGGCAGCCAGGTTCACTGCAGGCTAGAAAATCTGCATCTGAATGAGAGGAAGTCATTTAATATGGCACACAGAAAGTTGCCCCTTGATGATAGGATGCAAACCCAGCATGCCAGCTTCAAGAACAAAGAGAGCCAGGATCTGTTAAGAGAACCTTTACTTTGCTTCATGCAGGCAATCACTCAATGCAATTTACTGTATCTTTGTGCTGTGTTTTTTTCCCTGCATAGTTGTACTCTTCCTTCAATGACAACTTTTTATTTCCCATTCCAGGAGACAAAGTAGTAGGAATCTGGACCAGAAAAAAATCCCACCATGCAAGCAAACTGCAGTCATCTCCACAACATCCAAGGGAGTGGTGATGACCCTTCACCTTCTCAAAGCACCCATGCAGCGAGGTCATCAGGAGAGAGCTCGTGCCATCATAGCGGAGATGTTCGCATTCAGCTAAGCACTGCTGCAGGAGAAGGCAGAGAAAATGCGAGTTCTCGGCCTTTGAGGCCAGGTTCCCAAAGTCGCTCACATGGACATGCCCACAATGAAGCAGGAGGGCTTGATGACTCCGCTCCAGACTCAGAGGAACACAGTGGCAGCTCCCTCTCAGAGCTCAGATACCTCCTCCAGTGGCTGCACAAAAGTCTGCCGTATATCTTGATTCTGTGTGTCAAATTGATCATGCAGCATATAATTGGTAGAGTATAACAAAACACGGTCTGAGGGAAGAGACCCTCCCCCCAAACAAAGATAAGCTGATAACCATGCCTGAGATATAACTTGATTTATTTTTAGCTTTATTTTTATTTGCTTTGTTCATCAGAAATAGAGATGTACTAAACTACATTTCAATAGCTTCTGTTTCCTTTGCTGGCACACACAAAAAATGCTTAATTATTCTGGCTTGATAGTCTGAGCTATTAATTGAAATCACAAAGAAATACTAGAAACGGCTTTTTTTTTTTTAAACCCAATTCAGTATGTTTTTTTTTGTTTTTTTTTAATTTCTTGTGTATAACTGACCCTTTTTTCCTAATAGGCATTTCTCTTGGAATTGGGCTGCTAACAACTTATATGTATGCAAACAAAAGCATAGTAAATCAGGTTTTTCTAAGAGTAAGTATCACCCTACGCAACAGAATTCTGTAAGTTAACCAAGACCTTTATACATCGATTCTTGAAAGAAATGTGAATGGAGATAGCATTATTTGGTAAATAAAACTAAGTGTAATACGTTTCAAGACAGAAGCAGTCTTGTAAACTGTAGTGCTTTTATACAGTATAGAGCTTCTCAGATTAAAGTTTGCAAAATTCAGATTTTTCCTCCCTTTCACTATTGAATTCACTTAAGTGATACAGTTTTTTTGCAGTTTATGGAAGAACTTAACCGTGTTTGGAATCAAATAGTGGTTGAGAGTTTAAACTTCCAGCAGTCTCAAAGGAAAACTTGTTGTTCCTTCAGAGTGGGATGGTTTTTGGTGTGTTTTTAGGAAAGACCTTGATACACATAGAAATTATGTTGAAAACACTAGAATCGCTGCTTTACTTTTCTAATGAGTTCTACAGTTTTATCTGACCATATGACCATAAATCAGTATGAATTAGTATGGAATCCTCTAGCAATAACTCTGTTTAAGTATGATAGACTTAGTGCTTTGGAGACACAGTTAAGACATTCTTACCAAGATAAGGGCTGTAATTTGTCTTAACAATTATCTTACAGGAACGGTGCTCCAAGGTGCAATGTGCTTGGTTACTAGTATACTTAACTGGATCATCTCTCCTCTTGTATTACACCTTTCATTCTCAGTCACTGTATTACAGGTAAGTACAGGAACATCTCCCATCAGATCATAAATTAATAAAACACTAACTGGAAACACTTTATCTGGGCAAGAGCTGTTTTTCTTTAACTGTAGCATTGATTTCTTTCATTACAATCTCCATTCCTCCTCCTCTGCTAAACTGAACAAGTGCTGTCCTTAAAAACATGATGTTAGAATTTGTAAAATTGGACCATGAACTCAACTTAAAGGCTGTACTATGCCATGGAGGAAGTGGCAGGGTTTGATTCCCAGCTTTGATCCTACCACCTTGCCTTCAACATACTGAATACGTAGCATTCTAGCACTCTGGGGGGCTTATATCTGCCATTTATTTTTTACCGTTATTATTCTGTAGCTACAGCCCTGGTTGTAAATCAGTCAAAGGCTGTATTGCAAAAATGGAAAAGAAAGCCCATCTCTAGGGACAACGTTTGCCTTGAAGGAAGGCTCAGAAATGGAGAGATTGCCAGAGATCATAAAGGATCAATTTATAATAAAGAGTTCATTTTCTTAGCAAGTATTTTTCTCCTCTATGTAAACTGTTTGTTTATTTATTTAAGCATGCTGTGATATAATCTCTGGTTATGCTTTCCTCTAAACAGCGTGCTCCAGTAACTTCTGATACTTTATTTTTTTTTGTAGCTTAATCTTTTTAAACCCTACTGTGGATTTTAAGAACTTCTGGGAGGTGCTTTGGATTGTGGGAGTCACAGACTTCATTCTGAAATTCCTCTTCATGGGCTTCAAGTGCTTTATTCTCTTGGTGCCTTCTTTTATGATGTCCTTTAAATCCAAGGTAAGAAAATGATCTATATCCTTATGAGCATCCTTTTATGGTAAAATTAGCTAGTTATTAAATTTTACCTAAAGGAAAGTCTTTTAAATTAAAGGTCTGTATATAATCTATCACTACACTGGGCAAGAAAACCCTGTGAATTTTATGTTCTTCCCTTCTTGGTGGTAAGGAAGGTTTACAGTCTGATCTGAAACAATGGCTTGTATTATTTCATGGAATAAGTGGGCTTATTTCTACTGTAAGTGGTAGGATGAAGAAACCTTTTATTTGCAGCAATGTAAGAACGTGTATACAGGCTGCTAGCACGGACCAGCTGATGTACAGTATATCTTGTACTTGCTTGTCAGTAACTGACGTGGGGAGATTTTAATACCTGTGCGTGTAAATGGCTATTTTTTCTCTTAAAAAAATAGTTCTCCTTTTGTTAATTAGTAAAATTGTCAGACCAATGAATTTGATTGATAGCTTTCTTTCCTCAAACCAATGAAATTTAATGATTTTTATAGAAGTCTGCATTGGTTGGTGGGTATGTATCTTTATCTGCTTCCCAAGGTAAGACATGCAAAAAATAATCTGTGTTGAAATAGAACATACTAGTACTAGTTTAAAAATATATTTATTTATATATATAGTTAGCATGTGATAGCATTTGAGTGTTTTTGTAGGTTTTATCTACTAAAATGTACCAGAACAGTATTTCTCAGGTACATATGATTTGGAGCAATAGTAGCTTATAATCAAGATCTCTGTATCTACAACTACTGATACAACAGCCAAAAATTGGAAATTCCATTGCACCAACGGTGACCTAAATAGCTAAATTAAAGAAAGAATCTGGTCAATAGTGAGAAATCATGCCATTTTCCTGTCAAATTAGTCAGAGTACTTTATCCCGTTATTAGAGCTAATATCTATGATTAGTCAAATACACACGCACACTTAATTGTTAGAAGCATATAAATGTGTGTGAACACAGTGCTCTGTGAAGGCTACTTGTCTGTTGCAGTTACTGTTCAGTAACATTTAGGGCATTATTGAACTCCGTTTACCTGCTAAGTCCAGGTACTCTGTTTCTTTCTCCTCCTGTCCCCACCTTTTTCTTATTACCCTGTTCTACATAGGGGTTATTTATCACAAGAGAAGCCTTTTTACACAGGCATGAAATACATTAGAAATGGGTTTCCTCTAATCATTATGTTTGTTAATAAAGAGAGAGGCCTGATTGTTTTTTAATCCTAAATGGTGAACACAACTTGTAATGACAAGCTGATCTGTGTCTTAGCTTGTCTTAGCAAGTTTGATAGCATTGTAGTAGGTAGGTATCCTACAAAGCCACCCTTTTTTAGCCTATTAATTTTTCTCCAGTACAGCAATCAATTGTGGTATTGTTGTTTGTACAGTTGTGGTGAGATTTATCATCTGGTCTTCGTTCTTCTACTGTTGTCCTTCATATATATTTGCTTCAAGATCCGATGAGGGGAAGTTACTCTAAAGAATGCTAGTACATCTTTTCTATATATTTTAAAAAGCATTTGTATTTTAAATCTTGAGAGATTCTTTTACATGTCTTGCTTAGGGCTACTGGTACATGCTGTTAGAAGAACTCTGCCAGTATTACCGTATGTTTGTCCCCATACCAGTTTGGTTCCGTTTTCTTATTGGCTATGGGGAGCCTGACAGTGTGCTAGGCTGGACCCCTGGGATATTGCTGGGCCTCGTCTACCTCATCCTAAAGGTACGTAACCCTTATAGTCTTAAACTATTTTACGGTAATTGCCACTGGAGGGGTAGAGGCATATAAGCTAACACATTTCTGAACGTTTCTGTGTTTGAACTAACTTGCAAGTTGATGCTTCAGTTTAACCGATACAACCTTCCAAAACTGATAGCACCCTGAGCCAGTTTTCCTAAATCTTCTTGTCTATTTCTGCACCTGTTCTGGGAGACTGGGGTGGTATATCAAAGACCACAGTTACTATAGGACGCTTCTCAAATCAGACTTTGATCACACTGTCATCAGAAACTGAGAAAAAGACCGTGAGAAATAAAGATGAAATTTATGGCTAAAAAAAGTCAGCATTTTCCAAAGAAGGCAATGTCTGCTAGAATTTCCCTGTGATGCTAAACAAGTTAGAGAAGCGTTTGAAATGGCTGTCTACTTTGGTTACACTTGGGACAGATGAACTCTTTAGCAATCTCAGTATAAATTCTGCTTGAACATGAAAAATACTTTATCATACTATGGTGCCTTAATTACAAGTCTAAAGGCTACTGTGTATATAATAATAATGCCGGTATATAATGCTGGTATACTTGCAATTGAGTGCTTTATAACCTTAACAATATTTTTCTTGTAAAGAACAGCCACCTATTGGTGAAAAAGAACTTTGGGATGAATTCTGAGTTTGGCTACACATGAAGCAACTAAAAACAGGGTTGGTCTGAACTACTGCTTTGCTTACGTTCTTGCCAACATCAGATTACAGTGACACTTACGCTACTGGGATTTGCACAGAAACTTGGAAGCTTTCTTTAATTCACAAAGAAAGACTTTCAACATAACTCAGGTTTTCCTTCCCGTTCCAGCTTTTGAGTTTTTTTGGACAATTGAGAAACTTCAAACAGGTTTTACGGATATTTTGTACACGACCAGTGAGTATTGAATGCTCTTTTGACAAAACAGTAGATCTGATTTAAATGAAAAGGCTTCTTTGTGAAATATCTCATTCATGTATTATTTTGTATAGTTCTAGAAATAGACAAATGCATTTTTAAAGGAATCCCTCTACACGCTCCCCCCATTTCACAGTCTGAGTTTCCTGACTATGTAATTATGGGCTAACTTGAACCAAAGAAAACTAAACCACCATTATCCTGCATGTATCTTCAGATAAAACTGTATGAAATAACCTATCCTTGTTTTCCTATTTTTTAACTGGAATAAGTATTGGTTAGATATAGGTAAAACTTTATGCAGAAATGTAAGTGAAAAATGAAGCTTGCCAAAATAATTGACATGCAAGTAGTATCTGATAGAGTTTTAAAAGTTCCTCAGTCTTTCTCTATAGTAACAGGTATAGTTATTTAGTATCTGCTATTTACGCAGTAAAACATATAGAAGACTTTAGAGCACAGTATCATCACTATCTCTATCAAATTTAAGATGAAATTTCAAGTGTTTTGCTTGGAGGCATCTTAAAATAAAACTATTACAGATTTTTCCTACAACTATTATCAGGGGAATAAGCAATAGCCCCTAAAACAACTGTTGAAAAACCTAGCAAGGTTTTAGATTAGGAATTGGATATTTCTCCTGACATGTATCTCCTGACATATCCTTATTCCCAACTCTTTTCTGTCATTTTCTTTTTCCCCTTTGAAACTATTATCTGCTGAAAAAAATCTTGTTTTACAGCACTATGGGGTGATGGCTAGCAAGAGACAGTGTTCTGAATCAGATGATATTTGTCCTATCTGTCAAGCTGAATTTCAGAAGCCTATTCTGCTTATCTGTCAGGTAATACACATAATCAGAATTACTTTTTGCAAATGTTTTTTAAAAAATGGTTAACAACATAGATTAGCAAGTGTATGTCTTCTGATTATCTTTAGAAACAAGACAATGCAAATAATAGATCTTCTTACAAGTGGAAGAGCTTAGAAGCTCTAAGTTGTCATTCTTTTCATTACAGCACACATTTTGTGAAGAATGCATCTCTTTATGGTTTAATAGAGAAAAAACGTGTCCACTCTGCAGAACTGTTATTTCAGACCATGTTAACAAGTGGAAGGATGGAGCTACATCTATGCATCTACAGATTTTCTAAAGCATGTTAAAACTTGTTTTACGGTTCATTTGTACAAGCTAAGGTCTTCCAGCTTACTGCAGGTGAAAGTGTAGGTGACAAGGAACGAGTTTCCAAATTCTAGATTATCTAGGATTTGATGCTTCTATGAAATATCCCAGTATTTAAAACAGTGCAGGAAATGTTAATTTGCCTTCTTAAGTATAGAAAAATGTTTTCAGAATGAAAGGAGAAAAGCCATCATTGCTTCTCTCGTGATTCTGCCAGGAAACAATCAAATCCTTAAAAAATGCTGCATTGCTGCTTGCAGCAGCTTCTTCATTCAATATTTTATTTAAAAGCTTTTAAATAGTGTTCCAGACCATGCTAAATTTTATTTATCCTTTTAACATTACTGAAACCAAAAACCTAGATTATGAGCAAATTTTACGCTCTGGATTACAGTGGGAGTTAAAGCTATGTGTCACACTTGACATTAAAGATCCTTTAATGCTAGCTCAACAGATCAGAGAAATTAACTTCTTATTCATGCATCTAAAACAGCAACTATTTCTCATTGTACCTGGAGACAGGACACAAGAATAAGATGTTTCCCCTTTAGGTTCTTGCAGATTTCTAATTGATCTTAAGCTTAATACATAAATCAATCACTGATACTAGTTTTTTACTCGCCATTTTATGAAGTTGGTATTTTTAAAACAGATCTTTAATACTATATTTTCTTGTCACATCAGGAACCAGATTTTCATACAGGGGAGAATCTATTTTATATTATATATGCAATTTGTGGTATACATAAAAATCAGAGAATAAATGCATTTAAATCATTTTGTTTGGTGCACATTGAATAAAATAAGTTTCATTACTGTTTCAGTATTAATTTACATGTAAGTACATAATAACAGCTCATTGCTAGGCATACCTTGCTGGTTAAACTAATGTCTTACAAGAAACAAAAACACAAATGCTCCAATTTATTCATGACTAGTCTTTATGCTGATTATAGATCTAACTTACCTATCTTAATTCCTTTTTTTTTCCTGCTTGTCTTTTCTCACCTTGCTATTCAGAAAATACTAAAAAACAACAAAACAAACGTTTGTTATTCTTACAGGCAAAGCTGAATTAAGTTGTCATTAACTTGAGTTTGTCTTAACTGAATACCTTTAGGAAACTTCTAAGTTAGGAAAAAGGAATTCACAAGTTAAACACTTACTTGATGAATGATGTAGCAACTCAAACAGTCAGGCAGGGTGCCCAAGTACTGCAAAGTTGCAGCAGAAGCAGGCAGATTTATAGGGCTGACAGAGCATGATGGGAGAGTGCTTAAAGGTACAGCTAAAGTATAATACTAGTAAGATTCACTACTCTGAATAAAATCTTAAGGAAAACTCAAGCTAACAGGTATCATTTTATGTCAGCCTGGGCTTTTCTATAGCATACTAAATACTTGCTAATTACATTTGTTTGAAGTTTACTGCAGTTCAGGTAAGTGTGCTATATGGTTGTTCCACCATGGAATCTGAGTGACTGGGGAAAGGACTCCAGCTTAAAGAAAACAGGCAAAAGCTTCCAAGTATGTAATTGGAAACTTATGTGAGTAGAAGAGACTGGTTCTCAGGGAGGCCTTTCCCAGCAGGTGAGGTACTTAGTTTGGAGAATGTGCAGCTGAATGGTGTTAGTGCAGGCCAGAGGGTGTCAGGGAGAAATTAGTGCTTGGCCACAGCCTGAGCTGTGCTATAATAGGCTAGTGCTCATGCCTCCAGCACTGGCAGAACAAACTGCTCTTTGTTTCCTTGGAGAGATCTAGCTGTGCCTTAGTTTGCATTTAAAGCTGATACAAGATCAGGTCTCTGTCATCTGAATTTCATCTATGCTAATGCCCAGACTGCTGCTGCAGCAGAACTTACCTTGAGTGATAGACAAGAACTGAATCTGTCAAGGAACAAAAGTGAGTAGGGGGAACTTAAGGTTGGATTCTGAATCTGAAACACCCACAGAACTTTGACAGCTTATGTGGCTCTTCAGACAGTTATGTAATCATATTTGGACTTTTCTAAACAATCTGAACGTACAGCTTACCTAAATGGGGTTCTAATTTGTTGTAGTGTTTTTTTTTCCTTAATACAGATATTGTATGAATATTGTATAAGTAATCTGAGTACCATATTTAATTTAGAAAACAAACAGCACCTACAAAAAAAATGCTTTGTATGAATAAGCCTAAGACATATTTGCCCTTCTCTTATAACTATAATAACCAACTTGCCTGGAAAGGTAGGGAGCACAACAAAATATGCTGTGTTTTAAGTCAATCTTGCATTGTTGTTGATCCTTTGTTTTTTGTCTGCCACATACTAGTAACATCACCTTACTAGAATAAGGGTGAATATTGGTCAGATATAGAATCAGAGAACAACTTGTCCTATTTTCTCTCCCAGTTAATGCACTTTCTTCAAGATACAGTGAGAACCCAGTAATATTATCAAACACAGTTTATTAAAAAACAAATAACTTAAACAATTTATCAGCCAGGTTAGATTTACATTTCATAAATGAAACAAGATAAGTCATTCTCATTTTAGTTACAGAGAGGAAAGAAGCAAGTAACTTACATCCATGAGCGACATCCTCTCTGATCCGCTTGTCAGCACCATGCTATTAGGACACAGCTCTTCCTCATCAAGCCCACTCAGGCCAGGGTAGCAGCACTGCTTTCCACACAGACACCAACACCCAGCACTTGTGATTCTGCAGGAGACAGAACAGAGGATGACAAATGGCAATCGATACCCTCTCTAAGAGCCAAAGAAACTAGGTGAAGGTACCAACCCTTGGTAAAGACAGACTGAGCAGAACTAGCATCTGTCAGGTCGTTTAAGTTCTAAGCATAATTCCACCTCCCTCCTTTTTCCTTCAAAGCTGTCATGAAAGACAGTTATACTTAGGCCCTACCTACTTCCTAAAAAACAAAAAAATAGGTCACTTGGATTGGCATGTGTTTAAATTTTCAGTTAATTGCTATTCACATCTATCTTATTCTGCAGTATATTTAGCTCCAGTAAATTGTGAAAGATGAAAAACAGAATAGGGATTACCTTTTTTTTTTTTTCCTACGGCAGCTGAAGTTTGTTTCTTGAACACAGCTACAAAGCCAAGTTAATCTAGAAGAGAACAATCTGTAGAAGTTCATACACAGAAACCACATACAGTAAATCATCAAGAATCTAGAGGAAGAATACTGAAATAATTTGCCTCGTTCTTAAAAACTTTTTTTTTTCTCCTTTACTTCAATGTAAACTAGGAAATGGAGTGTGATTAACAGTGAGAGCAGTTTGGGAGTTAATATTAAAGAGAATAAGACCCGAAGTACACATCCACCATATTAAATGTTCTCCAGCTGTTCAGCTTTTGGATAGTGAGAAAAAAAAAGGATATTCAAAAGAACAATTGACTCATTTATTTTTATGTTTTATTATGAGCTAATACCAGGATGACATTCAAATGTCAGATGGCACAATTAAGACAGTCTTGGTAGGAATTATTCCAGCATTCCCAAAATTACAATTTAGTACACAAATGGCATCAAATGTATGTATCACTCCCACAGAGAAAAAATGATGAAATTCTGAGTATCTTATACCAGAATAGCTTCTGCATTAAATGGGAAAAGAAAAACTGCTGGTAACACAGCTGACCTATAAACCTTTTGTGATAATGACCTGCAGAACAAAATACTCCCCTATTTAACATCTAGTAAAAAAAAATATGACTTTTGTTCAAGTTTAAGATTTAATACTTTTATATGGTTAGCCAAAACAGGTATTAACCTCAGTTTTACTATATTTTTGTAATGCTACAAAAATCCTATAAAATCAAATTATAGTGATTTTTTTCAGTGATTATAATTAAAAAAGCGCAGCTCATACAAAATAAAAAAAATAAGATTCTATACTCTAATGAAAAATTTAAGACATTTTTAAATGAACAAAAGAAAGCACTTGTTAAGCTCTCCAATATTCAATGCATTCTGCACTTATCTGAAATAGCCAGACAGGAGCTAGAACTCCACTCCCCTTAGGTCATGACTAGTAATTTTGACACTACTATATATATATAGAGGATCTATGTCTGATATTTTTACAAATAAATACAGGATAAACCATATTGCATAGTGTGTGCTTGCTGTCTGAGTCACACTCCAAAAGTTTCACAGTTATGGTAGGGAATTAAACTTATAATCTATGGGATGAAACATTGACAGTACATGAAATTTACTTTTAAAAATGATAAAACTGTGTCTGTAATTAAGCAGTGAATTCAGACAAACAACTCTTGCCATTCTTGCCAGCCATACTAAACCAACTCTACTGGACAGCTATATCCAGCCAACCAAAAAGCAACTGTTAGCTGTAGCTAGGACCAAGAGAGATTTGCCTCAAAAAAAAAAAAAAAAAAGCTTTAAAGTCAGTAAACATGTTACGAAACCTATGTTAACAAGTGGCACAGAGCAGGCATTGCTCGCAGTGTTGCCTCTTTGCAAATCTGTATAATACATACACACGTGAGCACTGTGATTGTGGTTTCACAACATGTCACCAGCGGCCATATTACCAAATTAGAAATGGTAACCTTCCAGTACAATTTCTATCACTAACTTGATTTTCCTTACAAAGCTAAAAAAAAAAAAAAAAAAAAAAAAAAAAAACACCTCCAACAAAAGGCTTATCAGGAATAAAAAAGTTCTATTTTTTTTGTCCAATCATAAGTATATTTTTGTTGGTTCTTCATTAGTATCACCAAGATATCACTGAATCCTTCTGGCTTGCAAGTTTTAGAAAACAGCACTCTGATTGGATTCAGCACGTGTAGAGTTTTATGGCTTGGATCCTATGGCTCAAAAAGATTCAGTATACACAGAATAAGCAGAATCTATAAAAAATCCCTACTGTTGTGAAACGCTAGAAGTAGACTTTGCACAGTTTGACTAAAGATAATGCAACATGTGGCAGGCAAAAAATGACAGGACTTGTATGCAGTTGCATGATCATATACACACGCACACACCATACACACTCTAACTAGTGTAAAGCTCTGCAGATATTAACCCTTTCACCAGCTATGTTCATGGAAATGCTTTCTTTAAGGCAGGAAGTATTAAGTAAGGTAAAGTTACCTTTATTTTATTCTTTGTACCTGTAAGTCATTTGTACAGATTATGACAATTTCAAAAACATAAATAGTGTCCTTAGAACATGTTTCCTAAATTAAGTTGCTAAAGTTCTGACCCACTGTGGAAGACATTCACTGAAAGGCCATATAACATTTTTTTTTCCCTCATACAATCAGCGAATTTATTGCCCCAGCATAGAAAAAAAATTAGTAAATTTAGAAATGTATAATGACAGGGAACTCCCATAAGCAAAATTTTATTAAAAAAAAATTTTCCTCAAGTTCTTACCCATTGGTTACAAAAAGGTTTATTTGCTTATACTGTGTAGAACTTGCATGTGTTTCCTGTGGTAATATATCCACATCGACTGACCTTGTGTTCCGATGCACTTTTTCCTGACCTTTTATATGGGTAAGAATCTCGGTATATTCAGCTGTCTCCATCTAAGTGACTGGCATATACAAAAGTGATGTTTCCCAGTGAAATGTCTGCTGAGGACAAGGATGAAATAAGCAGGACGTGTATTTGAGCCCATGGCTTCCAGTTAAGCCTAGAACATAGCAGCACTGTGATTTGATTAGATCCATTTGTCTTTGCAGGAACAGGTATTTCAGCTGGGTAAGCAAGTGAAACAGTTCTTTCCCACCCCGCATTGCCAAGCTGGTAATTGAGTAATTTGCTTATTGATTTTTTGTTTCATGAGGAGAATCAGAACTAGAGCCTTTGCTTTCTTCACAGCAACCAATTATTTTGCAGTTTAATTTTGGGATACTTTCCATAATGAGCTGAATCAAAAAAATCTATTTGAAAAATATATATTTTTTCTTATATATATAAAAAAACTCATTAGGTTTTGAATGTGAAATACCAATTAATTTTATCTCTCATCTTTGATTCCACCCCATTGCAGGAAACAGCTTAACCAAGCTTGCATGCTAATTATTCCTCAGACGCAAGCATATAGGCATTTCATACTTTGCCTAGTGAAAGGGCTAACCCTCCTTGACACATTCACAACTAGACCAGTGATTCTGAAGCAACATCCTGACCCTTAATACTGTCAGTTTCAAGCTACCAAGCTGAAAAATCCTTGATAAGGTGAGAAGATGTCACTGCGAATCAGTTAGATGATGTGCCTAGAGTTCTGCAATACCATTTTCTAAAGTTTTTTATGCACCATTGATTGACAGAAAAAAAAATCCATTTTTCTTTGCTTTCCAAGTCGCTCTGTGCAAGGACTGACTCTTTGATACTGTCACTTTTTAAAAGTAAACCATGCAAGCCCTCATATTTCAACTTCAAGGGGCTTATGTCCATTCTTTGTTTTCCACCTTCAAAGGCTTAAAAAATTGTGTTGTCATAGATTCATGCGCAAGTGCTCTGGTCGTTTGGAAATCATGGGAAAAGCTTGTTTTTTATATGGCCCAGAGTTTGGTTGCCGGATTGGAAGTGGTGCTGAGGCCTCTCCACAGACTGTCACATCCATTTGTTCTATTCCACTTGTCTCCATTGGATATTCCACAGGTGTCTGAGTATTTGATGCGCTGGCAGAAGCACCTCTTCCCCAAAATTCCCCAGGGGAAAACTTTACAGGGCTTTAAAACAAGAAATATAAAAATCAGAGGTGAAGATACACACAGCACAAAGGTATGTCCTTCATTCTGCAAGCAGCCGAAATGAAATGTCTGTTGAGAAGTATTTACTTCTTCCTTCCACTTCCAGAAGTTTGAGAGTTTTCAAGTCTATAATCTACTGTGGCCTCTTGTAAAGTAAAATTCTCTCATTTGATTTATTGGGATTTATTTCTAGACAACTGCAGAATTTTCTATACTAAAATGATCCTTGAGCAGCACATAAGCACTTTGGATGTTCTGAAAGTTTTACAGGAACAGTGTACCAAAGTCATCAGACTGTGAGGCTGTACCAGTTTTGCATAGCTGGCAATTAGTACTTCCTGTGCTGCCAAACACCATAAATTTATCTCTAATAATATGTTTTGTAAAGTAACACTTTAATGGAAGTGATGGGGTTTACTTAGAAGAAAGGCCATATTTTTAACTACTTGCCAAAAAAGCGTATTACCAAAAAAAAAAAAAAAAGGAAAGAAAAAAAGAAGTACCTGACTGGTGTCCTAGGGCTACCTATGAATCTGCGAGGTGATCGAATTTTTGGTTCAAAAGAAAATTTCTCTTTTACACTTTCAAGTACAGATGGAGCCACGTATGTAAAACCCTGCAAAACAGGAATGAGTGCTCTGTAACATACATGCAAGATTTACATTTCTGATCACTTGCACAGTTATTACTATCATGAAATGAAAATTATAAAAATGGCAGTAACTGTAGACACATGAACTTCTACTCGCTTCCTGAAGCAAACAGCAGGACTTTAGGGAATTCCTTACTTGGATGCCTGCTCACCCAGTATTTCTACTCAGATCACAGATTCACAGAAGCATGCTCCAATTAACTAATTGTGATGTATGGAATGGACTGTCCCTGTGTCTATGAAAACAATCCCATCCCCACAATTCTTAGTGCGATTTCAAATTAGAACACTGACATTTCAGAAAGTAAGCAATGTTTGTTGGCTGTGAGTTTTAGGTTATCTATTATTTCAAAAAATGTCTGAAACAATCAAACTAAAGTATATAAAGTCCGCAAACATTGCAAACCTGTTGCAGTATATGTATTTAAAACTACGATAGTTTGCTTCAAGTATCAGATGGTAAAATTCTACAGAATTAAATTACCTGAAATGCCCTACTGTTTCGAAGTAACACTACATAACTCTCCGCAGTCACCGAACACTTGTCTGGCTCACTTACCAGAAAGACCTGGTTGGCACTTTCACTGAGAGTAGAGTCATCTGGGCTATCAACAGGTGTCTGACGTGTAAACTTTGAATCAAACTGGCTCACATCCTCTTCAGATTGCTTTGCAAAAACAAAATGATTAAGGGTTTATATTACAGATATCAACCAAATGGCTTAGCGGTGATCAGTGTAGCCTCTGGATGGAGTTCATTCCATAGGTTTTTGGCAGAGCTCTGCTGTAGTAAAACCCTGGAGTGGTGTCGGAATCCTGTCGCTGCCAGTGGGAGGTCACTATGGGCACTGACACTGAGAAATAAAGGCAAGGGGGAGGGGCAAAAATTATGGATCAAAAAGGAACACAAATTAAAAAGATGCCTTTAAAAAATGTCAAATTACAAACAAAAACTTTTAGAAATACAATGCCAGTTTCTTGCAAGTTTAACCCTGGTCACAACCAGTATAGAACAATTGCAATTATTAGTTTCTGGAAGTCTCTCTCCAGATAATTTCATCCCATTTTTGCAGATAGAGAAGTGTTTATACTGTAAGGGATGAATGACAACTGTGAAATAAAGGGCTATGAAGAATATTCTTTAATTTAGTTGAACAGACATCATTCCAAGATCCCTCTCTCACTCCTCAAGTGTTACTGAAAAGGCAGATAAGTATGTGATTTGTGGAGACCTTCATGCAACCATGGAAGTGTAATTTTAAAAACCACCTGGTTAGTAACAACAACTTGCATAAAATTTCTTAATAACAGACAAGAAAGCTATCTTCAGATACTTGGTTTGGAAATAGTAGTCTTTCATGTCATTCTGGATTTCATTCAAAAAAGGAGAGGACAAAAGGCCTGGAGTCCCCATACTAGAGTATACCCAACATTAGTGATGCATAAGTCAGTTCAAAGTGAGATTTTTAGTAGTCAGTAAACAGGGGTACCTATGCCCTTGCTGCTGTGGCTAATCGGACCCAGAAAAAAAAAAAAAAGACATGTCATGTAATCAAAATATAAATTAGATAAATTAGGATAATACAGGGTTATTCATGACATCTTTGGTTTGAGGTGAACTTTAATTACTGTCTAAATGTACTAGACGCAGTATAAATATTAATAAGCAAACATCCAAAATACTTAATTACATGACTTCATTTACTTCTGCCTAGCAACTATCATCTTACTTACTATATAATGTTTAGAAGAAATTCAGAAATAACTGCACTTCCAAGACTGATTAATCTACAGCTTAGAAGCAGGAGGAATTAAAACTGAAGTAGAACTTTCTTCCTTCAGGAGCCTGAACAGATGGATAAATTAGCTCTTAGCTGATGTTGCCACCTTCTCACATAAGCAAGATTATATTCCAGTGACAGCTGAATACCATGACTGTAGAATAAGACAGAAAAGCATGAAGGAATGTTTTTGTTTCTTAAATGTTGATATAGCATCTCAGAAAGAAAAAAAAAAAAAGAAATCTGCACTTAAACTAGTTTCTCCCTTTAATTTGAAAAGGGTCAATCTGAGAACCAGTAGCCTAAGGTGATACATTTAAGTTTTAAAGTTAACAGAAAGCAATGGTATTCTGGTTTGTAAGAGTGAATGTTTCTGAGTTTCAGATACCACATTGTTTAAGACCTTTTCTAAAGGTATAGGAGGAATATCTCACAGTACTCTTGAGTACATACCAATAAGGGTTTAAAAGGAGGTTCCACCTTTCGTGCCAACAGCTCATCCCAGTTAATGTGTCTGAAGAACGGGTGAGCCTAGAAAAGTTAGCAATAGCACAGTCATGCACCAGCCTTCTGAGTAAAAATTGCAGAAATTTAAGATTAAAAAGTTAAGATCTAGATTTTATCTTAGGGTAAGATCTTCCAGAAATAAGATACAACTGTTTTTGTTAAATGTTACTGTTAAAGCAAATTAAAACAAGACCAAGAATTAATAAGCATGTTCTTTTCAGACCCTCCCTGTGGTGTCTTTCCGAAATCACAGATAGGCACAGCATAATATATCCTGCAACATTACGTCAGATTAGCTGGAAGACGTGAAAATTGACACCATACCTCCTAGTCAGACAACATATGTCCCTATCACGTTTTCCTTGAAAGCATTAGAAAAAGACAGTTGACATGCTAAACACGTCAACATTTTTCAACTTTAAATGTTAGATACCTGAAAATAATGATGAAACACTTTATTAATGACAACTTATCAGAACTGTGGAATGACTCTATAGTAGGTTAATCTCACCACAGAAAGTCAAGCTGGAAGAAATAGGAACTAGGCTTTTGCTTAAGATTTCACTGTGTAACATTTAAAGCCAATTAGTTACACTTATCCCCTGAGAGCTGTACTAAATGTAAGGGCTGGCGGGTTTTTCATCAGATTCCTAGAGTAACATCACTTACATGGTTGACTGTCAAATTCAGAATTGTGAAACTAGTAAAAAAGATCTACTGGAAGACAGAACTAAAGAAGGAAAGTTATTTTCCAAATCTCAAATTATCTAATAGGCAGACAACTGCTCTTTTGTTAAACTTCAAAGATCTCATGTTTCAATCACTTGTCATGCAGAGTTGCTTTTTTGCTCGTTACACTTCAAGACAGAAACATTCTCTTCTCCGATGTACCTACTAAGCTACTGTATATTTTCAGTGAGGTAATTTAAGAATTCTTGAGTTAGCAAAAGTTACCTGAACTTCTCCAGCATCTCCAGGACCAGCTCCTAGACGTGAGGCAGCATTTCTTTTTAGCAGCTTAATGAGAAATAACATCCCAAATTAGTTATGCCATTATGATTAGACTAGTCCTGACACAAATCATTGTGAATGTGTACCATGCAGAATGAATATGGAACAATCAGAAAATCTGCATTCATCAGAAAATCGTATTTTCAAGGAAAATCACTTTCTGTGCCACACAAAACCAAGACTGACTTAGTAGTCAAAACAAGCATGGATTGAATAGCCACAGTGGTATCATTATATTCCTATTTTCTACATACTTGTGTAGTACTGACATTTGTTAAAATTGTACCTTTTTAAGCAGATCTCTGGCTTCTTGTGTGAGGTAGGGAGGCAAGTTGAGTTTACACTTGAGAATCTTGTCAATTGTTTTCTTTCTGTTCTCCCCAGTGAAAGGAGGCTAGAAAGCACCATTGTAATGGAAGGAAAAATACGATTTGTTTAGGTCTCTAATTTGTGCACACAGAACTCATTTCAGTAATTTATAAAGCAGATAAAATTACTGCAAATGGGACTTCCAGCTAATTGTTTGGATGAGAGCAGTTCATGACTGTAGTCAAAGTATAGCCATATTTTAGTTATATTTCTTATTTGCAGCCTCTACAGTTATATACATATTTATACATGCAATTGAATTAGAATATGCATAACTTCAAAAGCTATAAAGAGAAATACATGCAATTATAACTGTGCACCTACTGCTCCAGTCAGCATGTCATACATTAATGCCCCCAAACTCCACCAGTCCACAGCACGATTATGCCCACTCCTCATCAAGATTTCAGGGGCCCTATAATAAGAAAAATTGAAAATATGAAAGTATTTTAACAAGCTTAACTAATTCTGCTCACTGCTCATTTTCAAGTAAAATTTCCATGACTGAACATATGAACAACCAGTTAAAAAAGGCAAAATTTAACCACTACCCCCAGCCCACAGTAATACTTCTACGTTTCATCTGGCAGCTCACATGTATTCAATTGTTCCACAGAATGTGTGTGTGACTGTTCCGTCATGAATAGATTCTTTACATAATCCGAAGTCAGTCAATTTTACATGACCTGAAATCAAATAAATAATATTTAAGAACACAAATGCTACTATTCTGACATATATATAAGATACATTAAAAAATATTGTTAACATCACTATGCTATAACTCTGAACTACCTCAATTGTCTGAGGAAGCAATTCAGTTCTAAACCAGAATGAGGTAATCACCCATAAAAATAAAGAATAAGTTGTTTAGTATAACATGAAAATCCTGTATGGTACAGATTGCCAGGCTAAGTCAGTGTCATACAGTCAAAGTAACTGTGCATTCAGGAATTGCTGCTAAAGTGTCAACAGCTCCATCAGTCATATCATCTGCAGATTATTTGGCATCCTACCTAATTCATCCCTTCCTAGCTAATGTCTTCAGTTATCCCTGTTACTGAAGTGTCAGTAGAGGTGCAATGGAGACACAGATCTTTAAATAGTTTAAAATGAACCAGTAGAATTATGCTCAAATAAATTTCAGAGATGCAGAAGTAGCAAAGCAACCATTCAAAAAGTGCCTGGGTCTATATACATAGAACTTGGAGCGTGCTGGATCCTCTCCATTAAATCTGAGGAAGCTACGTCTAAAAGCAAGCAATTAGCTTTGGCAGTTACACAGTTATATCAGGAGTGATAACGAACACGCCATTGTTACAAAGAAATTCTTGTAAGAATGAAGTGTTGTGACCTTTAAAGAATTACTTTCAAAAGACCGACAGTGTAACTATTATTACAATTTTACCTTGATGATTAAGCATGATATTTTCTGGCTTCAGGTCACGATAGATGATTCCTTTTTGATGCAAGTGCCCCAGTGCCATTGAGATTTCTGCCAAGTAAAAGCTGGAAGAGAACACATGCCACACAATTAGATACATTCAATCATGGGAAGCATCTTAAGCACTAAGGCTACTATGTACACAGCAATGATTCCTTGAAAGTATCATTAGAAGTGTTGGAGAGAATAAGCTAGAGAAACAATGATGCCTTTGAGGTTTGTTTGCCAAAGGGCACAGACAGTCCAATTGAACTACAAAATTACACCATTAGCATTAGGTTTATCTGCTCGGTAGCTACTTTATTATCTATTTGAAGGAATCTGAATTTACCAGTTACTGCTTAAAACATGCTTCAGTCTGCATCTAGACGTCAAAGCTGAAAAAAAAAACCTGAAGCTAAGAGTGCAACTGGCAGCACCCTGAGTGCTATCAGTGGAGCGGTACTACAGCCTCATACGCACTTCAAAGCTTTTCTAAGACATTATCAGCATGTGCTGTGGGAAGATACAACCATATTTAGTTGCGTGAAACCTAATCAAAAAGAGGTAACTTCAGCTTGTTTATATGTAAAATATCACTACTCAAAAGGCTAATTCTCATTCATTAGAATAATTACCTTTATCACTTCACATATCTGATCACTAGGAGAACACAGACTCGATAGTAATTTGTCAGTAATTGGCTGGTAAAATTGCACATGGATCAAAACCACAAGCGGATTCAGAGCAAGTCTTTCAGTCTTTTCCCCACATCCTTTACCACAGCCCTGTGGAATGCAGCCACACTCAGCAACCAGCAGCAGACCCTCTCTGGCAGTAAGACTGTAGTTCTGCCAGCACAAACTGGTAAGCACAGAACACACACATCTTCCCAAAGCCCAGTTAATTGCTGTTTTCTCTAGACGATGAAATGAATGAGTAGTTAGAGTTCTCCCAAGTTAGAACGAACAATTTAAGCACTCAAAAAAACCCTATTAGTTTACCAAAATAGTTTCACTTACCAAGCTGTGTCTTCCATAAATATCCCTTCTCTCTCTAACTGCATAAATAGTTCTCCTCCTGTCATGAGAAAAGTTAGAAGTTAGAATACTCTATTAAAGTGCATTCTATTATTTTAGTCAGGGAAAAAACTGTTTTCCAGGAAAACTATTAAAAACAGTTAATCTATACTGCTCTACAAAGAGTTGTTTCACATAAAATGACGACAAATTCTAGGTATTCTTAATGCTAGCCTACTGTACATTTTTAAGATGTGATGCCAATAGTTAGTTGCCCTTTTATTTATCATTAGAAACCCAAGTTCTAGGTTACCTAAGATACCAAGAATAAGGTAACAGAACTTCATATACTGACCACTGAGATACTCAAGGATGAGGTAGAGTTTTCCACCAGTCTGAAAGGCATAAATTAAGTCTACAATGAAGGGATGTTTCACTTCCTCCAATATATTCCGCTCCGCTTTTGTATGAGCTGTATCTTTTGCATTCCTTACAATCATTGCCTACAAAAAGCAAGTGAGTACAAGAACAAGTGTGTAAGTACAAAAACACACTAAACAATTCAGACTTTTATATTTAGCTTCATTCTGAGTTTACTAAATCACAACACTATATGTGAGTCAAAAACAGGATAAAAATTTCCCCATATCAACATAACATGACAGGTTTCTTGCCAAAGTTTAATTCTTTATTTATTTAAAAGTCAGAGAATACTTTAGATTGGAAGGAATCTTTTGAAGTATTTAAATTCTCCACTAAGAATTTAACAGGGTAAGCAATTTAGTTAGATTAATTATAATTTCAGCTATTTCTCTGTAGCAACTGTACATATCAGATAAAGACTGATTTCAGGTATATTAAATAATTATATAACTGTAACAGCTAAACATTCACGTTACCTTTTTAAGAACTTTCATGGCAAAAATCTTCCCAGTATTTGCTCCAGTTACTTTTCGTACTTGAAATACCTACACAACACCGATACAGAAATTACCAGTTATTATTATTATGAACTGCATTAGCTGTCAAAAGTTAAAAACAAAGTTCTCGAAAACAGATACAAGGTCATCTGCAAACTGCAAAGCTGCCTGATGGAGAAGAGCTAATTATCTGAACCTGAACTACTTTGGAATACTTTGTACTGCCCCCAGCTGGTGAGGCCCTGCCACTGACCATGGTCCCAAGACCCCAACCTTGGCAGCCCTGAGGTTACCTTCAGGGAGGGTGAACTTTTCAGAATACAGGGTGGTAAGACTAGACCTCACCAAAGGCAGCAGGTGAGTACTTTGTCTGACTTCAGTATAACAGATTTATTCTTGCAGAAAAGAGTTCCTTACCTTTCCATAGCCACCTTTGCCAAGTACGCGTAGTAACTCAAAGCACTCGGGTCGGATCTTTTCTGGACCTCTGTTTACACTAGTTTCTGAAATCTCAAATTTTTCGCAATGTTCCATGCCACTGGATAAAACCGAAACAAGAATATAAGACTACCCAATACTTTAAAATAATCAAGAGATAGTAATCAAGCAAATTACTTACTGCAAAACTTAGAGTATAACTGACATAACTGAATGGCTGCTTTGGAGATCTGGAGAATTCTTAGCATCAGAAATTGTATTTAGATGTGTGCAAAGCAGTAAGTTGCAACTTGCACAAAAAAAAAGACCATTCCTTCATTTTAATGCATAATAAATCTTTGTGTTATACCAGAATTAAGTTTGAAGGACCACAGCCTCAAACTGACTTAGGTATTTTCACAAGATCTACAGGGCTATAGTGTGTTTTAAATCACATTCAATAGTACCAGCGGTCACGGTAAGACTTCTGTAACATAAATAACATGCAGAAAAAGCTGGAACAAAAAAAGTCTCACTACTCTGAACATGCCACAAAAGAAGACTGGACCATAAATTAATGATGCTTCAAAATCACATATTTCTGGAAAAACACAGAGCAAGGCCAACACATTGACCCCACTGAAGTAAATGTAACTGAACTGTTTTAACTGTCACTGCCCTCTTCTTACAAGGGACACTGAAAACAATCTGGAAATCTATACATGAAGTCAGCTAAGTGGTAGCTGTCTCATGAACTTTAAATCAGAACTTCTGAACTCTTGTCTGCTTCAGACTGCTACGCAAACATGCACTGTAACCTTTATAAAACTGACAGAACATACAGTGTTCTGCAAACAGTGCACTACATTCATAGCGCAAGTATTAGTCATATCCAATAGGTGTGTTAGGAGAAACAAGGATTAAACACAACAGCAGGTTTTGCCAGAATTTTTTTTTATTATTGTTGTTTTATTTCAAGATACAATTCACAAATTTTAGTGTTAAGAAACAACTAGAAACAACTCGAACAAGAATGACAGGATTTTCTGTTCAACTTAACAATGTAATAAAAGTAGAGATCATATACAGTTGGCATGAATAGTACAGAACATTTCCTAGCAGCAACTTACAGGTCATATTGGCCAACTCCTCCATGGTCCATGCTCTCGCTTAATTGACCCTGGGGACGGGAGGAGTAGAAGCAAGATTAATTACAACATAAGAAACACAGCAGAGTGAAAAATAGATGTACTGATGTATATGACAACTTCTTCACATATATATAATTTAATTTCTTATATATGTGTGTATATATATAATTAGACAAGTTTAAATGTCATAAATAATGAGTTACCAGCAGAAGATAACAAATCTACGAAATCCTGTGCAAGAGTTGCAGAACTTCAACATATCTCAGAAAAATGACACAGGGAAACACTGGTTTACCTGACTGAATTATCACCCAATTATATATTAGAAGTAACAATTTCATCCCCTAAGTGAACCCTAAAAATGTTAAGGCATCGCATTATTATTATTTTATTATTATTTACAGTTGCTCTTCCGTCGGAATTTTAAATACCTCCTTCAGTTCTATGCAAATTAGAACCACAGTAAAGCCTGAACTGATGAACTGGGATTCACATGAACTAGAAGCAAATAATGAACCAAGGCAGCTTTATTATTCTATATTGATAATAATCAAATCCCAATAGTGATGAAAAAATTAAGGTTGACTCTGGTGTTAAACACCTTTTCTGACCAATAATCATTCAGACAGATTAATGCATAAATACTAGCAAAGAAGGCTCTAGCAGTTCAGCACCAGGACAAGTCACCATCAAGGAATGCAGCTCAATTTCGAAGAGATATTTTCTTCGAAGAATTTTCAACTTGATCCCTTATGCACGAGAATGCCTTCCTCTAATTATGGCTCTAGATGGCAAAAGAAGCGCAAACCAGGCAGACAGCTGGAATGCACACAAATAGAATTGAATGGGCAAGCTTCTAGTAAGCTTTAGACTATAGTTTACAGTTTTAGATTTATAAATACGCACACAAATAGAGACCACAAGTTAGCGAGAAACAGCCTGGAATCTACAGACTGAATACAGATATTATAACGAGTGACTTGGGTAATTCAGGGAAGCAGAAAAAAAAAAAAAGATTTGCAAATAGCAGACCAAGATATGGAGTGTATGTTAAGATATCTGGTTAGACTTTTGGCTTATAAAATCATATTATAAGCTTTCCCTTGCTTCCAAATCATTTGACCAACAAAGCTTACTGAGGCTGCTGTATTTTCTGGGTGGGGGGTAGTCTAGAGGGGAATTTAACTCCTGGTGCCACCTACAAGCAATCGCCAAGTCCAAAAGTTCAAGTCTGTTTCCAGGTCAGAGATATGCTAGCTCCCGTCCTCTCGATACCATTTATTATAGAAATCCAGCCAACTGACATCTGTTTCACAATAAAACCTGCTAAAGCTGCCCTTGACCCTACCGTTAGACAACAACAAACACAGAGAATAAACACCCATCACGTTCCCAGAACAACTTCTCTTCCCAAGTTACCCAAAGGTTCTGGCAAAGCCTGTACAGATTGTGCTTGCTGCTGTCAACTATGGTTTTCCTTCTCAGTATTAACATGAACAAAATTTACTTTTTTTACTTTATTTTACTTTTACTTTTTACTCAACTATTTTCAGGATTTCTTCTTGTTTCAAAACCAAAAAACACGACAGCATTCCAGCTGTGATGCTAGAGGCCCTTTAGTTTGTACTTATTGTTTCATTTATTACAAGCTATAAAATAAAGGTGGTTTTTTCACCATAATAATTTGTGCAAACAGCTGTACATTTTATGAGTTAACACTCCATTTAATTGATTCTTCAGGTTTTCAACAGCCATACCTCCTTAAAACTACAACTGCTCTGTTCTGGATGCTACTAGGCTCACAGCATTCAGGCGGTGCTGTGGTCCAGCACCACTGAGATTAGACAAAACACCACAGGCTTTACATCTTGCTCACTTTCAGTTTAATGATCTCAGTTGCTCTGGCTGCAACCTCTTCCTGATGCTTATAACAGTTTTTCCCTTACACTTTCCTGAAACACTTCCCTTTCTTTCCTGCTCTGCTGTTCCCTACATGTCAGTCCTGTTGTAACATCAGGTCCATTCGAATCTTCACTTAATTTAACCCAGGAACCACATCATGTTGCCACCGTACATTCACATTCACAGAAACTGCCAGAAATATTTCAGTCATGCCATCTTTTTCAAAATCCACAATAACTAATAAAACATTTAAATCATCTCTCATGACTGAATTATTAGAACGTGAGAGAAAAAAAATTAAACTTTCTTGCCTTCCCCTTAGAACCTGCCCTTGGCAGCAATAGCGGTGTGATGCAATAGACATTTTTAAAGCCAGACGCTCTATTGATTACTGAGGTGACAAACAGTGCTTTTCCTGCAATCTTGAGGCCTGTTCATGCCTGCAGCTGTCAAACACCTCCACAGCTTACGTGCGGTGTGGGAATTCCAGCTGTGACAGCGGGCATCCCAGAGACTCCGAGCAGTGTTTTAACAGCATAAAATAAACGTGGCTGCAGTTCAAGCATCTAATATAGAAAACAATTATTGATAACAGTTTTTTAGTACCACAGCTGCTTAATGGAGATGCTGCAGTAAGACTGCTGAAGTTTTGACATAACCCACGGAGCTGGTACAGGGCGGCAGGCTGGAGATCACAAGGTGACCCGGGGACGCCGGCCGACCCGCAGACGTGAGGCAGCGCTGCAAAGCTCCGCTTTTAATTCTGGCGCCAGAGCAGCGCCTTCACACAGCCCCACACAGCCCGGCGGCCCCGCGTTGGCGCTAGAACGGGGCAGGGCGAATAAAAAACAAACCCAGCGCCGCGACAGCCGGGCCGGGGAGCGCGGAGCTGTCCCTGGGGAGGGGCCGCGGGCAGCGCCAGGCGGTGGCGGCCGGGGCAGGGCGGGCGCGGGGCCCTCACGGCCGCGGCCTCGCCCTCCCCGGCCCGGCCCCGCCTCAGCCGCGCTCCCCTCAGCGCCGGCCCCGGCCGGGCGGGAAGGCCCCGGGAGCCCCGGGCCTGCCCCGGTCCCAGCCCCAGCCCCAGCCCCAGCCCCAGCCCCAGGCCCCGGCCCCGGCCCCGCCGCTCCCCTCAGCGCCCGCCCCGCGCCGCCGGCCCGCGCCCGCCGCTCTCACCCCCTCCTCCAGCTCCTCGTCCGAGCCCGCGTCCTCGGGCTGGTCCAGGTCGATGTCGAACACGCCCGCCATGGCGCCGCCGCCGCCCCCTTCCCGGCTGCGCTGCGTGCCCGGGGCCTGCGCCGCCTCATGGGCCCGCACCCCCCAACTCCGCCACGGCCGCCATCGCCGGCTGCCCGGCCGCGCTGCGCATGCGCCCCGCCGCGCCGAGCATGCGCGGAGAGGGACTCGGCCGGGCGGCCGGGCGCGGAGAGGCGGCCGGGCATGCGCAATGCGCGTCCTCCTCGCTCGCTGCCGGCACGGAGCTTGCGCAGAAAGGGCGGCGAAGCCGCGGGGAGGGAGCATGCGCAGAGCGCTTTGTGAAGCCGGGAGCCCCGCCGGGCTGCCCGGAGTGCCTGGTGAGCATGCGCGAGGCGGGCTGTTCGAAGGCGCGGCTCGGGCCGGCCCGGCGGGGAAGCGGCTCCCTCAGGCGGCCGCTCGCGCATGCGCGGTCGCTGCCCCAGCACCTCAGCGCCTCAGTGCGGGGGGGGGCGCCGAGGTCAGCCCTGAGGGGGCGCCCGGGGCCGAGTTTAGGGCCGGGGCCGGGGCCGGCACCCCGTGAGGGCGCCGCTCCGCCGGGGAGGGTCGGGAGGGACCGGGAGGGAGGCGGCGGCGAGGAGAAAGGCGCCGGGAGCGGGCGGAGGCCGGGCTGTGTGAGGGCCGGGCGGCCCCGCCAACATGGCGGCCCCCCGGGGCGGGCCGGGCCCTGTCAGCGCTGCGGAGCCCTGACGGGAGGGCCGGGAGCGGGGCCCGAGGGTGTGAGGGGGGCTGAGGGGGCCGGGGGGGAGCCCTCAGCGGGCGTCGTGTGTGTTGGGAGGGTTATCGGGGAGGGGGGGCTCGGCCCCGGGCTGGCCTGAGGCTGGCCGGTGCCGCCCGGCTGCAGCGCCGAAATCGGGCCCGGGGGTTAAAAATCTCACCTACCTGGCCGCAGCGGGGGCCGCTGGCAGGCGCTGGCGGCGTTCCAAAGAATGCTGGTGCAAAGTGCTCCAGCACAGCTGGGGTGGTGGTGGAAAATAGCCCGGAATAACGGAGTCGGTTTGGAAAAACAACCAAACAAACTGGTTTTTTTTTGTATAAATAGAGAAGTGCAAAAACAGCTACTGCAAAAAGCTGAGTGGGGGAAACGTCAAACATACCAGTACTGTATCAAAAACTTTTCTCTGCGTGGTGGAAGTGTAGGGAATCCCACTGTCACCTCAGCAGATTTTGGCACCAGGCGCACAGCAGTGCAGGACTGGAAGTCAATGAGACTCGGGGACAGGCTTCATGTTTCTTAAGCCCAATGGCACTTACTGTGTTTAATACGCCTTTAGAGCCTAACCTAGAGCTTTGCTGGATTTATAATTAGTCACTTCCACCCTGCCTTATTAAGCAAACATTAGAAAACTTGACTCTCCTTGCCGTATGGTTAATCTCAGCCCTGTAGACAGACTGATATATTGTCAAGTGCCACCTGCATTCTTTTGACACTCAGAATAAAACGCTGACAGTCAGTATTTCACCACAAATAGCCAGTGGTTATTGCATAAGTCTTTCATCCTCACTAGAGGTTGTCAGAAATCACAAAAGTGATCAGAATTCCACTTATCAGAACTTTTTTTAGCTTCTGTTTTCCACAGTTACTGAAGGCATACTTTTCTTTTTAGGGTTAAGCACAAGGTGAATAAACATGTCACTAGTGACAGTCCAGCTCGGACAGTGTGGTAATCAAATTGGTCGTGAGGTGTTTAATGCTATCTGCAGTGATGTCCATGGCACACACGGATTGTGTTCCAAGAAGGAGAATGAATCCTACCACGATGCATGTAAAGAACGCTTTTTCATCGAGGCAGAATCTGGAGGTATGATGTTTTAAACATTTCGTTTCCCACAGAGGGTCTGGTTTCCAGCCTAATGCAGATAAGAATGCAGAAATAATAAAAGTTTTCCCTCCAGTTTTGAAGAATTGTTGCAACCCTCTGCCTTCATGACATCACTAACAACCATGGAAGTAAAATCACTGCGCAGTAGAGTGCCTGAGGCCACAGAGCAAGTCTGCCAGTAATGCAGCTGGAAACTGAACATGTGTAACTGACCTTCCCTGCCAAACACCCGCATTTTCCCCTGTAGATATGTAATACCTGGAATAGGGCCTGGATTGTCTGAATCTGATGTTATCAAACAAGAGATTTCTTTCCTGAAAGATCTGTGTCTATAGGGTTCAGATCCATCCTTAGAGCAATCAATGGTTCTCCAGAAATCCAGGACACTGCCAAGTTGTTTTCTGTACTAGGTCAGCTTACATGGATGGAAGGAATACAACTCGGTCCATGATGTAAGTCTATCTTACACAACAGGTTGTAACATTAGCACTTAGTTTTGTTTTTCTTCCTATCCAGTACCTGTTGCCCGGGCTGTACTTGTTGACATGGAACCTAAAGTAATCAGCCAAACATTGTCAATAGCTGCCAAGTCTGGCTACTGGAAATACGATGATCATTCGCACTTCTGTCAGAAGCAAGGGTCTGGGAACAACTGGGCAAATGGGTATGAACTCTCATTTCCAGCTTCACTAACAAAACTGTAGAGACTAATGAGCTGTCTGCACTCCCTAGGATTGATACTCTTGCAGCTGTGTGAGGTACAGAGTATGTAACAATTTATTTTTAAGGTAGAAGAGCAACATACATTACAACAAAATTTCTACACTGCTTTTTCCAAGATAAAATTGTTTACAGTGAAAATGTAAGGTTTTAGAATAGAGTGGATATATTTAAGGAGAGGAAGCAATAAGTGCAATTTATAAACAGATGTTTTGCAAAATAAATATCGCAGCAGAGGATAGTTTGCCACAGACAGAATGGGTGACATAATTCCAGGTTACATAAGTAATACAAAGAAACGTATCCTTTTTTGAGGCTGACCTTACTGTTTTTATTTTGCTAAAACCTGCCATGGCTTGCTCTTTTTCCTTTTAAAAGAAAGAAAACCATCTTGTTCCTTTTTTCCAACAGTTACACTGTTCATGGGCCTAGACACAAAGAAGCAATCATGAATCTGGTACAAAAAGAAGCAGAGAAATGTGACCGACTTGGTGGATTTTTCACGATAATGAGCATGGCTGGTGGTACAGGATCTGGTTTAGGAGCATTTGTGACACAGTGTTTAAGAGATGATTTTCCATCCTCATTTATACTAAACCATGTTATCTGGCCCTATGGCACTGGTGAGGTGAATGTCATTTTTCCCAGAGATACTCTGCAAGTTCATAATCACAGACATGGAGAGAGAGCAATTTAAATAAACTGTTTACTTTTGATGAGCAAAACAAAATATCTGCAAGTAAAATAAACTAGAAATGAAAAACAGTTCACTTTTTGAACATTAAACTTGACAAAGTAACATAGCTAAAAAATTGCCTAACATTTGGTTATGCAGTTTCACAAAAAAAAAAAAAAATCCAAATTTATCAAAATTACTAAGATCTCAAGCTAATAACAACAAAACGTTTAAGATTACTAATATAATTTCTAAGGAACAGTGCAGTTTCATGAGAAGCTCTACAAGCTAACTATACATTTCCTGTTACAATAATATCTGAACATTATAATCACTTCCCAGACAGATTCTATTCTGAACTGATATGGGTAACATGATTTTCACAGGTCTTGTTCTCTTTCCATCAAACAGCTGTGCTTGCTCCTGACCTCATTCTGCTCTTTGGTAAAGAAAATGAGTCACTTCCTAAATCATAATTGAGGAAATGACAGTAGCCAGAGAAATATAAACTAGAAAGAGATTAAGTTGTTTGACTCTCATTTGCGTGTTTTTGTGTTTTTTTTTTTTTTTTTTTTTTTCCTGTTCAGGTCATTGTTCAAAACTACAACTCTGTTTTGACTCTGTCACATCTATATCAGTCATCAGATGCTCTTCTTGTTCACGAAAATGATGTCATCCACAAGATCTGTGCTCAGCTGATGCATATGAAACAGATCTCCTTCAAGGATGTAAATCAAGTCATTGCACATCAGCTGGGGAGTGTTTTCCAGCCCACTTACACAGCGGAAGATGGCTTACACTATAGCAGAAACCCATTAGGTATCTAACTGTAATATAACCACCTAATGCATTCTTATTTATCCTTCTGTACCCGTTTCATTTTGTGAATTTAAGTTCTTCAGTTTCCTTCCTCAAGTTTTTGGATACTTCCCAAGGCTTAAGAAAAGTGAGGAAAAAGAATAAGTTATTTAGAAGTTCAACCCCAATTTTGTAGCACAGTCAAAACTAGATACCCCAGCTTCTGGTTTCAGTGTTTACCAAAAGAACCATGTTTCTCCTTTTTCAACTGACTACAGCCACCCTTGTACCTATTTGCATTTCAGAGGAAATTTCTGCCGGATGGTAATTTTGTACTGAGTTTTTACATTTTGCATTAGGTTAGAAGTAACCAGTCTCTCTTCTGTTGAAGAGAAACAAACAATGTCAGTTTTGTGAGCAGCTCAGAAGACAAGCTAGCGTGCAGTTTGGTAGCAACAAGCAATTGGCTGACATTTGGGATTAGAGAAAGGTACCCATATTGCCAGGGGTCTGCTTGTAAAATTAAAATTTCTCATCTTCCTATTAATCTTTTCAGCAGTGTATAGGGTTTTTAAGATTTCAAAACAGACTATGAAGCAACACAAATCGCTTTAGAATAAGTGTTGCTAACTTGCTCGTATAGAACTCAGTAGTAAGTAGGAAGAGTTTGCATTTTGTCTGATGCGTCTGTATACTTGCTAAATGTAAACTTTATATATCTTGTTTTGTTTCTTAAATTACTAGATCTTTGTAAAATTCCTCATGCTCTTCTCCCATTTTAACTAGCCTATGTAATAATTTTGTCAAATATGAGCAACTGTTGTTTTTTTTTCCAGGAGATTTAATGGAGACATTAGTTCCACATCCTGAATTCAAGATGTTGGGTCTTCGTAACATACCTCAGATGCCTGAAAATTCCCTTGCATATAGCACATTCAGTTGGCCTGGACTCATCAAACATCTCAGGCAAATGCTTATTGCTAATGCTGAAATGGAAGAAGGTAAATAGCATTCACTCATCTTCAGCATCCATCACCCTTAAAGCATACATTTTTACAGTTAAAACAAAGCTTATTGTTTTCTGGAGCTCACTGACTAACTTTAGTCAGTCAGTTCAGAAACAAGTTGCTGCCCTCAGACAGCAGGAATTTGCCTCTACATAGCCAGCTGCTTCTATAACTACTCAGCTGCCACAGCAGCTCCTGGCTTGCTTCTGTTTTTGCTCCCAGACATCTCTGTTAATTATAACTACTGAAAATATGCAAAGCAAACCAACAGTTTTGGTCGTGTACTTAATTTAAATGATACATTTGGAACATTCTTTGGATCATTAGTTTTGCTATGTTTTTTTCTTGTTACACCTTCTACTAATAAAAATCATATGCTTAGCTTTCCCATATCATTTACATTGAGAATTCAGTAAAACTTCCAGTTATGTAAAGAATGGGCTGGCAGACTGCTAACTGTAGAGACAAGTATCTATTTTCTCTGGTAAGACTAGTGACTGCCAGACAAATACTGCTGGATGAACTCTGTTTTTCTCTGAGAATTGTGTAATTGCTGCTTAACTAACATGTAGAAACTACAAACCCTAACATGATCTCAGCTTGGGGCAGTGTTAGTTAGCTAACACTCATCAGCTAGTCTGAATCCGTACTTCATGAAACATTAACTTTATTTTATATCTTCTTTGCTAAAACCTCACAGGTATTGACTGGCAAGTACAGCCGCCACGTCCAGGCTCCTCTGTTCCCTCCAGCCATTCCACAAACAAGCTGCCGCATTTCAATACTTCCATTGCCAACCTGGTTATCCTGAGAGGAAAAGATACGCACAGTGCAGACTTAGGTGAGAAGGAAAAGAACAATGTCATAGCGATTCATTTCACATCTCACTGTTTCCTTCACAACCATTTCTGATGAAAGTGAGGAAAAAAAAAAAAAAGAAAACTAGCAGGGCCAATATTTCCTCTAGAAAGATTTTCATGTCCAAGGACATGTTGTGTAATTGGTTAAAGCTGTTGTATTTACAACTTGGATTTCTGTTTTTCCTAAAGCATTCCAGGGAAGGAAGAAGAGACTGAAGTCTGTATACATGTTAGAATTCTTAGCTGTGTTGTCTGAAAATGTATTTATTCTGGAGTGACGAGCATAGCTCACATATGAAGTACTGATACAAGAGTACACTCCTAGATAACGTAATGAATCTGTTTAAAGCAGTTACATTTGCAACAGGCTGACCAGTCTGCAGACTTTTTCAAAGCCTGGACTGAGCTGCCAAACCCTGATTGGGTCACCCAGGACTACTGAGATCAAGAAACAACACCTTGTAGCTTTACATTTATCAAAATGGCTTTCTTATTTCTGCTACAGGAAGTTTCCGAGATCCTTCATTATATACATCATGGTTAAACCCTCAGGATGCTTTTAGTGCATGGAAAACACCAAGAGCATTTAACAAGTATGAGAAGTCTGCTTCTCTGGTTAGCAATAGCCAGTTCCTGCTGAAACCTCTTGACAATGTTGTACGCAAAGCTTGGAATATGTTTGCTTCCAAGTAAGTGAAAATAATTGTGCTCATTTCATTTCGAGCTGTTGTTATCTTCAGAAGTAGCAAAATCACTGTAATAAAACTCTTTTTCAACAAAGTAATTGTGAATAAGCATAAGCACTATTCCCACACTTTAGTGGAAACATTTTTATTCTTGAAACATGATGGCAGGGTGCTTACCTTACACAGAACAGAGCTTATGTTCCATGGATAAACAACAGTACATATTCTAGGGCTGTCGATTTGACCATTTTCTCAATACTAGAGCTCCCAAAATTTATAGCGTTCCAGACTGACCATTCTAAAAATAATACACAAACTCTTTCAGTGATCATGCAGTTTCTAAATTGTATACAGACATTCTGGACATTCCATGAAATAAGTTCCTAGTTTAGTTCAAAAATATTCTATTACTCAGGCTCCAATTCCATTAGTTTGATTTTTCATTAGAAACAAGAAATCTAAGAAATAATTGACTCTTTACTTTGATCACCATAAACCCAAAGTTACCAGGTGTCACAGCAAATGTCTACTAATTCTGAGTTTCTAGCACAGGAATTCTATGTCTAAAAGTCAAAGGAGAAAGATTGCATCTACTAGCTGCGTTCTTGTTTTTACCACCTGCTACAAAAACACCATTGATGAGTAGTAAGCCATCCTGCACACACAGGTTTAGGTTTTGCATCTCAAATCTATCAATTATTTTTCTCATTTAATAATCACAGCTCCTTCCGTTTCCCAGTTAGGCCCATTTTGTTAGATGCAATTTTGTCTCTCAACTAGTATACAAAGTAATAAATGCTATTAGAAATAAGTCATGACTTATCTGTAACTATGAATTACAAAACGAGTTCAAGAGAGCAAGGTAGAAACCAACCATCATTTGAAGTTGTTACAGTAACTATACGGCCTGATTTCATGTGTCAGAGGTTTCATTCATCTCTAATGTCTTACAACTTTTCTGCTGTGACCTCCCACAGAGCCTATGTTCACCAGTACACTAAATATGGAATTGAAGAGGAAGACTTCTTGGACAGCTTCACAGCTCTGGAACAAGTTATCTCCAGTTACACCACCCTTTGATTTTTGAAATGGTCTCTTCCTGAAAGAATCTAGCACTGGAAGACCTTCCATCAGCTTCCTAAAGTACATAAATTACTGGACTATAACTATTTTTCAGTCTTGTGAGCACTGTGTGACTATGTTAGAATAGTAAGAACTGAATGGGAACCGAGTATATTCATATGGGCAGATATTATTTATATTTAATATATATAATAACTATTTTTCAATACAGTTATCTGCTGTAGCTAAATCTTTGAACATCATTTTTAGTACTTGCATATTTATTTTATGAAGACTTTCAATAAGAAAGGATTTTTCTCTAGGCATTCTGGCTTCTCCCCTTCCAACTTTTCATGTTAACACTTTGTCCTAGAATGCTTCAATGTTAATAAAAATGCGCAGTATTGGAATTATGAATCCAAACTCCATTTGTGTATTATTCAGAAGCCAATAGACTGCCACTTTGTCGTTTACAGCAAAGTAAGGCCTAAATTCTACTTTAAGGGCCTTAATCATGACAAAACACTGGAAATTCTGAGCCATCTGAAAAAAAAAAAAAAAAAAAGAACAAAAAAAAAGAACAGGGTGTTCATTTTCTTGGTATCTTCAAATAATATTAGAGATTATAATGAATTCTATGCTTTCCTGTCCATTTCACTGTGCCATGTTTGTGCTACCTACTACTTTAAAACAACATATATAGCATATTGGAGATCTTGGCCATTTGTTACAGGTTAACTATAGGCTTAACAGAGAAAACTACAACTTTTCTTCCTATGTTACAGAGTTAGAAGCAGGTAGTTTATATCTATTTTTTTTTTTTTTTTATTTAAAAAGACCTAGAAGGAGAATTGCTGGTAGACTCCAGATGCAAGTCCCTGCAATATAGTGTAACATAATGTATAATTTCAAAAGTTGATTTACGAAACAGTGTTTTGTTTTTATTTTGACAAATTTTACCACGACCACAAGGTGGTGCCACTGCAAAGCTGCAGCTCGCAAACACTCGCACATCAGCCAGTTTCAGGAGCAAGAGATTGCAATAGTACATGGGGGCATGTACTGGAAGCCTTAAATACTTTTTTTTTTTTTTTTTTTTTTTGAGAAATGGACAATATCATAGTTCCCCTTTAAGTCTGTGCTATTTTCTGCCAGGCTTCATCTTTAAGTAAAGGATGAGCAAGCCCATAGTATGGCTAACAAAGCCCACACAGAAGTCTTGCCCTGTTAGAAATTGATTTAGATTTTAGATCTTTAATGAATTAACACAGTAGCAGATGCAGAAGTGGCTTTGTAATTCTGCTGAGCTTCAGTTAGTGGGCAGCAGACACCGTACATTACTCTTATCTTCATTTCCTTTCCTGGTTTCATTTATTTCTTCACTTTTGTTCAGGCCAGGAACAGGAGCACTAAACCCACCCCAGGAGCAACTGTTCTTAAAGTAGCTCTGGCACACGAGATCTGGAACGGCAAACAAATGTGTTGACAAGATTCAAGTAACTGTACAATTGAACCTGAAGTAAGTAAGTACCGGGGCTAAGTTCAGAATTGCTCAAATACAGATAGAGCAATAGCTGATCACTGGAATGGTTTAGTTTCAGTGCAAGCCACAATGGATTCTGATAAATTTCATGGCAGTTTATAGATAAGCAATATTAATCTCTTACATGTTCAAAAATAAATTTAAGGAGCCTTTTACTAGTAGGGGAACTGTCAGCACACAACATTAAGAGTTGAGCCTAGTCCATGCAGAAAAATTACCTGTGTAAATTAAGAGCTATGTTAGTGCTTCAGTTCAACATCTGACTCATTAGCGGATCGTTTGTGGGTGTGGTTGGGGTTGAATGCAGGAGAGAAGGAAAACAGGAGAATGCAGATGGGGTAAATATACCTGGTAACTTTTCATATAAAAAGACATTTACATTTATGACAAGAGATTTTGAAAATACTCTTCTGGAAAACCACAGTACACAATCCAACTCAGTCCGGATTGCTTTCTGTTTTCACTCGGCTGCTTTAATTCCTGTTTTAGGAACACCCTCTCAAAAGGGGATGACACAATAATCATGGTTCAACTACTCAGACATGCTTCAGGCCCTATACTGTTTGGAAGTTTAAAACTACTTCTATAATTACATTTTAATATACAAGTATTTATGATTATTTCATATTTTTTCACTAAACTACTTCCTGGCAACTCGGAGTTAGGGGACTATTATGATCAGAAGGGCTTTTCTGGTCTTGTATTTTTGTCGGTTTAAACCATTGTCTTTAACTTCAGCATTTTCACACAAGAAACTGGAGGAAAGATTGCATAAGACATTAAGATAAACAGAAGGGGCAATTCAAGTTTGCAAGGAACAAAGGGTCAGGAAAGCAGACAGTATGGTGAGGTTCTCCCTCTTTCCTCCTTAAAAAGGCACAGGATGTTTAGCAACATAGAAATAATTTTTCCTAGTGTTTTCAACAGATAATGCTATCAGACTCAGAACTTCTTCCAGTATCAGAAATGAAAAATATTCATTTTTGAAAAAAATAACTAAGACCCAGGAACACATATTCTTCCTCAGTGTTACACTGGATAGGTAAAAGATTTTAAAAAGCTTATACAAATAAGTCCTTCCAGAAGTAAGGAAGAGAGTAAGTTTTTGTACTGCTACATCAAGCAACCTTATTGCACAAATAATTTTGCATTATCTCTACGTATTTATAATTCTGAGCATGAAGCAAGCAAAGCAGGCACTTAGTGCAGGTGTGAACAACGTAGAGCCATTTATCCATTCTTTATAGCCACATATATTATTTATGGCTTATATCACTTTCAGTTAAAAGAGCAGGATATTTAGGTTTCCTTAAGTTTGGCAGAATTTGGGCCACATCAGGAAACACAGCACACAGCTGAGGCTTATATCCCTAAAGCAAAAATAAGGATTTCCTTATTTAATCTCAAGTTACAGCATATGAACAGCAAGGAAGAAAAATACTACAGCTCAAAGGCAGCACTAGGCCAGCAAGTTTGTTACTGCTTAACAAGGATAATTCTGCAGTAACTTGTTCACAATTAGGATTCAGGGAAAATACTGCTTCCATGCAAAAACAACAATTTTCAAAGCAGCAATAGAGGCTAAAGCCCATCAGCCAAATTTTGACAACAACAGACTTCTCAAAACTACAAGGAAACTGGAGGCAAAAACAGAACTGTAACTGTTGTATTAGCTGCTCTAGTCCCTTTTGCTGGAGAAGAGATTGTTAGGAATTATTTTAGGCCTTTCTAGGCTTCTTCCTGTCAGTGTTTTTCACTGCTGACCTCAGTTTTGAAATTCTCACACCCTTTCCCAAACTAAGCCTTCATTTTTTGATCTATGGCTGGATTCCTCTATTTTTTCCCCAGGATGTGGAGAGGAGAGGGTCATAGTGACAGGAAGTGAATAACTATTACTAAATTTTCATCATCTAAAGTTATATTAGAAGGTAAAATAGTCCTTTTCTATTTTATTGAGAAAATTAATTCTGTAAAGGATAGCCTGAGCCTGGCAGAGGGCCTTTATTTCATTAGAAATGTAAATCAGTGAGGTAATCAGAGGTCAGCACAAGCCAATGGCTCACCGAGGCAGGGACAGCAGAATCAGTGGCCTTGACCTAGCCAGTTTTAGGTGAACTACCCACAGGATGTCTATAAACCACGGAACAATGCGTCAAATCTCACTATTGTTTTTTGTAATGGACAGGTGCAGCACACTTGGAAGTTGCTTGAAGGACTAACTATAGCAGAAATATTTAATGAATGGGGTAACTTTTATTTGGTCACCAACAAACAGGACCAAAGTTTAACATGTTACAAGTTCTTAAAAGGCAGTAACAGGCAAGTGACAGGGACCTGATATAAATACCATTTATTTGGACTTACATGTCAGTGCTTATAAGGTAAGACTAATTACCAGTAGAGAAATGACAGAACTTTACTGAATATGTGTAGGGGCTTTTAAGAGGATTACCTGCACTAATTTACCAGACAGGAACAGTTCTAGATTAAGGGCAAAAACCTGTGGTTTCCACAAAGACCAGGACTCTATCGGTAAGAAAGAAGGAAGTTACGTATTAATTACCAGCCAATACACAACTAGGAAACATTAAGGTACAAAAGGGCATTGAATGAATAATTCATTCCCTTCTGCATTTGTTAATAAATTCAGTATAGGTAAATACTATGAAACGACAGACCAAACGTCCAAAATTAAGTATTCTTTGATGTCAGACTGTCCAAGTCCAAGTTTTGCTGTACACCACCTTAAAAAAACACCTAACAGTCATCAGGAACATGATTCATGGATCTGATGTGTTATGAAAAGCTTCAGAAGGAACTGAGCTGCTGCCTTTCCTCTACTGCTTTCAAGGGCAACCCAGACACTCCTTTACCAATACAGCAAATTCCAGCGTAGGCTTCCTCCACAAGCCTGCCTCTGGGCTTCCTACCCCACCTCTGCCCACGCTCCAGAAGCATGGCTTGGACACTCAGACAGCCTTTAACCCGCCTGGATGTAGAGCTGATAATCCTGAATTTTAACTATAGAGCCTTTCCGGCTCTTTCAGTCGAACTGGAAGTTCACAATGGACCCTTCTGATTTCACATTGTATGAATCCTCTCCCTCTAGACAGCCACTTCCCCTCTGTCCGGGTGGGGGTAATGAGTCACCTACCTCAGTGAATCAGCAGAACCTGCTTAACCCTTTCCCAGAAGCACGAACAGCTGCAAGTAGGGTGGTGTTTCCAACGAATTTCATTGCCAGTTATACAGGGCAAATTGGAAATGCTGAAGATAGCCTGAGATAAGAGATAAGAGAGGCTGCTTCTGCAGGAACCAGGAAATTTCAAGACAATTTTTGTGTGTATGTTCCATGACAGCACTCATGGTTGCACTACAGTGAATAAATGGAAGAAGTTTAAACCTCAACCCCATGGCTCATACATGCCTGAGAGATTCTGAATGGTGACTGCTAAGAGAGTTTAGCAGCATAAAGCAATGTAACAGGCCTCCGTATGGAGCCACGTGAATAAGGTTGCAGAAAGTCTTGTCTGCTTGTCTTAGAAGCAGTTTTTTCTTTTCTAAATATGGAGTGTTACACATAAGAGAAAAATAGGCAAGATGAGGACTTTCTCTAGGCCAATATTCCCATTTTTAAAGAAAAAAATAAACTAAAATAAGCCACTGGTTAATAGAAAAAAGACAGAAGAAACATTTCTCAACACTTCGTGTTTGAGCTTTAGTAAGCTGTGAGCTCGTTTCCCTAATTATACATGATGAGAAATTAATACCACTTAAATGGTATATGTGCATTTAAATGGGTGCGTTCTCCAGAAATGATTATTGTACATATTTGGTTACACATACAGTGTAATGTTTATTCAAAGGCTCACAAAAATACACTTCATTTGCCTGAGAATGGTGTAATTGTGGTCAGATGGCATGATTCAATTTGAACTTTTGCCCAGCAGGCTCCAATATGTAATAGATCATTTACTGAAGCATGTAAGCAGAACACCACTGGAGGAGCCAAATGGAAAGCAGCCTTATCCCACATGCTGAAGGTGTAATAAAATACTGACTCTGTACTTCTTGGTTGGCAAGGGCAGCTGTAGGTTCATTATAATATCCTCAATAAGAATGGTCAGAGCTGGGCAGTAGTTCAGAGCTACTGCTCTCCAGATGGCTCAGAACAATACCAAGTTCGAGAATACGTATTCCCTTGTAAGCCTGCTTGCTGCTGGATGGCATGCATTCTTACCACGTGCAAAGAAAACACTGGGAAATTTCCTCCTCACCGCACTTTGAGCAACTTCAACCTGTATTACAACGTGACTCTGAGTCACCTGGACAGCAAATGTTTCATACAGCTATTTGACACTGTAAGTTAGAAATTCTCCTTCCGAGGCTGAATTTTGGTGGAGAAACCTTATACTAGTGTTTGGCAACTGATGAACAGAAATCCAATTAAATACTCTTCTCACAAGAAGAAAGCTTCCATTCCCTCCCTACTACTCCTTAACTCAGGTTTTCATATCATATTATTTTCCTCTATAAAGATTTAGTCAGGCTTCTCCACAAACCCAATATTTTCATAGTGTAGTATAACTGTATGCAACTAGATCTAAACCTAATGCAGACCGTGAAAGGATAGCCTATTTTTCAGTGCATAAAGGAAACTGAACGTGCTTTAGTACACATGGGATCCTGCTCAAGTCGAACAAAACTCCAGTCAACAGTCAAGCCTGAACTTGTCCAAAAAGTGCTAAGCACCAAGGACAGTCAGGGCTACAAGAAGAACTGAGCAGATGAGCCACAAGTAACCATTTTAAGCTAGGACTCTCAGGCTCAGGTCTGCCAAATAGTTAAGCGCTTTCATTAGTCATTTAATCAGAACGATCAGCTCGCTCAGAGCTGAAATCTTTTGCCAAAGCCCCGCACAGGAGACTTCCACACTTCACTTAAAAAACACCAGGCTCCTGGTGAGCAGCCATCACATTTTTAGTTCGTGCAGAAGTGCTGCAGTGTGATTTGCCACATGCAGAAGTGGTTAAGACAAGTTTATATACAACTGTTAAGTGAGCCAACAGAATTAGGATCACCAATTGCATTAGCAGAGGTCTAGTAGAAATACTGCTTTGAACTTTTTTTTTTTTGTCAACCTTTACTTTGAGCTTAACTAAATACTTGCTTCAGGCATCTTAAAAAGTTTCTCTTCCTGCTGTTCCCCATCTCAAGTCTCCTTATGCAACAGGCACGGGCACATGTGACCAGGTCACAAGAGGTCATCTGGACTGAAGTGAGACACGAGGATCATGGATTCAGAAATGCAAAATTTGTTTTTATGGAAATATTCTGAATATTACAGCTATCAAGAAAACAGCTGCAGCAAATGAGAAACACGGCAGAGTTTTTGTGGACACGGCTGTACAGAGTTGTAATCCTAAAGGTTCATTTTTCCTTTAAGCAAGTCCAGTTTCTTTCAGATGCAGAAAAGAAATGCCGAGCACTCAAAATTGCTGTTTCAAGCCTTTTTCAAGGCTTTTAACAGATGGAATGAACCTAATAAACACATAGTCTCAGGAAAGACAAACGGTCCCTTAAAACTCACATGGTTCCTACATGCAAGTGTGAGCCTCAAATGAAGTATTTGTGGTTTAGTTAGCATGAGTTAATTTTGCAAGAGAATTGCCAGTCTCTTTCCTGACATGTCAGAAGGAAAACAGAGGTACCACAAAGTCACTGCATACAAACAGAACAAGCTCTGGGAAAAGCATCTGATCTTTAAAAAAAAATAAATATTAGACTTTGTCAAATGGTTCAAAGCAGATCTTAACCTTCCCAGGCACACAGGCCACTGGTGGTGCCCAACTAGCTTGGAGCTCTGGCTGACACCTGCCGTATCAGGGCTTCCTTCCAAAGAAAAGACTTTAGATCTTAAATTTCATGTAGGTTGGCCAGTATCCAAGCAAATTCATGGGTGACTACCTGCAGACTGATGTCAGCAATACTGTGATCGCGTAAAACCAGGCTGACACTTCAGCGTTGATAAGTTTCCCTAGATTTGAGATGCCTGAAATCACCTACATCAAACGCAGTCCTTCCCCCACAGGATCCCTCATGGAGGAGGAACACAGGAGTCACAGAGAGAAGACACCTTTTACATGGACAGAAAAGCAGTTTGAGGCCACCAGGAGATGGGTGCGGTTTGCAGATCAGCTATCGGAGCGGGGAACAATGCACTGAGCTGACAAGTCCTATCTCCTGCTTTTCATCAGGAAATAGCAGCTAGTTTCCTTATTACCAACTGCCTGGGCAACTCATTTAAGTTTCTTGGAAAAGCAGAACAATTAAGCCGGCAGTAACTCCCTTGAAACACGGAAGATGCAGCACCCTTACATATCCATATCTGAACAGCTCGTCAAATGAGGTTTAAAGAAAGGTGACCTTTGATTTAATGCTAATGTAGTCAATACTCTTTGAATCATACCGTGAGTGAATAATAAAAAACCCCTCCAGCAGTAAAAAGGTCAGCAGTAAAAAAACAAAGCTTGGGCCATTTAACAGGTTCACAAGGGCATTTCTTATTTTTTAATAACACAACTGAACATCACTGGCAGTGAATGGGCTGAATGACTTCAGAGCCCAACAGGCTCTTCAGTTTGGATTCAACACACAGCCATACTCAGCTTTTTTGACCAAAATACCCTTTGGCTGAATTCCTGCTGCATGCCAAGAAGCCCAGCACAGCTTGCTGGGCAGTTCCTGTCTGCTTTTACCTGGACAGCCTTCAGACATGCGATGACAGTTTCTGCACTTTGACAAGTGGCCCATGTTGTCCCAGGCTCTCCTATTCACGCCACTACCAAAATATTGCTGTGCTGCCTTTTTTTATGAAAGCTGAGCAGATGCACCAATGAGCAAGTGAAACAGATAAAGAAATGCCAGGTTGCTAGCATTCTGTGCCCTCAATTAGAAATCTGAATGACAAAGCCACAGCTCAGAGTTTTTCTGCATAATCCCTTTAAAAATGAGTTTGCAAGAGCATATGCAAATATTTACCCTCTATCTGGTTCTGAACACATTAGCAGGCTGTTACACAAGGAAAGAGATTGCTTCACTCCGTTTCCTGAAGAGGTTCCAGCAATCCACCAAGGTTCCAGCAATTAAACCCTCACCTGGACCAGTCTAGGGCGAGAGCCCAGCAGGAAGCCCTCCCTGGCTCTCCCCCCTTCATGCTCCACTTAATGCTGCAATCCAGTCAAGGCTGGGTAAAGTACTTACTGTGTAGTTTTTTCTTCTTCCCCTCCAAAGAAACAAAAAATTAAAAATTACAGAAAAAAAAAAAGAAATTTAAATCCCAGAAGAGCAATTTCAATTACTGCATGTGATTACATTGAACCTTTTAACTGCTGATTACAGAGCTGTTTTTTTAACCATGTGCTTCAAAGAAAACTGCAATTATTTTTACCTCCAATGAACACACCCAATCACCACTTATTTCTACACCTGCAATAAATTTTGTCCACTAACATTTATATTTGTGCTTGATGATCACAGAAACATCCACAGTATTTGTGCTTGCAATTAGTGCTGCCTGCAGCGAGGAGGAGGCAGATTCTAACAAATTAAATAATGAAATCCAAAAGCACAGCAGGGAAGGACGTTCAGGAACGGCATTAAGCCATCTTCAAGTATTAGTGACAAGCATCTCTTAGCATGACAGGCAGCTGGGTGATTTTAGAGGGAAGGGCTTTAACAAGCAGCACTGTGACACTGGGGCAGAGGGAAGGACTTCCAGGCAGAGACAGGGAGCAAGTCTCCCGGGGGCTTTTACGGAGCTAAATGTGGTGTGGAACTGGGCAATTCCATCTGACACGGCCCGTCCCAGTCTGCTGGCCCAGTGCGACCGTTCCTGCTTGGTTTACATCAGCACAATCCTTCTTGCCCTGATCAGGTACATCGTGGCTGCCCCAGAGGGGAACACGCCAGCCAGCGTGCTCACGGCTCAGCCAGCCTGCGGAGTACATCCAGGAGGGACGAGTGACAGGTCAGGTGGTAAGGGTGCAAAGAGGGGATCCTCTGTGATCCTGTCTGACCTCAGCTCTGATGCACTGTGTGGAATTGCTGGCCAACTTTCTGCTTAGTTTCCTATTTACAGGGAGTGCATTCGTGAAAGCAGAGATTTAGCCATGTTCCAGAGATAAGACTAAAATATCTAACACCTCAAGGTCATCTTTTGCTTGTTTAACCACCCATTAGTTGTTATGAGGGCTATTTACTTCTGTGTAGTTTTTAATTCCAATAATAATTTATTATTCAGTGTCTAAACTGCAAGAAGAATCAGATAAATTACAGTGACACGTGCTAAGGTTGCTGCTCTTGTGACAGAGCTCTCTTTGAATCCTTCTCTCACCCATTTTAAGCTACCTGAGTGACTGCTTCCAGTGTAAAATTGAAAATATATACAACGAAAGGAAACTTTGGGTTAAGGGAGCAAAACACATTTTCAGCAGAAATGCTAAAGGCTCCATCTCTGAAGCCACTAAACGCAATTGGTAATTTATCTTCTATATTCACACTCACTAGAGAATGCTTGAAATAAGTTTCACAGCACAACAACCGAATTCAATATACAAAAACAGAAACAATCCAGCTGAAATAAATACGGGAAATCAGTTATTTGTTTATTTAAGCAAACATAAAACTTTCCATTTTCAAATCTCACTAGGTTTGCATAACTTCCATTTCTATGACTTGTTACCTTTTACCAAAATCACACTCTCAGTGACTGAACAGGCAGAAGCAAGTAGAATGAGCAGTCCCTTGGTTAAATATTTTTAGAAGCTTCAAAACAACAGCATAGCTCATCAGAATGGATGCATACAAACACAACTTGCAGAACAGTATGTATATATTTCTCACTGTATGTGTGTAAACATATGGAAATACAAGTGAGAGGAAAGCTTTCAGTCTGTCTAGCAATTTTTCAAAACTAATCGGTAGGCAGGGAGGCATAGTTATAACAAGACTGCTAAGGCATTTAGAAAGGCATTAGTTACTGGGTCAAGCTTAGGAAGTTGTTTTTTTTTTTCTCCCTTTGTAATTATTACAATTTCCCCATCTCAGGATGACAGCATACAGGAACCTAAATAAGTAAATTTCATTTACTCTCACAAAAGACCATGAGACACTACTACAACTGTGAAGTCAATGCCAGCGTCCTTGGGATGAATGGCAGATTTGAGGAAAAACCACTGCCACTAACACTGGGGAAGGCTGCAAACAACTGTTTCGTTAATCCAAACACCCTGAAGAAAAATCAAAGAGCTATGAACTGCTGGCACAATCTATTACAATGTGCCAAATTAACATTTTAGTAGACTGAAAAAAGTAAAGTATCAAAAAGAGCTATGATTTTTTTTTTTTAATAGGTATTGTATTAGAGTAAGTTCTTTGCTACATTATTGTCAAAGACCTTATTTAGGCCAAAAAGAAAAAAAAGCTACTATGGCCAAGAATTAAGAAATTCTATTCGTCTTTTAAAAATCTTTGGGGCAAATGAATGGCATTTATACTTTTAACTATCTCACACTGCCTTCCAGCACTCCGAGGTTTAGATATTTAATGTAGTCAGCAGCTCTACTGAGAAAGTCCATATTACAAGCCTCCCCCCATTCACTCAGTAAGAATGTTTAGAGTTATACATGAAGCATACAAAATAAACATTACAAACCTTACACACAACTGAGATGAACCTTGGAAAGATGCTTGATGCATACTGCTGCACTGCGAGACTTCTGCACTCATTTCCACCGGAACTGAAAACATTTATATGCTACTGATGTTCAATGAAAACAGTTGGAGATGGATGAGCAAACGGTCAGATGAAAGATACCAAAATGTCAGACAGCCTACCGACTGTTGTTGCCATGAGATCCAACAGTCAACATCAGTCTGATAAGCTATCCGACAGGATGGTACAGCCATGGAGATGTCACGACGGTTGGCAACACAAGAGGACATTCAGGCAGGATTGAACATAATACTTATTCTCTCACCTTGCTCAAGAGCTGCCCTACCCGAATACAGGGATAAATCTGACCTAAGCAAGAACAAAATCTAGCTACTTTGTGCTCATATTCCACCTTTTGATAACGCTAATTCAAATTCTCGTTAATGCCCCATAGGATAAAAATGAAAAACAACAGTTCTGAAGTTGTTAGAGTTGCAATACATACACTGTAGCAGTGGAATGGGCATCTACTTATTGAAGACGGAAGAGATCAGTTTTGGTATGGGTTATGTCGTACACATCACAACTGGAACACACCAATCATGTTCTATAAATGTCTGAATTTTAAAGCAGAACTGTAAGGTTCCCTATGGCTCTACACATCATTGCTGGGTTAGACACCAATTCTGTTCTCAGATGGAATCTTTGCTCTTCATTGCTCGTGGTGCTGTGATCAGTGGCAAATGTCTACAAAGACTTTGTGCTAACAAACACAGCTAACCAGCTAATTTGCCTGCATGAGACATACTTCAAGTTATTACCAGTGAGCCATACATCAAGTTATTTGCTTTCTACTTTCTTCTGCTAAGTAAGAAGTTCTTAAAGAAAAAAAACAACCAAGAATAAAGGGCAGTTTCAGCACCATTTGTGCAGGAAGGATGAGTAAAGCATGCACTTCATGGGATTAAGGCTTAATAAAGAAACTGAGTATACAAAAGTGGAGAGGAAAAGTAACAGTTTAAAAAGACTGACACAAGAAATTCTGGAATGATCAAAGATGACTTTATAAAGTTTTATCTTAACTTCATTCTAAATATACAGAATAAAAAATGCCAGCTTCAGCATTTTGACATTAATCATATCTGTTAACATCATGAAGATTAAAGGGTGGCTTTTCCAACCGAGAGCACGTGCAATGCAATGGGACACTGGAGAATTGAGATGGAAAAACCTTACCATGAGGGACATGCAACAGTTTTTACCCAATCTGTATTAATTTATATACATTTTGATGGTCTTGAAAGTTAAGGAAAAAGCAAAACAGCCACCCATCAAAATAAAAGTTACCCTCAGGTCAGCCTGAAGTTAAATCAGGAAATATTAAATTGGTTTTGGAAGTAATTTGGATGGACAACATCTGTGTTAAACATTTCACATCACATTGTCCATTCCATATGTCCATAACACAACCCAGACATGTAAAGCATTTATACCTTACCTTAATATCTTTAAGTTTGTCAATGAAACGTCTGCTCTAATAGTCAAATTACTTTCAAATAAAATAAAAACCTGTTATAGTTGAAAATTGATGTTAAAAAGTTTTTCCCCATTTTGAATAATGCTGATTTTTAAATATATGGAAAGATGTGTCATTTTTCATGTCTGTTAAAACCCAGCCCAAGGGTTTTTTTTTTTTCCAAGCTCATTTGGTTTTTTCTTCAGAGTACATCTTCTGTTGCAGTCGTTTGGCATAGCTTTGGGCCATGGAGTTGATTATAGATAAGATAAAATAACAAACCATGACAATCACCAATTTTTCAAACATCCACGATAGCCAGTTTTCCCCCTGAGGAGACAAAGACAAAACAGAAAAAGGAGGAAAATGAAGATTAGTGGACAGCACAAAGGCAAATTCTCCATTTTATGGGTGAAAGGGAAAAGCCCAAACATTTTTTTGGATTATGTAATTTATCAAATTAAAAACAGGAACCAAGTGCAAGCTGACAGGATTCCTGCAGGTCCCTCTCTAGAGCTGACTTTAGTCCCTTGAAAGACAATGCAGAAGGGGTTGCCAAATACACCGCAGGGCAGACGATGAATCCTTGATCATTACTCGTGTGCTAATGAAGTGATTTATTATTCCTAGCATTGTTTGGACTTCACTAACAATTCATAGAGTTTAGAATTTGCAACCCCTGACTGTCATTCCCTGTCATGTTCAGTGCAAGGAAAACAATAAGGTCATTGGTTAACAATGTTTTTTTTTCCTGAACTGCACACACTGTGCTATCTTCCAATTCAGAGCCAATTCTTCCAGGAGTTACCGCGATGACCTCTGCAGTCCCGCTTTGAGCGTTTCCACAGCTTCTCTGAACTGTGGGCTTTTGTCAAAGGAGGGCAGCACCGCACCGCACAAAAGTCACTTCAATGCTCATATAAGGCGTCTGAGTATTTAGTTCTTCCTGACTGAGCCTCCCTAATTTCATGTTTCTATTAAGAAACAGGCAAAGAAACATTTAGAAGGACAGCTACGGGTATTAAATGTGAAGTGTGAGATAAATGGATGCTACCTCACTCTGCCTTCGCACCCTAAGGGAACTCTCGTTGAAGTTACAACATTCCTCTGTCCCCACTGAAAATTATGGGGGGGAATTGGACTTAGAAATTTAATTGAAATTTTACTTTTTAAGTACTTTGTGTGAAAGGAGACTTCTGCCCCTTTGCACCAACTCGGTTTTCCTTTTCCTTTTGAACACTACCACTTGGGGATTTTGTTCCTTTCCTTGGTCATTAAAGCTGCAGAAGCCACCGGCTCCTGGAGCATTGCTGCTGCCCGCAGTTCACTATCACTTCATGTGTAAATGAGACTTTTTTTTTTTACTTAAGTTTCTCTTCCAAAATAGGCACACTAATACAGAGGCACAATGAGCCCCTGATGTTGTTTTAATGCTTTTTGTATTCTCTAAGAGGTTTCAATCCAGTTACATAAAGTTATGGTATTGTTTTTAATTCCCAGGTTCCTTTTAAAATTAAAATTTACTAATCCCCTGGGCCACTGTAAATCTTTGAAAGCAGAATAAAGAGTTACATCAGTAAAACTGACCAGCCAAAGACAGAGCTAAAGGAAAAGTTAACTGGGGAGGGAGGCAGAGAGGCTCTTACCTGTGGCACGCCACTGTCAGATTTGTGGTGAAGTTTTATCCTCTGAGCTTCCAAATATTCTTGAAATGGCTTCTGAAGAGAAGGACCTATACTTGGAATAGCACTGATGCAAAGTTCATCCCAGAGAACAAGACAAAATAGGGGAAGAAAAAAAAAAAAAAAGAAAAAAAAAAGAGATATATGTATATATATATATATTTTTTTTTTTATAACTTACCACTTGACCCAAACAGAACAAAGTTCAGACTGAGCCACAGCTCGGAAGGGTACTGCTACTTGGGAAATCATAACCACAAAAATAAAGTGAATTTTATCTTTTAGCTGGTATTTCAGAAAGGGACGTATTTCCTCAGATCCTCAAAAAGCATTTAAAAAGAAAAATATTTCAGAGCAAATCAGCGGTAATACACTGGTGGTAAGACAGAAAGAAGCCGTGAGCTAGAGCATTTCCTTAAAGCCCGGGAGAAGCCAGCTGAGGCTGTGCACTGATGCAGTGCTGAGAATAAAATGAATGACTTCTCAGAAGTCCCACATTTATCACCAGCAGTTCCTGTAAGAACTGGTTTGAACCGATTAATAAGGAAATGACTTGTGCTTGTGTCATCCCTCAGTTAAAAAAGAAACTGCTCGCCCTATGACTTGCCCCTATCTTCTCAAAGAAGACAGCCCCTTTCTCAAACTAAGTCCTTATTAGGACAATCTGTGCGTCATCCTTACCCAAAAAGAATGCATTAGCAAATTCTGCAGGCACCTCCCACAAGTCAGTGATTAACAAAGGAACAAAGAAAGAACTATGAACCCTGTTCTGAATCATTTCATGGTTTATGGCAGATGACTTGCACAAAAGCTACAATACGTTACCAAACACCTTGTTCTTACACTAACGTATAAAGATCACCGATAGGCTTGTGGCACTAGGAGCACTCCCGGACCTCCAAAGCAAAGGTGTTAACGTGGGACAGGCAGAGCAGCCACCACGTTCCAGCCTGCAAACACCGCAGCCAATCCAGACCCCAACCAAAACCAACGCAGGTGATTTTTCTTTTGATCTTCACACCACACTATTTAGCAGGAGGTGCGAGGAGCTTTAGAAATTGCCCCGGCACACAAAAAAGCTGAGGTGTTACACAGAGAAATTAAATTACCCCCAGCAGCACCGGGTGGTGGTGATGCAAGCGCTATCTGAGAGCACAGTCCCAAAGTTTAATCCACGTTTATACACCCAGCGCTCCTAACAGGAACTAGGGGAGATTCCCCATCGCTGACAAACACCATCTGATTTTCCAAGAGAACTGGTTTGTTGGTTTTTTTTTTTTTAATATTAAAGAAATTAATATGATATTCTACATTTTAAAGTCTCCTTAAATTTCATTGCTACAGTTCTCATTCTATTATTTCAGGGAGGATTTAGGATTCAGTCACCAAGACATACACAGACAGGATTACAAACCCATCACCTCCTCCCTGAATGGCTGCTATTGCTACGTGGGGCTACATCTCAAATTATTTTCCTCAGTCTCCTGTTCTGACATGATTTTAGCTGTTCCATCCTATAGCCCAATTCAAAAATAATAGCTTTCTAATCTTAAAAACTTATGAAAACGCACAGCTTCAAGAAACAAAACAGCTCACTCTGAAATTTATTTCCTTTACTACAGTCGGGGCAAATAATTTTTTGAAAATATTGACTAGAAAAAGAGCGCGTCCCTCATGATTCACCATAGCGATGATACAAATGGGTGAGTAAATTTTGTGCCTGGAGTGGTAGATTTTCAGCCAAAAGAAGTGTTGAGACTAAAGCAAGTCTAGTACACATTTTACATAAAAACACGTCAACTTTTTACAAACAATTTCCAGTTTTGCAAAACCCACCCTTAAGAATCCCACTTTATTTGTGGTAAAACACTCTCCTGGTGACTCGCTGATCACAACGAGTCACGGCTTTAAAGAATTCTGGTCTGGGCTTTCTGTTCTTTTTTCAAATGGCACTTGGAAGCAGGGAAAGCTACTGGAGGTAATACTTCACTTCTAAAATTTTACATGGGTACAAAGTGAGGAATATTTAAATTATGAGAATAGTGATTAACAGAATACTTATTCAAAATCCTCCTTTTTTTCTCTTTATTTTTCTGAAAACTGAACCAAGTCAGTGCCCAGTGAGCATTAAACAACAGAACAAAACCAAGAAAACCAAGTTCAGATGGCTTGAAAGGATTCGGGTGTATCAATGCTCTATTTCATTTTTTTCCCCACTAAAAGCATTCAGCATCTTCTCTTTGTGAGCATGATTAAAATTAAGTGTATGACATCCCTTTTATTATAGCTGTTTTGAAGAACTGTAAAATCCTGAACGTAAGGACCTTCATTTCTAAAAGTCTGCATCACTTTGCACGTTCACAGACATCTAATAGTGAAAAAAAGTGCAGGGGTTTAACTAAGTAAAGTTAAGCACAGCAGCGTCTAGAAAATAATCTCCTCTGTGCACCCACAGTATTAGATATAAAATTCTCAAACTCCCAGCTCAGAGGGTTAGTTCTGGTTACTTGTACCCTTTCAACAACATTCTGTGATTTACTGAACCAGCCAACCTATTTGTCACCTAATATCGAAGCATAAAAATCATTTTATGATCTGTAAATTAAAAAATAAATCCCCCAGTTTTCATTTAGTTAGAACTGAGTGAGAGGTTCCCCTCAGAAATATGAAGTTCAGCTCAGCAAGGCACCAAAGGGGAAGGGGGGAGGCTTCAGCCTGGATCTTTAGGTGCTACACTTCAGCCCAGAGGCAGGTAAAATGCAAAAGGAAGAGATTTGCATCACAATTCTGCGCCACTTAGCACTGACTTTAAGATCAGACTTTTTTTTTTTTTTTTTTTTTTTTTTTAAGTCTTCAAAAGGCTACCGCAGTTTCAGGAGCCTCGATGCAAACCACAGGCACCTTTACACATCCGACTTGAAGGAAGATGCTGGAAGATAACCCCGTTGTAGGACAGCCTGAAACTAATTCCTGGCATTTTCCTTTGAAAATAAAGCCTCTTGTCTTTCAAATAAGGAGTAGGAGAGGATGACAAAAGAAAAGAAACTTGGCACACCACAGAACTGAGCTCAGCCACGCTTTGTAGTCTCTATCTGCCAAAACAGAACACCCCCAAAAAAGACCCACACCATCCCTGTAAAAACGTAGGTCGTAGCGAGCTGCTGGGGGACTTCACCTTGAAGCAAAAAAAGTCATTCACTAGAAGAAGTTATTCAGCCAGAGGTTGTCTGTCAAGCAATGAACACGTTTCCCGAGCTGCTCTCTGGTTGTCACACAATTTGCAGTTAGCAGCGAGGTGGCTGCACTGCTGCTGTGCTCCAGCCCCTCAGCACAATTCAGCTGAAGAACAAAGGCTGGCTACAGCTTTACCAAAAGATTCTGATTTTATTTTATTATTTTTTTTTGAGAAAACAAAAGTTTGCAGATATTTTGATTCGTTAGTAACTTCAGAAAAAGTTAAGCACTCAGCTCACAATTTGTTTTAACTCACGTTCATTCTCTGCTAAAATTAAATGTTTCATAAGGAATTGAAAGTTCAAACAGACTTCAAAAATTGCACTAGTCTTTGTTAGAGCTTAAATATATCAAAATCACAACATTTTAGTAAAAAAAAGATTATTTGCAATGTAATGCACACAAGCACCCATCAAGAATTTTGTTTTCACTGCTGAAGCCTGTTTTCAGATGCATTACCTGGTCCTTGTAACTGAACGGATGCATCTGCTCCTTCTCTCCCCTTGTTATTGTTAATTAAGAGCCGTGATTTCTATCTAAATGAGAATGTCATAATAGTTTTCCACAGATAGAACAGAATTTCACAGCTATCTGAAGCACCACACTACACAGCCAGCAGAGAAGTTCCAGGATTTGTTTAAAAACACACCAAGGGTGTGCATATTCTGACAGTATTAGCCCTAAAACTTATCCCGGTAACAGTGAAGCTGTTTTCTATAGCACTTTGTGCAATTCAGTAATTTGCTTTCAGATTTAAAAGAATGACTGACAATATTTGAACCGCAAAGGCATGAAGTGGTAGGAAAGATTTTTAGGAAACTTCTTTTTGTAACAGTCTTTTGAAGCACAGGAAGGAATTTTCTCAAACACGTGGACTAAGCACCAAGTCCAGAGGAAAAAAATATTTTTCCTATGCTAAATTAACAAAAATTATCAAGTTCTTCAGTACTCCAGTCAACTCTGCTTTGCTAATATGAAAACTAAACCAATTTGATCATACTATTCGCACTTTTGAAAGGCAAATTTATCATCTTAATAGATCATAAAGGCTACAGGTTATCCCCAACTAACAAATTTCATAACCCATAACCTTCAGTCTGTGAAGGTACAAGTAATTGCAAGCTGCACTAAATACTGAAGCACAGGTCTGTATCTAAACGCCCCATTTGTGAATCACTAACCACTGCTAACATTTCACAAAATAATCAATTTACAGTTGAGGATACACAGTTTCCATCTCCAAAACCCCCCACACATGTGCGTGTTTGCCCACTTTTCCAGAGACAAATGTTAGAATTAGCAAATGTTTTAAGAAAACTACCAAGTTGCCATGGGTGACCCCCATTTTTAGAAGATGAATATGGTGCCTTGTGCTGCTTTTTTTAAATGTTAATAAAAGTTTCATTTGTAAGAGACAGCAAGCGATTAAGCAGCTGATTAATTTTAAGCAGTTCTTAAACTCCATTTCCTTTGACTGAAATTAAAGATGTCAATAAGACCTCCAGTGGCATCCAGTTCTCAAATTTTTACTCTGTTCAGCAGCTCACGGGAGCGACTGGGATCAGTCCCTCAGCTGTGATGACCAAGACACGTTAAGCTCTGCTCTGTGAAATCCTGGAAATCCCTTTTTATCATGGCAATGACCTGAAGGGAAATCGGAACCGTAAGCAGTGAATCAATGGCACACACACACGAGCCATCAGGCTCCCAGGCCGAAGCCCTGCTTGGGACGGTGATGCGGCATTGAATCACAGCCCCAGCCCCGTCTCGTAGACGATCTCCCTAATATCCACAGCTTAATTTGGAAAAAATGTTTAACTTCACACGGGGATTGATTTTGTCAGGCTCTCTGGCTGTCAAGTGCAGCCCAGACTGCCAGGGTCTGGGGGACACGATGTCACTCCCCTTTTGCTGAAGTCTGGCTATTTGGGCTCGGCCAGCTACAGCAAAACATCCTCTTAGGAAATGCCGGCACTCCGATTCAGAATGAAGACAACAGGGAAGAATTTTTAAATAACAGCAAACCAAACGAAGAGGAAAATTTCATTGTGTGTTTTGTCAGCACAGCCCCGCGCACATTCACTATCTCATCCTGCTGTCCGGGAGCGAGCATGGCCTGAGGCCAGAGATTATCTCCTGCTACAAAAAGGGAGTTCAGTGGCGCTGAAGAATGCGATGAACTGAAGGAGGGAGTGTGCTGGGATGAAGTCGTCCCTTCCAGAACCACCAACTTTGTTTTTTTAAGAAGTATTTCAATTTAAATTGGAGCAGCTATTGACAGCCAGGCCAGGGGACCAAGCACAGGCTCTCACCTTTGAGCAGCTAACAACAGCTGCATGCAAAACAGCAACAACCATCGCACCCAGCACCCATTCCTCCCACACTTTGGGGTCTGCGTTTGATTCACACTTCTATGTTCCCCATAAGAACACGGCTGAACTCCATCCTGCAAGCATCATGGCATTAGTAGGAGGCCCTGTGTTTGGTTATCTCAACTCTCCGTCCCCCAAGAGAAACTCAAAGCTTTGCTCCAGCACCACCAACTTCTTTAAAGTTTTATAAAGCCTTGAAAAAGAGATTCCAGTGGAAACGTTTCTGTGCCACCAGACAAGTACAAAGCTGATTAGTTTGCATACTGCTCGCTCTCTGAATAGAGCACCTTTCTTCCTGCAAGTTATCTGAACCTGCAATGGTTAATTTTTTTCCAGACAGTGATCTAAACAGGCTTAACGGTTAGTATTTTAATGAGCTGTCATTTCCTGTGCTGATAAAGATTCTCACAGTATTTAAACCATCCATTTCCCTGAGGCTCAGCCAATACCAGGACCCTGCTGCCGTGACTCAGAACGGACCTCAGCCTCCCGGCCTGACTCAGCCGTGACAGATTACGCTGCAGCGAGTCTGGCCGGGCTCCCAAGGTGCCCGTGGCTCAAAGAGAGCATTCACAGCAAACCTGGGCTCCAAAACCAGAGGGAGTAAGCACAGCTCCAGCATCCCCCACTGCCGCTGTGGCTTCAGAGCATTTGGTGACAGCTCGCTGCGCCCTGCAGCCACAGAAAGTCCATCGCCTTTATGGCCAGGATCAGCAGAGACACTGAGGGTTAAGCCTGGCAGATTCACTTGGTTTTACAAGATGAGGAAAGAAAATATCTGACTTGGAGATTACTAAGCTAAAATTGTTGCCCATTTGACGTCATTCCTACCTGGCGCTGTGCTCCAATACCCACGTTAACCAAGCCGCCTGCAAAGCATTTTCCTTGGGACATTCTGTTACGCTAAGGCCAATGCTCTCAGAAGTAGGAATTGCAACATCTCTGACCTGGTGGTTCTTAACTCTGCTCCACATTGCTCTTTGTAAGGAAACTTCTCTGCATTTTAAAGATATAGCACGATTTTGGGACAAGCAATTTATAAAAGAAAAAAAAAAAAAGCTTGCTTGTTTAAACCCTACAAGCCTTTTGCAAATAAACTTTTTATAATTCTGCTGTGATCCACTGGAAGGTTTTCAACACCAAAGCTACTCAAATTTCATTCACATCTGTGTCCCTTTCAAGACGCTGACGCCTTTGTTGTGCAGAGCTGATCTATTGTGCAGGGGGTGTAGTACGAGGGCACGGTCCCACAGGTTTCCGATATACCTGTGGGAGGGGAGCCAGTGATTTATGGTACCGAAGTGTCAGGTGTGTTGCAATAAACTTCCAAAAGCACTTGTATCTCAGGAGATTTTAAAGTCACTGCTCGCTTATCCACAGGCTCAGCCATTTCAGGGTATTTTCAATTGATTTCTGCTACAGAGGTCTTAGTTCAAATGCTGATTGGAAACTCTATTTCAAAATACCCTGTAACAAAAACAGGATACGGCCACCGGATACGGACTTTAGGGCACATATGCAAAACAAAGGTCCCCGAAGCAGAAGGTGTGGCTGGCAGAGCAGGCCTGGCCCCTGTGCTGCTGCTGGAAAGCCGAGCGCTGTAAGGCCATGGAGGTCACCTGGCGGGGCCGTGCTCCGTGGTCATCCCCTGCTGAAGGCCCCCAGAAGGCAGAGGAATTGCAGGGCACGCTCTGAATCAGGAACAGGACTTGTTCCACCCGAGGACATTTTATTTCTGGTGCAGCCCTTTCTGACTGTAGCTTCTTGACTTGCTTATATTCTAAAGAAATACCCTAAACTGATACTTTTTTTTTTTTCCTTCAAGAATTGTGTACATCTTGAAGCGAAGTTTCCAGTTACGTCAGTCGCCATAATTCCACTCGCACTCCTTTCCTACAGGGAACATCGTGCTCCTTGCAAGAATCAGCTGAGATTAAGCCGTGAAGCAAAAAACTACAGCACAGCAAATAGCAGCAAACTGGTTTGTAAAGGCAAGGGTTCAAGTGCCTGTTACCAAAAAACTGTTTTGCTTTAAGACATGCAATTATTCAAACTGGCAGCCGTAACTGGTAAGCATTAAAATTTGTTCCAGAAAAACACCAGATTAAGAAGCCTTTCAGTACCACTGATATTCTGGGCAGCTTTTCAGGTGCGAGCTTGTTGAATTAGAGCTCCCAGCGTTAACAGGGCTTACATGTCTCACCCCTACAGCACGGCATTAAAATTAACTTCTAAATCTGTGGAAGTTCACAATTTTATTATTATTTTTTTTTTTATCATGCGTTTCACTGTCTTGTGCTAAACTTCAAATTACTTTGACGACTCAGTTCATTAACTCATTGACTAAATTAATTTCTACTTCTCTTAAAATTAGCAGAACATCATTTGCTACGGGCAGCAGCTCCCTTCTTTTGCTCCAAGACTTGCCTGCTGCAGCCCAGGATCACTTAGCACACCGGAGGAGCTGCTCCTGGCACTATCAGGGTGCTCAGCAGGGACGCTGTGCCCGCAGGGTGTGACTGTCCCGAGGAGATGCACCCACACCACTTGCCACTGAAGTTCAGCTGCTTCTGAGGTGGAGGCCACTGGGTGCCCACTGCTATATAAAACACATTTCTGAATTTTTTAGATTTTTTTTCCCAGGTTCCAAAATGATGAGCTCGTTTCCACCAAATACAAACAGACCACGCTGAATTTAAAAGATTAAATTTTTCTCATTCTAACATTTACCCCAAATTGATGGCAGACGGCGGTGTGGATGGTATGCGTGGTGTGAGCTTTGAGTACTGCTTCTTTAGGGAGAGTACTGCTTCTTTTCTGGGAATTCTTCATGTGCATTTGAAACTACCACTTCAAAGAAAATATGTTCGTGCTTAAAAGCAACGTGCTTGGTGTGCCTTCATAAACAATCCCGCAGTTGTAGGTAAAGAACAAATTAAGTGAAAAGCCTTAAGAGACAGAAGAAAACCCACAACACATATGATAATTAAACATTTTAAATGAGCTCAGCATCCAAGTATTTTACACGGATGATCAATAAGTGACGAGAATGCAAGACAGAGCTCTTACATGCCACCCTTCCTCATAAAGAGCTCATGAAAGTAATACCACTTGGGAGAAAACACGATCCTCTTTGAGCATTTTTGACAGCAATAACACAACTTTAAACTATTAACTGGTAGAACAGGTTGATAATTACCGGCCTCGGGTAGACAACCAGGATCTTTGGCTCAGCTTTGATTGCAGGACTCCTGCAAGCTTCGGTTTCTGAACCCCTTCCATGCCCCCTTCCCCTCCGCTAGCACTGACCCCGCTCTATACCACGGCTTGCTGCAGCACAGCTGCTGCTTGCCTTGCTGCTGCCACCACCCATCCTTCCTATCACTTTTTTTATACTGAATAATGCCAATATTTTCTTTCTTTCTTTTTTTTTTTTTTAAAAAAAAAAAAACAGCTTCTCAAATTCACACCCCTTTATTTCCCTTTTCTCTCTACATTTAATTAATAGAAAGAGTATTTTGTGATCCTTTTGTATGAAGGCCTAGAGAGATGTAAAACCAAATCACCCTGAATCCTATTAAAGCACAGCATCCAGTAACAAACGCAGACGACTACTGAGCTACAGGCAAGCTCTACAGGTAAATCATTTTTGCTTTTTAACTAGGAATCACATAGTTAGAGACATTCCCACTGGCTTATAAAATCAGATATTCTCAGAATCCACCTCATATCTCAGCTTAATCTCCTGTCTAGATGCTAGCTGTCCCACACATGAATATAGTTGTTATTTTGAAGTATCATGCTCAGACATTTCCTATTGTGTAAAAGCAGTATCTCAGACAAAGGTCTTAAGGCATATTGTTGGATAGAATTTGATTAAAATTAAGTTACTAACCATTAAATAGATCTATATTTTAATTTAGTTTAATGCAAGCTATTGTTTAACTTATTCTATACTTCACTCTAGAAAGAAATTGATGAGGTAATGCTAGCAGACAGATTGGGAGAAGTCAAGGATACCGGGACATTCCAAAAATCTTACTGTCTCTCGAGAACATTTTTTAACTCTGACATCAACCATCTAATAAAATCTGAATCCAGCAGAGGTCTTGTGAATGCATTCTATGTAATTGGAGGCAAAATTATCTCCAAGACAGATGAAGTAGGAAAAAACTACTAGTTTTGGCTCAAAGATCTGCAGGATAAGAAATCTTTGGAAATATACCTAGCTTAGTAGCAGTGTTGATTAAAAACTAGTAGTAAATTGTCTGGTGTGATTAATACTACAAAAATCTAACTAATGATTGTTGAAATTAGCCACATTTCTCATTTTCTTCTTTAAAATATTGAAAGCAACAAATCGATTTGGATGTTACAAAGCAGACGCCCAGTCAGAAGATCAGGAAGTAATAAGGTCAGGATTTGTTTCATTAGTAAACAACCCTAGAACGTTTCTTTTAACGATCCTTTTTCTTTGTATAGCATTACTACTTCGAGTCTACATATTTTAAAAGCAATTATTTCCAGACACTCCTCTCCTGAAAGTGTTCTCGAGGAGTATGGCTTTATTTTTTTTTAATTTGAACTCAGCTATTAAAGTTTGGGTAGCAAAATATCAATCAGTTTGCCCCACATGACAAGTGAAAGACCTTGGAAAAGGAAAAACTCCTTTAGGATTTATTTGTTATACCCATATTAGGTTAAAAAAAAATATTATTGAGATCTAATTTGTTGGATTACCAGGCTTTCACTGTTAACATCAACACTGGATTTGTAAAAGTGCACAGAATGTGATGACTGAACAGGTAGATGAGGCAGAAGTCTGGCACTTCAGTCTTCAATCATCAGTCAAGCCCATGAAGGCAACATCTAATATATTGTTTTAATATATATATTTAAGCAAAAACGCAGCTAATATCAGCTTAATCTTGTTTTAAACCAAGATTTTCACTTGAAAAATAAAAAACAGTAATCAATTACTAAAGAACTCCAGGGAAAAAAAAGACAAGCTTTCTCAAAATTGGCACAGTTTACCCATGAAAATGCTCATTTCTCCTACGAAAAATGAAGTTTAACAGACTGGAGATATAATATTACATAAAAAAACTTTTCAGCCTGACATTTTATGACAAATTTAGTATTTTATATAAGGCAATTCTAATTATGTAAGATGTTTATCATCATTTTGAGACACTGCAAACATCACAACAGTCCTTTCAGTTTTTGTCACAGGATCCCAACACAACACTGAAAAAAAGTCAACAAAAACCAGTGCATTTGCACTCAACAAGTGTAGCAAGCTATAATTAATTGCTGTATCGTATTTTGGGGTGAAAGTTAAATGTAGATATCAGATATTCAGGCCATCTGACCTTCAATGCTATTATGTTTCTTGAAGCACTTGAAGCCTTTCAGGTGAGGAATGAAGTTGCATAGAAAACCTGAGCTAGCAGTTAGCCAAAGGTGGCACTTACAAGCAAAGCACAGTTTTCAGCACATCTGATTTAGCTCCTCCAGTATTTTTCCACTTAATGAGTGAAGGTATTAGTGTGTTAAAGAATTACTCACCCAATTAGGGACACCATCTGCTCCACTATATGTTTGCTGAATGTTATAATAACGAAAAGTTTCTGTAGGAAGGAAAACGTCAGTTAGAGAAATGTTTGATCAAAGGGGAAGCAAAGACAATGGTGTACAACAATTTATGTTCTTTTCCAATGCAACTGCTTCTCCAGCACTTAGTTTTCCCTTCACTTTTCTGTTTTTCAGTACTCTTTTCAAAAATAGGCAGAAGAGAGCAAAGCTATTTACTTTATTATTCTATTTCCTCATAGATCTCGTTTCTTGCAATGTTTTTGTAGCCTGTGTCACTAACCATTCGCATCCTCCCCAAACTTAAATTCCCAGAAGCCCAAGGTCATTTTACTCCGTCAACAATGTTTTAATGGAAAAACAGTCAGCACTGTGCAGAAAAATTCACATCCCATTACACAAACACACGGACTTAAAGATCACAGAGATGAAAAAATGATAGCCCCCTTGTTCACGTGCTTCAGAGAGAAGCAAAACAAAGAAACACCTAGTGAAGAACAAGTAAGAGCCATTGGGTACCTTCAGAGAAGACCAACTTCAGGGAAGATAGATAATCCATTGCATTAGAGAATGATAATTTGAAACAGAATAATTTCAGTAGAAGACAGTTCTGTAACACATGGCTTATTTTCCACAAAAAACAAGTGTCTGTAATTTTACCTCTCCCTTCTCTTCTGTCATGTTAATTTTTTTAAAATAGCTTTTGCTAATTCCTTGTGTCACATTCAATAGCGTGTTTGTTTGCAAAGAGCGAGCAAGACTACGTCTAGATGTACCTATACACACAAACAGTTCCCACGGTCTCCTTAAATGAATTTAAACATGATCTAATGAGAAGCACATTCACTAGTATGGAAATAAGGGATGTGATAACAACTACACAAAAATGATTTTGTGGTCCAGTGGAAGAGACCAGTTAAAAGCAGCTCCAGGATGGCCACTGCAGAGTCTGTTACTTCCTGTCTAGAGAAAGGTTTCATTAAAAACTTGTTCTGTGACTGTTACATTTCCTAAATTCCAAATTGCAGCAAGATCACTGAAAAAAAATAATCAAGGCTATTGCACAAGAGTACACTTGAAATACAACATCACAGAAAACAGAATTCTAATAGCTAAACATATTACAAAATACGATGATTTACCAACAGTGCAAGAGACTGGATTTTTTTTTTTTTAATCTTAAATTTTATCTGGGTGTAGAACACTACGTTCCATAGCAAACAATCTCCTATCTAAACAAGGCAAAAAAAATTAAAGGAATATTATACAAATACTAGTTCACTTTTCTATGTTGCCAGAACAAATTCTAACAGCACACAAGCTTAAAAGCAGAAAAAATCAGGGAACACTAAACAAAGCATAGAGGAAAAGTGTTGCTTTCACAGTAAGTGAAAGAATATTCAGATTTATTTGTTACCTTCTGTTTGAAGACTACACAAATAAAACAACCATTTACCAAAAAAATGAGAACAAAGAAGGGGTGGGGATTGAAGTCTTGTTCAGGGCAAAAGGAAGAGATTTTTAAGCAGCTTGAGGGTAGTAGGCAAATAATTTTATACTACTAAGCTTCTGCTTTTTTAAAAAGAGTGACAGCAAAGATTTCCAAGCAACAAACCTACAGGCACTGCAGAGTCCTATGGAGATATTTTAAGCTGAAAAGCTCAGCCTCTAGCATCTCTAACCTACCGCTGAAAGCTCAGTCTCTAACCATAACTGTATCATCAATTATATCACTCTACTTGTACTAACCACGCTGCCAGCAATTAACAATTGTCAGGGAATCAATACTTCATTTTTTATTTGACAAAATGGTGACACATCTTAAAAGCAAGACTCAACAATTTTTAAAGCTACTTGAGATTCTGATTGCCAAATTCAGAACATCCGGTAAGACTCTGAGTTAGCAAGAAAAATCAAACAAGCCTCTCTGAAATCAGGCCCTTTCATAATAACATGGATTGAACAGACCAAAAATCACTAACCACGCCTGAAAATTGCAGATGACACTTCCAAAAACATACCCTTGGAGTGCCTTCTGCAGGGAGCAGGGCCTGGAAGGAGCACGGCTCTCTCTATACATTCAGCTGAGGGAGCATTTAAAAAGTGCCGCTTAACTGGTAAAGGCTAGTTGCAGTGCTCTTTGAAACGAGTATTTGTTACCAAAAAGGCAAGTTCATTATGAGTACGAAGTCCTTTCAGTCTGGTAAAAACCGTAGGTAAATAACTTGGCTAACCACCAATTTCCTGAGTGGTGTAGGCAGCGAGCTCATTAGTTTGTAGCTATAAATTATTCAGTTGCCTCAGTTCTAAGTGAAGGAGCCTAGCAGATTCTTTATTGTAAATCCTCCGCACCAAATTAATTTCCATTACTTCAGGTCAGGAAAGGAGACTCCAGAATTCATTACGGAGTAACACAGTGTAACAGGAAAAAAAAAAATAAAATAAAAAAAAAGAAGAGAAGTGTTCAGCCCAGAGCCCTAAGGGAGCTGTAGCATCTACTTGCCTGGATGTGCATTTTAATTACTGCTTTCCCAATCAGGGTGGCACCAAAGAAGGTCCAGAAGGGAACCAGAAAGTGTCCACATGTTATCCCGGCCAGGTCAAACAGAGGGTTTGGAATCTGTAAAGTGCAAGGGAAAAAAGCTCCTGAATTGCAGTATTTAACTTAGAAGAACAGGAATACTACAGACTCTGAAAAATGTACATTTTCCCCTTCTTCAACTTAATTCAAAACTCTTGTGTTTTAATACTTACAAAAGTATTAAAGTTACACCACATAACTTAAGTCTCAGAGACTTAACGAGACAATGTCCCAGACAACTCCACTGACAGTCCCTCCTCGCCCCTTGACTTTAAAAGAGCTAGCAAAGTTTTCCATCTGAAACGCACAGAAACCACAGTAAAGCCATTTTGAGTGATTTATCAAATTTTCTCACTGACAAGCACATCACTCCTGGAAGCCAGTGTTCAAAATTATCTCCAGTGATTTCCATCTGAGAAAATACATTAAAAACTGGCATTTATGGTCATATGTATCCAGTTTAAAAGCACTGATTAAATTTTATTAAGCATATGCATTTCATTTAAAATTAGAAGTTGTTTTTTTTATTGTTAAATCCTTGGCTTGACATTTGGTATTGTGATACTATCTGTAAAATATTTTTGAAGTTAAACCAAGAAAGAATCCAAATTCCAACCTTTCGCACTCAGCACAAGGGCTCTCGGTCTGAATAAAGGGAACATACCCCGTGTGTTTACAGTAGCAGTGCATCACTAATATCCTGCAGCACTTGGGTTGTTTTGTTACACAAACAAACAGGGAGTGTAGATATTTAAGCCTATAAAGAATAATAACTTTGACTGACTGAAATCTGCGAGAAAGCTTACGAGGGTTATACTTAGCTGTTATAGACTAGCAATTCAAATTTATGAGCACCCACAACACCACCTGCATAGGAAGAAATCTGAAACGGTCTCTAACCATGCCCCGAAACGGTCTCTAACCATGCCCCACTGCAGCTAAAGTGATCCTGTACCTCTGACAGCTGTCTTCGGCATAGGAGGAGGCTGGTAAATTATTTACTTATGCCAGTGCCAGATAATTTTGCTCTCCTGAGCCAAGTCTGGTCTAGGTCTCCAGTAAGTTCTTTGTTGGTTGGTTTAGTTTTTTTGGTTTTTTTTTTTTTTTTTCCCCTCTGGTAAGTTCACAGCACATTTTAATGACTGCATTACTCTCACCACAGAGGGAGCAGCATGCTTTAGGTACAGGTAACTGTGGGTATCACCAGCACGTTAAACATAGCACAGTAAAAAAGTTACTTGAGTCCACATTGGGGTGTATCAGCAGGTCAGTGAGGTTTTCTCTTTGTTTGCTTTAAAAAAAACAAGAACACCACACATGTGCAGCACTGAGAGCTGCCCGAAATGCCCAGAGATGGGAGGGCAAAGTCTCCCAAAACACAGCAAGGATCTTGATCTCTGCCTCGCTCTGCTCCTTCCCACAGCTGCCTTTACACAGGAATTAGCTTCAAGACAATAACACAGTTTTCTTATTGCCACTAAACATTACATTCAGGTGATTTCACTGGATAAATTCGCAAAGCTTTAAGCTCAATCTGAGTTTTCACGTAGCATTTAGAAGCCATCCCTTGACATGCAGCCAGGGCAGCCATTACATTGGCACTTCACAAGCAAGTTCTTCTCTTCCCTTTCACTAGTCACAGAAATACTTTCAGCTAAGATACTGTTTAAAATCCAGAAGTAAGAGGGCAACAATAATGTGGGCAGGAAAGGAGATACCTTCTAGCACAAGGAGAAGCAGCAATGAGCAAGAAGAGCCCTGAAAAAGTCCAGAAGCTGGTGGGGAAATGCACAAGGGCAAGCAGCACACATGGGGGGTGCCTTCCTCCTCTACAGGTGCAATAGAAAGGGACAGCTTCAAATCCCTCTGCTTGTTTCAGTGCCTCTCCCTTTTTGCTGCTACTCTGCCTTTATTCTGTAACCACATTTACAAATCCTCAGGTGCGCTGCAGTGGATCCGTGATTCCCCATCCCTCCCGACCCACAGCAACCTGTGTAAGCAAAAGGAAGCTGGAGCTCAGAGCTCACTGAAGAACAGGGCACCAAAAGTAGGGAAGAAGTTAAGCAAATACTTAAATAATACTAAGCAGGAACACTGAAGAGCTTACACATCTCCCCTCATGTCTAGCAACTCCTTTCTCACGTTCCCTACTAGCCCACATGTCACCTTGTCCAGCTACCCCAGTAACTCATCCCTGCCGTCCCGGAGCTGTTCTCATTACACAAGTCAGACCAAACAGCCCGTGCCGCGAGCGATGTCTCACAAGATGGTGACTAGAGAACAGTGAGTCAGAGCCAGCCAAGGAGCAGTCTCAGAGCTTACTGGACGGAAAGATTTAAAGAACAGCTTGTAACCTACGTGCCCACTCTAAACAATAAGACAGTTCAAAAGATTCGTAAACAGAGGTTGTGTGCCAGCAACTGCAATCAGCTTAATTCTTTCCAGCTAACACAGGTTACTTGCATTTGAGCAAATAGTTAACATTGTAATCTCTACAGTTTAGGAAACTAAGAGGGACTCTAGACAAGTGTGGAATTAATACCTCATCAGCTGAGCAGCTGGCTAATGGTTGTGGTTATTCCAGAAGAATGGGATCACAGAGAACCTGCAATCCCCCCTTTACTGTAATCACATCTCTGCATTTGTGTGTGGGAGGGAAGAGCAAGGCACGTCATTCCTACCGGTTTTCATCAAGCTTCCAGGGAGAGGTTTAAACCTCAAACAGTGTGGTATTTTCACACTCCAAAAGAACAGTACTAGCCTACTTAAAACACTAAAATAGCATCAGTGGAGATGCTCACACATCTGTGTTAGAAAAAAAACACTATAAGTAGTCTGCAGTTCAGATAGCCACTACTGAAATGCTCTCCTGCATTCTGCTCTCCCTGGTTCTTAGTAACCCAAAGTCACCTCCTAAACAGATTTAGGAGGACTACTATGGACAAATATCCTGGTCAGGCTCTGTACAGGAAGTTTTTCCACTCTTTTAATTCATGTATATCTTTGAATCTGAACATGTCGAGCACTGTAAGATACAGGACACGCATCTAAAGAAATAATACAGCTCCAGCAGATACTAGAGGTTAACAGCCTAGCTCTTGCTGTACCCTGCCAGGTAACAATCTGGGCTGGGAAAGTCACAAGAGGATAGCTGTCAGGGGAGCTAGGGCATACAATTTGATCTGCCAAACACCCACTAACAGAGCAGTGAGCATTTGCCTCTGTTAGAGAAGACATGGCCTCAAACTAATGGCAGGAACATGCCTTGTCTGAAACAGAAACATCAGAAACTTCTTCAGTTTTAGGAATTGCTCTATCTTTCAAAAAAAAAAAGCCACCCAAAAACTCAAGGGATCCCTCTTGCACAGTAGCACAAGTAGGACTATTCTAAATTCACTATTTGTCAAGGAGAATGAGTGTCAAGAAGCCCAACGGTAAAGCTGATGAAAGGGATAGCAACTGTTAGCTGTGCATTTATGCAGAATTCCCTGGGTTTGGTACTAATCTAGGACTGGAGTTTCTCCATGCTATTGTACTCGCCAGTACCACAACCATCCCACATCCCTAAGCACCACAGAAAACACAGAAATAACAAACAAGATGTGAAGATTTATATGGACTCAAATAAAGCAACCCACAGTTCACAGCATTAACTTCGCTGCAGTACCATCTGTGACTACAACCCCCCTGTTAGTGAAATGAACTTACTGAAGCGCAGGCCAAAATGCCGAAGAACCCAACTTTCTGCACCAGGTTCTGGACAGCCAGTTTAGCCCGGGAAGCAAAATCCTGCCAACAAGAAAACAAAGGCATTAATGAGGCAAAACCCCAAATGAACACACCTCAGAGTGTATGTGCTTGCAACGTCCTCCATGCTTTGGGATTTTCCGATTTGCAGTTGGATGAATTTTTGCAACAAAAACAAAGTCAGTTTGAAGTTCTGGGCTTAGAGGGAAGAAAGAGAAATTGACGATGCTTGGTGTGAAAATCTGACCACCCACATGTAGTGAGTTTTTAGTTTTCCTTACAGATTTGGTTCGTCAAACTCTGCAAGTGGCACTAAGTTCACTTTACTATGGAAACAGGTTTCTAGTACTTCTTTCCACCTCTCTCTGAATTGCCAGTGCCACTATTCCACTATTACCTTATTCCTTAAGCAAAGAGAGGGAATTAATTCCTTCAATACCATCTACAATGATAAAAAGGTACTTTCTCAAAACACAAAGAATACAATATGCCATTATCTGTTTGCAAACCCAGGTTCTTTTTCAGAACAGCTAACTCTAGGTTCTCTCTAAAGCAGGTCTGTAAAGTTCATTAAATCTGTGGAGTTAAACCTAGACTACTCGAAAAGAAACAAAGGTGGCTGACCATGTAACATCTGAGCTATTCTTTATGAAGTCAGACTATGAACATGTTGCCTACTTTAATTTTGTGATCACAAATTTCAAGCATATTCATGGCAAACTCAAGAGTCTCAAAGTTTACCACAAATAGTAAACATTTTTGAAAAGCAAAAATAAAGATTTCTCACAAGCAGCTTAAATTCATTTGAATGTGAGAAGTGATTTCAGGAGAATAAAATTCTTGCAAAGTAAAACTGTCCAAGAAGTTAAAAACAGGGTCAATGTTATCTGCTCAGGCTTGGCAACAATAGTTACACAAGGCTGAGTATCTTTGGTAAAAGCTAGCTTTAAAAATAAATTATTAAAAAAGATTAAAAATCTACCAATATGTAATGAATATCTAATATGTAATGATTTTCCAGGAACAATATTCAATGATTTGTATGTTGTACAACACTGTTAAGATAAATTTAACAAGGAAGTACCACATCAGTAATTAATGCAAGATAACTACAAGATAATCCAGAAGAATTCAATTTATGCAATTTTAACTTTGTTACAATTCTGTTGAAACCATCATTACTCCATACCAGTGCAAGTAAATTACAATTACTTCACATTCCTATTAAATTCTAATCTACAGAACTGACATAACTTTTAATGCCAGATTTAAAAAATCTGTGAGAAGGCCATTTGGTATGATTTTACACTCTTTTCAAGTGGTAACTGTTCACCATTTCAAAGCTTTAAAAATAGTTAAATTCTTAAATTAAAAACAATTATTATTAATATCAGAATAATTATATTATTTATAGCTCATACTTGAACAAAAAAATAAATACTGTAATTTAAAGAAAAAAGCCAAATAAACGAGACTTCCTACATCTTCCACTGGGACATTTTTAACCTGAGGAGAATACAAAAGGCTTTTGGAATATCCTCCACGGGGCAAATTTGCTATCTTCAACCCAGAGTAACAATTCAGGATTACATGATCCAGCCCATGAATGTCTTATTGCAAAATGGAACACAATGAAATATTTACACTGTGTCAAAAAGCAGTTCCTGATATTATTCTATTTAACTTCTAGGATACGTGCAGTATGCACGAATAACCAAAACCTGCTCCTGGGGGGGCTGATCCCAACCTCTTGAGCTTATGTTAGTACAAACAGGTCTAGGGGATGCCTGCCTGAGACAGAAAGTACAGTTTTAATGCTTTTCAGTTAAGAGTGCATTTTTGCAAAAATTGTCATTTGTAACAAAAAACGATAGCTTAGCAGTGAACTACATCCAAAGATCTTGCAACATCAAGGGCAGTTCCTACCCAAACTAAAATTCCCTCATCATTATTTTCTAGTTAGTAAATAAAACCACAGCAAGCTAACATACGAGCACAGATAACGGGTCAGCAGCAATGTCCTAAATCCCACTGAGGATTTAGGACATGAACTGAAAAGGATGCGAGACTCTCAAGTGTGATCACAGAGCTCTCAATAAAGGCAATTAAACGTGGCACACGAAGGGATAACAGGGATTCTAACTCCTGACCAAGTGCAAAAGCAGAAATACATTTTCAGTTTCTCTACTATTTAGTTTAAAAAGTTATGCTTCAGTGTACTTTTTCAGTACCACTGTCCTTTCAATGGCAGATTTTTTTTTTTTTTTGCAAAGATGAACTGAAAAAGCAGTGCCATCTCTGTAGGGATTTCATAAGATGTCTCCTCCGTACTAACAGGGCTGAATGTGACCATGAGAGTTTCAGTTCCTACTTTTTTCACCATTTCACAATGCTCATGGGGTTACAACAACATTTGCACTTCAATAAGCCAATCTAAAAGTTTTCACAGCTCTATAAATCTAATACAGTATATTTAAAACAATACATTATTAATACAAATTATTCAGATACACCCATGATATACTTCAAGGAAGTAGTTTCTAGTCTAATTTTAACATATTTACCCATTATCCTAAGGACTGTATTTTGCTAGGACACTGTTGTATTAATGCTCACAGGCTGGAACTGGAAAGAAACTCTCACAAGTTAACACTGGCAGTGCAGACGGTTTAATAAACTATTTATTATTACAATTACTAATAGATTGTATTAACCTAGTGTAAGCACAACACATTTTTCATCACATTTCTTAAAAATAAACAGCTTCCCTCATGAGATGTCTAGACTAGTGCAAAATGAAGGCTGCCTTAAAACTTTATCTCCAGCAAGACATTTTTTGCTTTGAAAACAATAATCAAAGTGTTGAAAAAAGCCTAACAAATAAATTTGTCTCAAAAAACACTACAAACATTTTTCTTACCTTATTAATTCATATTTTTATTATTATTATTATTTAAGTTTTTACCCAGATTGTTTCCTCAAGTTCTTGTTATTTTATTTTACATTCATTATCTATTATGAAGTGCTCCATGGAAAGCACAGCTACTGCACTTAAAATTTCAGTGAGGAACTTGCAATTTGCCTTCCTTTTTCAAACTTTCCAAATAAGCCAAGAGAGATAACCTTAGGATTTTTTTTTCTTATTTGTCATGATCTAATGTAATCACAGATACAAATAATTTGCATGGCAACATACACATCAGGGTTACTACAGACATATATTTGCAGTTTTTACCCTTACTTTAATGTAAACGAGTTAAGAAATAGTTCTGTTTGGTTGCTTCCTTAAATTTCATTTGTCAAATCTTTGCAACATCTGCAATAATAAAAACCCTTAAAAGTTTCATTTCTCAGAGAATACAATCATCAGTTTCACAACTTTTACCTATTTCACAATATATTTTTTTCTGTTTTAAATCCTGCATAGGGAATAATCTTTAATTTTTTTTTAGAAATTAAAGCAAAACAACTTTCATAACTTACTGCTTTAAAAAAAATATTAAAAAGACATAAAAGTTCAGCTACTTACAGGCAAAACATATTCCCCCAAAATTAAAGTATCTAGACTGGACTCGACTCTCAGCTAATATGATTCATTCGCTACAACATTTCAGGATACTTTTGCTCACTATGTTCCTTTCAAAGATGATTTGTTCTTTTTTTTTTTTTTGGTTTGGAAATAGATTTCCTGTGACTGCTGCAATACAGGCAAAGGAAGGTTAAATGATTAAACATTACTTCATTGGGTTAATCATCAGATCTCAAGAACTGGAATGGAAATA